TTGAATGAATACATTATATTATAACCCACTTCCTATATCTAGAAAATTAGATATGCTCATTTTTACAAACATGCCCCAGCTCCTCATCTGTTCTATTTCATTGCTTAAATTATGCCTCCTTGACTGCTCTCATAAGCATTTCCATTTTCATGGTTATACTTTAGGTTTCACCATCTCAGTCAGAAATACTTTTCATTATTTATTTTTGGCTCTCTTTTAGTCTGCACCTTTACTATTGCCATAGTAAATATTTTTTTTAAAATGCAAAATTGTTTGATGTTCTAAATATTAATGTTCATGAATTTCTTATTTCTTGTGGAATAATTGTATGCTTTCCCACATTTATTTCTTAACTAAATTTGTTCTTCCCATTTTCCTATATCCCTCAGTTTTTTTTGCAATTATATCTATGCTAGATGGAACACTGTAGCACACTTTGCTGGATGGGCAGGATACACCCTTAAGATCATAATCTCATTAGACTTGAGTGGATCTAGAAAGCTCTACGTTTTAAAGTTCTCTATCAATTGATAGATTATTCTGTCAATATTCATCATATATTTGAAATCAAATATTTGATTGTAGTTTTGGGTGACCAGATTTTATTTTTTATTATTTTATAATAGTGTTTATGTTTTTGTAACACAATGTTATGTATCTTCACCGTCATCAGTGTGTCATAACTCTTCATTTCTATCCTTAAGTCATTTCTAATCTACCTATTTTCCCCTGTTCCCTTTCTCTGCCTTAATAGTCTTGGTTCTGTTGTCAGAGTCTAAAAGTTTGTTTCCATTGCTTTTTTTCCAATCTCTCTTTCATTTTTCTTTATATATTACATGTAAGTGACATCTTCCAGCATTTCTTCTTTTATGTTATTTCAGTTAAGGTAGCACCCTCTAATTCGTCCAAGTTGTAGCAAAAGTAGGATTTTATATTTTTTATAACCACATAGTATTCCATTGTATATATGTGCCACATTTCCTTCATCCATTTACCTCTCATTGGAACCTGAATTGTTTCCAGGCCTTAGCTATTATTAATAGCACTGCTATGAATGTATGTGTGTGTAAAAGTAACAGAATGGGAGATGAACACACAAGAGTAGTTGAGATGAGGTCTGCTGCATGGCTTGGAAGCTGGCAGCACATGCTGGGGGAAAAGGCAGCTCAGATAGAGAAGGGAACCCCAAGTAAAGGATGTTTGGAGGATTTGCTCAGGGTGTGAGATGCGTGCTGAAAGTAGACTATAGAACGAACATGATGGCCACTCAATACCTCAGTTGTAAATCACAACACACTAAAGAAAAGAGAGAACAAAAGGGAATTCCCTGCCACAGAGGCGGGGTGGGATGAGGGGGATGGGGGGGGGTGGGAGGGCTACTGGGATTATTGGTGGTGGAGAATGGGCACTGGTGGAGGGATGGGTACTCGATCATTGTATAACTAAAACCCAAGCACGAAAGTTTCTAAGTCTACAACTGTACCTCATGGTGTTTTACTAAAAAAAAAAAAATTAATATTTTTGTATTTTGTCACTGTGTCTTTGATTTTTGGGTCCTTCAGTGGCAGTGGACTTTTGTGGTTAGTTTGACTTCTTTTCCAATTTGAATTCTTTTAATTTCTTTTTCTTGCCTGTTTGCTTTGGCTACGACTCCAGGATCTGATTTTTAAAATGTATGTATAGATAACACATACAAAATACAAAGTTCAAATGGTTTAAGTAGTCATTTGGTGAAATAGTGATTTGGTTGGTTGACTTCTTGCCAATGCCTTTTCCTATTCTCTAACTTTTCATTATCATTTTTGTTGTCTACATCTGGAAATAATCTATGCCTGTATATGCTCATGTTTGTATCTGTGTATGTATAAAGAGATATATCTGCAATTACATAAAAGAGAAGTTATTATTTCACTCCTTTTATTTCTTTATCTTAAGGATTATTTTGTATCAGTGAAGTTGAAGTGATTTTTTTTTTAAATAGCACTGTAGCACTGTCCTCTGTTTATCGATTTGTTTGAGCGGATACCAGTAATGTCTCACAACAAATTGTGAGACTTGTTACTGTTTTTGACATATCAAATATATCATGGGTAGCTTGCCAGGCTTTGCCATGAGGGCGAGATACTCTTGGTAGCTTGCCAGGCTCTCTGAGAGGGACAGAGGAATCGAACCTGGGTCAGCCGCGTGCAAGACAAACTCCCTACCTGCTGTGCTATTGCTCCAGCCCTCCTTTTTTAAATAGTTGTATTGAATTTTATCATTCTGTTGTGAGCATTTGGGATATTTTTAGTGTTCTTAGTGATGTTATGGCATATGTCTTTGTGGATATATTATTCCCACATATTTGAGGATTTCTGAGATAAATTTCTGTAAGTGAAATATTTTTGACAATTTTTCCTTAAAATTTTGATGTCAAATCATCACTTGTAGATGCCCTATATTGTTTTCGTATATTATACACTTCAAACGATTTTCTCTTAGAGGCAGATTATCATAAACTTGTTGATGTGACACTTTTAAAAGGAATTTGAGCAATCCAACTGACTCAGAAGTTGAATTAAAATGATCTTTATCTTTTTTTTAAAATATAAAATGAAAAACCTTTCACATTGTTTTCAGATTAAAGACTTTGTCTCAAAGTTTTTATCTCTACTGTGAAATTCTCTTCTAGATATAATTAGCTCACACACACATATACACACACATTTTATATACATCTGGCTGTGCTCAGGTCTTACTCCTGGTGACTTGGGGGAACATATATTGTGCTGAGAATTGAACTGGATTGGCTGCATGTAAAGCAAATGCCTAAATCATTGTGCTATCTCTCCAGTCCTAGACTGTTATTTGAGGCACATGGCATTTGTTTGATCTTACATATATTCTGAAACGACTTTTATAATGATCTTTGTAGTATGTTCAACTTATTATCATTTCTTTGAATACAGTGGTACTAAGGAATTTTCGGATTTCTCTCAACGTGTTTTTATTTTTCTCATAGAATTTATGGTTAATTCTCTTATTTACACATTTCCTTCATTAGACTGATGAATTGCAGTATAGCATAAATGGCAATGTCTGTTGAATAATGAGTGCATTCTTTACACATGGCTAGCTAGGATTAGGTGGAGTCCTTTTCTCTTTATGGGCAGTTCTGTTTGTACTTCAACCTGACATTCCAGTGAAACTGAAACTGGCTCTGCTTTTTTTCCTCAACCTCCACCTACATTCTTGAGACTCAATCTTTACCAGAATTTCCCATTTTTTTGTTTTAACATGGTGATAATCTTTTGCTGGTATAGACTTTATAGTCCCCTTCAGTAAACTAATCATGTTCTCCATTCCCTGTATAATAGTATCAGTGAGTATTCTTCTTTACTAATTTCAGTTATGTCTTCTGCTGTGGCAGCCATTGGTGGTGACTTTGAGCAAGAATTCTTTTCTACTGTGTTCAGTTCAGCAGGGAAAGATAAGTTCCTGTTATCTAGAAGAATAATCCTAAATGTGTTTGCTCAAGTAGTCTCTCTTTTACTTTAGGCCCGGAAGGGATCTGGTCATCATTCTTTGTCAAGTTGACTCCCAGATGAGGGTACCAGTTACATGAGAAGATTCTGACAGGAAATACTGTTTGAGGATAGAGGAACAGATAGAATCCAATGATGTTGTAGCAAAGAGAATGAGGAGAGTGATAAGTTGGGGAGTAATTATCACTTAATCACTTAACTTCACGTTAGTCGTCGATTTGCTCGAGCGGGCGCCAGTAACGTCTCCATTTGTCCCTGTCGCGTGCTAGTGTAGCCCAATGGCATCTGTTCGCTCCGGGAACATGAAGGGCCTCAAACCGATCGTTAATGATCTTGACGAAGAAGTCTGACCATCTGGTAGGTGGGCGGCCACGCGGTCTCTTGACATCCCGTGGAATCCAATCAGTAACAGCTCTAGTCCAACGGTCGTCTTTAAATCTCATTACATGACCAGCCCATCTGATTTTCGACACCTTGGCAAATGAGACAGCGTCCCTGATCCTTGATCGTTGATGGATGTCAGAACTCCGGATTCTTTCTCTCATTTGAGTGAAACGTGATATTCCAAGCATAGCTCTTTCTATTCTTCTTTGGGAGACCTGAATAGCGTTCTCATCTTGTTTGCGTAGGGCCCAGGTCTCTGAGGCATATGTTAATGCAGGAAGAACAGTGGAATCAAAGAGATGTGCCCGGAGCCGGAGGTTCTTCGTCCTCTTAGCTATTTCTTCGACGTTCTTGAAGGCGTTCCAAGCCGCTCTCTTCCTCCTGCGCAGCTCAGGTGCCAGGTCATTTGTCATGTTGACCTCTCGACCTAGGTAGACATAGCTGTTGCATTCGGAGATGGTCGTTCCATTGAGAGCGAATGGGGCGTCAGGAACAAGGCTGTTTCTCATAAACATTGTCTTCGTAAGATTCAGCTGTAGTCCTACCTTTCCACACTCACGGTCAAAGTCGGCCAGCATTTGTGCCTCTTGGCTGATGTTTGGTGTTATTAAAACAATGTCATCAGCAAAGCGGAGGTGGTGTAATTGCCGACCATCTATCTTCACTCCCATTCCTTCCCATTCCAGTCGTCGCATGATGTTCTCGAGGGTGGCACTGAAGAGTTTCGGTGAAATGGTATCTCACCCTGCCGCACCCCTCTCTTGACATCAACGGGGAGTAATTATATCATATATATTTTATAGTCTTTATTAATAAGTTCCAATTTTTATGTCAACTGTTATATTGGAAAGTTAATGAGATATTTTCCTTTTTGCTTAAATACTTCATTATTATTATATATTTATGATAAATCATTTTTTCACAATAAATGATAAGCTTTATGAAAAAATTACAAATAAATTTATAAGTTGATAGTTCTCTTAAGAAGAAAACTGAAATATTAATATGTAGTCACTAGCAAATATTTAAGAACAAGTTGTTAATTAAAAAGCATTAGTTTATTAATTTCTTTTTTTCTCCATATATGTTTAGAGATGATATAACTCTACTCAGACAAGAAGTTCAAGACTTACAGGCTTCTCTTAAGGTAAGAATAAAACTTGTTAATTTTTATTTATTTATTTTTTTACTTGTTAATTTTTAGTGTTTTAGATGAAAAATCTTCCAAAAGTTACGAATTAAAAAAATTTTTCCCCCCTTAGGAAGAAAAATGGTACTCAGAAGAATTAAAGAAAGAATTAGAAAAGCTTCAAGGGCTACAGCAGCAAGTAATTACTTTTAAATACTTGAAGTATTTTATTATTCTTTTTCATTATTAAAAACAGTTATACTTTTAAAAAATTTAATGTGTTTAGGAATTTCTTCCTTCCTTCCTTCCTTCCTTCCTTCCTTCCTTCCTTCCTTCCTTCCTTCCTTCCTTCCTTTCTTTTTGGGTCACACCCAGCGATGCTCAGGGGTTATTCCTGGCTCATCCACTCAGGAATTACTCCTGGCGGTGTTCAGGGGACCATATGGGATGCTGATAATCAAACCCGGTTTGGCCACCGTGTGCAAGGCAAACACCCTACCTGCTGTGCTGTCGCTCCATCCCCTTTTTTCCTTTCTTTAAACACCATAGTTCACAAAGTTGTTCTTAATACAGTTCATACAGTCATTCAATATTCCAACAATAAACCCACTGCCAGGGATTAGTGTTGGAATATCGAATGTGGACCTTCCCTCCATATTTTCCCATCCACCCTCCAAGCTTACACCCTTAGTAGGCACAAAATAATTTATTTTATATTGCTTGTTATAACTAAATGGCTAATGAATTATCAAAAAATACTTTACTAAGAGAAAATATGTAAAAATAGTTATATCTCAACATATAGTCATTAAGTCTTTGTCTGTGGATTTACTAAGCTGTTTATTGTTAGTTGAGCTTTCTATGTTACTGTTTGTTGACCATAGTTGACTTCTGTGTTACTAACCTATCTGATCTGGTGTGATCCTACTGGGATGTCAGTATTACAGAATTTGGAGCTGTCCAGGAACAATAGGATATATAACAGGGCAATGTGTTTACATAGTTGTAGTTGTGGGTTGTTGGTGTGTCTTATAGGGTTTCTGGAAGTATGTGATGGGGGAGGCTGCCCATTCCCAGTCCAAGACGAACCCAAAGTTCTGAAAACCCTTCTACCAGGAATTTTTGGCAGTTTGACATCTCTGCAGAGATTACTTGTGAAATAGTGGAGTTTGTCTGTTGGTGTGACAGCAGCTGTGGTGTGTGTGTGTGTGTGTGTGTGTGTGTGTGTGCGCGTGTGCGCGTGTGCGTGTGCGTGTGCGTGTGCGTGTGCGTGTGCGTGTGCGTGTGTGTGTGTGTGTGTGTGTGTGTGTGCTTCTGTAGGGAAGGGACTAGGGACTTAGCCTGCCTTACTCCTAAGGGTGTCCCAGAATTTTCAGTTGGAAGACTGGTGTACCCATGAACTTTTGTGGTTTGGATTGCATCCCTTCTGAGATTTAATCATGATTTAATTTAAGCTGAGTCAGTGGAAGAGCTTACATGGTAGCAGTTCTGATTATATTTTTTTTTTAGCATGTAGCCTGATATTACTTCCTAATTTTTTTCTTTTGGTATTTAATAGCCTAAAGTTTATACTCCTTGTGATTCTAATGTGTGAAAACAAATCTATAGGAAACTATAAAATGTAAAATTTTACATGTGCTTCACTAAGAATTTTCTGTGTGGGGCTGGAGAGATAGTACAGCAGGTTAAGGTACTTACTTTGCATGCATGCAACCTGGGCTCCATCTCTGGCACCACACAGTGCACTTTCATCAGTGATCCCCAGCACAGAACCACTGGGAGCAATTAAAATATTAAACCAAACCAAAAATAAAACAAAAAAGGAACTCCCTACGAATATTTTTAAATACTAGGCTACATTAACTCTTAATTTTCTGACAGTATACATAAGTATAAGTTCAAACAGTTAACATCTTTGAAGTATTTTTGTCTGTGGCAAATTGGATATCTTTAACATGTTCTGTTGGGAAAAAACTATTACATGTTCATAGTTTCTATTAGGAGGAAGATAATGAACATAGGAGAACTGTTGTAGTATTAATAGTATATTAGGTTTTATAAAATGGAATAGATGTATTTATGCATAATAAATATATCCTGAACCTATGCAGTATGTGAATAATACATAACAGAAATAAGGCAAATTACCATTTTATTAAGAAAGAATTTTTTGGATTAAAATTTGTTTGCTGTTATAGAGTTCTTACCATTTAATGTACATCTAAATCATTTTAGCACTGTGATTTTTTTACTAAAATTGTATTGTCTTCTATACTAAAGTTATATAAAGAATCAGAATATTTTATGAAATTTTTTAATAATTTTCCTGAGTACATTAGGACTTTCAGTCAGGCCACTTTTGACTTTAGCCAAAAAATTGTCATTTGGATTAGAAAGAAAACAAATATTAGTCATTATAATTTTTAGCTTTTATAATTGAGACTATACTGAAAGAGACTTTCAATAAATCTATAGTACTTATGGTTCATTTATTCTTGTTTTGCATAGATGTCATTAGCTGACATGACATTCTATTATGCTCTGTACTTGAAAACAGAGAAGATATTAGTATATTTGAAATGATTGTTTACAGATAATAGGTCAAATAAATTCTTCACAGTGTAAAGAATAAATTGCCTTGGAAAACCATTTTCCTTTTAGAGAAAAATGTAATTTAAATATTGATCAGTTCGTAATCATTGTGTCTAAATCCAGTGTCTGGGAAGTCAAGTATAGTCTGAGATATCTTGTTAAAATCTTAAATATATTTATAATTATTTAGAATATAGATATAATGACTGGCTAACTTAAATTTATGAAAATTAATGTTAGATTTTTTTCTTGCTTTAAAGATTATTTGAGATCCTGTATTTAAAATTTATATCAAATATTTCAGTCATGGTAACTTTTTAAGCTTATGTAAATTTTCAAATGTTATAGGATTACATCTTGCCTGCTGATATAATTTCTTTAAAATTTGTAGTTTTAATGACATGTATTATTTATTACTAAATTTGTGGAATTTAAGATGATTTTTACTATTTGCTAGAGCTAGAGCGGGCCCAGTAACGTCTCCATTTTGAGACTTCTTACTGTGTTTGGCATATTGAATACATCACGGGTAGCTTGCCTGGCTTTGCTGTGTGGGCGAGATACTCTCGGTAGCTTGCTGGGCTCTCCGAGAGGGGTGGAGTATTGAACCTGGCTCAGCCGGGCTGGCTGCATTCAGGGCAAACGCCCTATCACTGTGCTATTGTTCCAGCCCTATAAGGCACATAATTTTATACATAAAATACTCTTAGAAACCAGTGAGCTGCAGTTAGATCATTAAACTAGTTTTCCTTGAATGGTTCCTTAAAGACCTGGAAGAATGTGAGCAGATTACAATTTAATTTTCAATAAACTATTGCTACTTTCCTGACAGAATGTGGTTGCTAGAGATTTTAGTGAACACCAGCAATTAGAACTATATTGTCTTTTTATTTTAATGCATTTTCTCAATGTCTTGTTTTTATTGAGGAGTCAAAACCTGATGGATTGGTCGCTGATTCACCAGCAGGTAACATAATTAAAGTATATATCTTTTCTTTTTTTCCCCATTAAACCTTTTTTTCTTTTTTTCTCTTGGTACCTGTTGCATGAATTATGTTTTGTGGTTATACTTATTGACTCTGTAGCACTAAAGATAATAGTCATTCTGGCTTGGAATATTCTGTAACCTGTCAATTTGGTGAATTAACCAACTAGTTTTAATCACAATAGTTTCTTTTTTTATTTTGTAGTTATAAGTAAACTTATGCAATGTTATATTAATGTGTTTTTTAAAGGAAAGTTAGATTTATATCAAAGATTGGCAAACTCTTTGCTTTTGAAATAAAATGTTTTGAGATAATTATCCTTTTTAACTGAAAGAATTCTCAATGAGTAGCGAGACATATTTTAATATTAGTTGTACTTAATTTCTCTCTAAAAGCTCAGTTTTTTTTTTTTTTTTGGGCTACACCTGGTGGTGCTGGTGGCCCACACTTGATTTAATGCTCAAGGATATCTCCCAGTGGTGCTTTGGGACCATGAAGTACCAGGGATTGAATCTACATGTGAAACATGCACTCTAACTTGTGAACTACTACCCTGTCCCTGAAAACTCCTTTCTGTCTCAGAATCAAATATTAAAAGCATTGACTGCATATTGTTATAGATTGTTTTATTTATAATGCTGATTATTCTCAAACTGTTTCAAAGTCCATTTTGCATTATTGTAACATATTATTAGAAGAGCAGAATATATTTCTCTGGTTAGCTGCCACATATAGAAAAATATTAAGTAGAAAAATAAAATAACATTTGAGCAAATATTTTTGTGATGCCAAATACTTTTTATTTTATAATTACATAATGTTTTGCACCTTAAACGAGTCAAAACACGTAATTCTTGAAATGTAAAATTACTCAGTTTGTACTTAATTAATTTATTCATGAGCAAGACACATGTATTTACTGTAGTAATTATAATCTATATAATAATTTAGCATATATATATATATATAAAACATTGTACTTGGCTAACTGGTTTGTTTCTAGAGCTGCAGTCTTTGGAACAGCAATTAGAAGAAGCTCAAACAGAAAATTTTAATATTAAGCAAATGAAAGACTTATTTGAACAGAAAGCAGCTCAACTTGCCACTGAAATTGCAGGTAAATTGAACAAGAATTTTTTTAGTTAGTAAATCAATGTCAGAATGAGGATGTGGTGGATTCAACAGTTAAGTTCATGCTTTGCATGAAATCTGGTGTCTATATCTGGCATAGGAGGGCAAAAGATGCAGATAAATCAGTTTTGTTACCTTTTTTGGTCATTATAGACATATATTTTAGTGTGATAAAGCATTTTATAGAAATGAATAGTATTTAGAGATAACAATTTGTATAAAAGTATTTTGTCCACCTTCCTCCATCCTTCGAAGGGCTGATTTTCTTTGTAGAATTGTTGAATTCTAAAAAAGGTGACTGATATTTTGGTCTATGTTTAAATGTTAAAAAGTTATATTTTGAAGATGTTAAATGTCATAGCTCTAACAGTTGGTGTACTATCAAGTACAATATCATTTATTTTTCCTTCATTGCCCTTTGATGCTGTTGGTGTCATCACTGGGAGCCACACACACTCAATGCACGTTTAGTTGCTGTGCTTACCAGTGGCTGTACACTTTGTTGTGCACCTGGGATCACAGACGATGGTGCTGCCAAGATTGTACATGGCATGTGAGATCACAAATCACAAATCACAAATCATCCTGTTAATCGTCAATTGCCTCGAGCAGGCCCCAGTAACGTCTCCTTCATCCTAGCCCTGAGATTATATTCAAGGCTCTTTAGGAGAATGAGACCCATCATTGTTACTGGTATTTGGCATATAGGGTATGCCACAGGGAGTTTGCCAGACTCTGCTGTGTGGGCAGGCTACATTTGGTAGCCTGCCAGTTTGTCCAAAGTAGGAATGAGATAATAAGATGGCATAATAGGATGTCGCTCGGCCGCGAATGTGGCCGTGCGGTTCTGGGAGCTGGTTTTTATAGTCTCTGAGTCTTGGCCGTTGATGGGATTACACGGCGTCAGGGGGCCAGTTGGTGGGTGTGACCCCCGCCTACTGGAATTTGGAGGATCTGGGTGGAAGATGCTCGGCCCAAATCCGAGTAGGCTTGGAGATCTCGGCCCCGGAACCTGCATGACTTTGTCCCTCTGCCAGTACCTTCATGTGTGCGGAGAGTGGTCTCAGCATGGTGGTGGCTGATCCTGGAGGTCTTTGGCTGCTGGAGCCCTGGTCGGGGCGGGGAGGAAAGCTCAACCCGCTCCTCTCCAAGGGGCCCCAGCGGCGAGGACAGTCAGGCCTGGGGGCAGGGAGACTGCACTGTTCTTCTTCCAGGAGCTGGTTTTTATAGTGTCTGAGTCTTGGCCGTTGATGGGATTACACGGCGCCAGGGGGCCAGTTGGTGGGTGTGACCCCCGCCTACTGGAATTTGGAGGATCTGGGTGGAGGATGCTTGGCCCAAATCCGAGTAGGCATGTGAGATAGTTCTCGAGATTGAACTCATAGCCTCATGCTTGCAAGGCAGGTGCTCTGCTACTGAGCCATCCCTATGCCCCTCCAAATGTTATTCTTTGTTTTTTATATTACTGGGAATTAAACCTATGTCCACACACATGTAAGTCATGGACTCTACCACTGAGTCTCATTCTCAGACACCCGTTTTTTTGCTAGGGAAGAGAGAAGTTGGGGCTATACCTCTCTTGGTTCTATGTTCAGGGGTCACTTCTGTTGTGCTTGGGGGACCATGTGCAGCCTGGTTTGAACTGGGGTTGGCTATATGGAGTTGTGTGTAGACACAGGAGCTGGCCCTGTGTCTACACTGTCACTGTCACTGTCCTCCCGTTGTTCATTGATTTTCTTGAGCGGGCCCAGTAACATCTCCATCGTGAGACTTTGTTGTTACTGTGTTTGGCATATCGAATCCATCACGGGTAGCTTGCCAGGCTTTGCCGTGCAGGCGAGATACTCTCGGTAGCTTGCCAGGCTGTCCAAGAGGGGCGGAGGAATTGAACTCGGGTCGGCCATGTTGGCTGCTTGCAAGGCAAACACCCTACCCGCTGTGCTATCGCTCCAGCCTGCAGTGTCAACAAGTATCAATATTTTTATTTTGAGGCGATAGGTTGTGCCACACCTAGTGGTGCACAGGGACTATCCCTGGCTCTTCTCAGGGATTATCTCTGGTGGATTATCTCAGAGGACCATATGCCTTTCCAAGAGTCTGCCATATGTAAATATAATCAATAGCTTAACCCCTACACAATCTCTCTGATGCCTACAAATATTTTATAGATTTTTTTAAGTAAATAGTTTTGTGATAAATTTGCATTGGGATTCTGTTTAGTAGAATTTGTGTAGACAAAAATAATTTACCATTGTGTGTGATTTTATAATTTCAAGGTATATCTTTATTTTTTATTTTTTGAAATAAATAGATTTTATTTGGAGGATTTTTAAGATGTGGAGCGGGAGAGAATGAGAGAGAGTAACGTACTCAAGAGGGAACATGGGCTTCTCCAAGGGCGGAGAGAGCCCTACATACATCCTAGCATTAGACACAAAAGCATGAAAAGTACACATCTCAAGAGGGGAGATGCAGGTGACACATGTGCTCGGCCACATGGGCGCAAGCAGCACATGGGCTCAGGCAGCATATGCGCCTCAAGGTATATCTTTATGATTATCTCAAGAATGTACATTTAAATTAGAATGATGCACTGATATTTACTGAAATATGCAGGAATTTATAAGAATGTCCTTTCCCAGAGCTAATACTTTTATAACTATAATTAGATATAAAGTCAAAATATGATGAAGAAAAGAGTCTACGAGAAGCCGCTGAACAAAAAGTGACACATTTGACAGAAGAATTAAATAAAGAGGCAACTATAATTCGAGATTTGAAGACTGAACTGGTAATTTAGAAACCAATTACTGGAGTGTATCTTAAGAACTTTCTAAATAAAGATTGAAATATGTATACTGATAAAAAAATTTTAAGAAATAGCTCAAGTAGAAAGAATGGAGGAAATAAATTTTATTTCCAGTTTCTACCACCTTCATATGTATACTCCATATCTATCCATTTATCTATCTCTCTATCTACATGTCTGTCTATTGCCATATGTAAATATAATTAATATCTTAACCCCTACACAATCTCTCTGATGCCTACAAATATTTTATAAATAGATACCTGTCTATCTACCTGTATATCTATTGTAGTTTTAAAATAAAAATGGAATTTTATGATACATAATTTATTACTTTAGAATTTTGTTGGCTCTGTCATAATCTTTTTAGTAATGTACACATTTTCATTTCATATCTTGATTTTCTCTTGTGTGTTAGTTTTATAAATCCTCATGATTTTAGGATAATTCTAATAGGAATTTAGTTTTGGAGGCCAGAGAGAATACAGCCAGTAGGGTGCTGGCTGACTTGAATGTGTTGTCTGGCATCCCCTGTGGACCTCCGAGTTTGCCAGGAGTGGTTTCTGAGTGCAGAGCAGGGAGTAACCCCTGAGCATTGCCAGGTATGATCCCCAAACAAAAAATAACCAAAATTTTAGTTTTTATTTTACTTTTATTTTGGGGGCTGTGGATCAGCCACTGAAAAGGCTGTTTCTGGCTTTATACTAAGGAGTGACTGCGGTGGTACTCGGGGGCCATATATAGATAGGTGGGGATAGAACCATGGTAAGTTACATGCAGGGCATGTACCTTACCTTCTGTACAATCTTCATTTCATGCTGTTTAGGAGTGCATAGAAGGGGGTGCTTTGGCCTACACACAGTGGTGCTTAGAACTTAGTCCTGGCTCTGCACTCAGACATCACTCCTGGGCGACCTTGGGCCATATTCTCCTCCCCTCCCCTCCCTTCTCCTCATGTCCCAGGCCAGACAGTACACACCTCCTCCTGCCTGGTCCTGGCAATGGGTGCCTGAGCTTCCCCATGGTGTTATAGCCCCCAGGCTTTAATTTTAAATTCAGCAGTTGTGTGTCAATCCATCATATTATCTCTGTCACTGTAAATATGTTTGTACGCATGTGCACATCTTTAATACTCTCCCAAGTTTAACAACCTTGGACTTACCCTTGATTCCTTTTTATCCTTTAGCACTCCATAAATGTAGGAATTGATGAATCGATGAGTTAATAATACTCGGTCTGCAACAAACTCTTAATTTTACTTGTATCTGATTTATTTATATTATTAGTTTCTTAGGTTAGAAACTGGAGATCTTTACTGATTTTCAAGTGACTTTTAAATGATGAGTGTGTGGGGTTTTTGAGGAAAGCAATTAAAACACTAAAGGTAATTACAAGTTTTCTGTTTTGCCATTTAATTGGTAATACTTTGAAATATGAAAGTAGAAAGAGAAATTGTTGGTGGGTAGATAGAAAAGTTTTGATCTTTGGAGTTCTGTAATTGATATTAAAGGTCATTTTCCTTTTGATTTATCCAGAATCATTAGAAATAGGAATTTTCAGGGATTGAGAGATAATATAGTAGACAAGGTGCTTGCCTTTTGCACAGCTAACTGGGTTTTGATTCCTGGTATTCCTTCCAAGAGTGATTCCTGAGTACAGAGCCAGGAGTAAGCTCTTAGTGCTGCTGGGTGTGCCTCCACAATAAAAACAAAAACAAACCCTAGGAAAACTAAAACACCCCTCCCCCCCAAAAAATCTAAACAACAACAACTGGGTATTTTTAGGTTTTCAGTGTAATTTTAATTTCATTTTTATGTAGTGCCAGAGCTCGTACATAAGTAGCATATGCTCTGTCACTGAGCTGCATTTTCAGCCCTTCATTGTAAGTTTTAATTAAAATATGTTGCTTGACAGCTTCAGAGACCAGGGATAGAAGATGTTGCTGTGCTAAAGAAAGAACTGGTTCAGGTTCAGACACTAATGGACAACATGACTTTGGAACGTGAGCGAGAATCTGAAAAACTCAAATATGAGTGCAAAAAATTACAAGCCCACTATTCTGACTCAGAGGTAATAAATGTGGTATATTTAAATGTGACTGATCATAACTTGCTTAATACTTACTGTTGACTAAAGCTACAATATGAATGATTTTGGAATGACCTATCAATTATTTCTTTTCCTTTCTTTAGTTTGTTCTGAGCAATATTTGTAAATAATACACTCCGATAAGATTTTTTTAACTGTTCATTTTTGCATACAATTATTCTTAATGATACATTGTCAAGAAATGATTTTTAATTTTATTTATTTCAGAATAGTGAGTACGTAGTAATTTAGTAATTCAGTTTGGTGTAGGGGTAAAAGAAGTATTTAATTTTTTTTAAATCGCATTTCCAATGCTTACTTAGTAAAACATCTAGAGATGACTTACTTTCAAAGTAGGCTTAATTTTCATTTGTCAGTTTTTGAATTTTATGTTGGAAAAGTAATAAAAAATCACCTGATCTAACATTTCATGCAGGACTCCCCTTCCAGGGATCTCTCAAAAGTAATTTAAAATTCTTGTGATCTGGCAGGTTGTAAATTTTCTTATATGTTAGAAACTCTTATGTGCTCATAATTTCTTTCCCTGTAATTTACATACAAAGCTTCCCATTCTCCTCTGGAATTACACAGAATAAATTGCTCTCTTTCCCACATGAGATACTTGCAGAAATTTAGTCTCACTTTTTTACATATTCAATTCCTTCTCTGATATCTACATGACCTCTGTATTCCTCATTTATTATACCAGCACTTGACAAGCTCATGTAATACACACATCTGCTTCAAAATGATTGTCTTTATCCTTTTTACTGTGTTAAATGTAATAGATAAGTTATTATGATTGCTGTTACAAGTTTTAAGCTCCCTTTGGGCCTTCCATTTTTCATGTTTTCAGTTTAAAAAGTTCTTCAATGACATTTCAGTTAGCATTTTTTTGTCTTTAAGCTGGTGATTTAAAAATCATTATTATAGTAGTAATGCATTGATAAACATATAGATATTATAGATAATCCTCGCTATCACTTATTTTTATTAGAGGGAAAGTGGTGAGAATTCATGAGTATAGTTTACATGACCTGTAAGATTTAGGTGCATTTTTTTAAATAGTCACCTTTGTAGCCTCAAACATATACCTTTTCAAATTTTCAAACAATACCAAGTACTAAATAAAGGTGGTTTATGAACTTATTAAAGCCAGTTAAAAGTTCCTTTTGCATAATAAAGGTGAGACAGAATCAAAGATGTCTACTCTACTTTCTGGGTTCCCAAATTGATTTAATAATCATATTATTACCAGACAGATAAGTAGTAGAAAAATAATTTAATTTCATATGTAAGGGAGTTCACAAAAACAGGAGGAATCCAATGAAGGAAGGGTAGAATGAGATATATATTTCCTGAGCTAAGGAACTGGGTAGAGAGATGGGATTTCTTATCATGATTAGCATAATAAGACTAGCTGCTCAATAATTAGATGCTTGTCATGACTTATAGTTACATTTTTCAGATAAAAAGTTTTTCTAGATATAACCCTGTTTTGGGGTAAGAGCCCCAATTTTCATTCTTTTGGTAGTTAAGGGACTTGCAAAATTCTTTTTGAGCCTGCAAGGCCTTCTTTGACTGATTCTGAATTAATCTGCCTGCCCAAATGGCACATAATGAAGAAGTCCATTCTCTCATCCTGGAGAGGTCCATCATGAAGGAATCTTGTGAGAAAAAATTCCATTCGGATAGAGTTAACATACAAATATTTTAATTTGGGGAATTCAACCCTTTATTTCTGTGTTTCAAGAAGAATTACTTTTGATTCAAAGTTACTTGTTTATCAAGTATATATATATATATACATATATATACACACACACACACTTGGTAGACTCTATATATATATACTTGGTAGACTCTCAATATATATGTATATATACTTGTATATATATATTTGTTTTACTTTATTTTTGTGAGACTAGGGATCTGACCCTTGGCCATATTTTCAGCACCCCTACCAGTATTTCTTATTTAAGAAATTTTATATTTTTTTGGTAAAAATACCTTTAATGTGATTTAAAAATTTGAAAATAAATTTGATAGGGCGACTACAATTGAATCACAGTACTAATAATTTTAGAATATGTCTAATATAAAGTGTAATTCTCTGACCTTTTCTAGCCATGAATTATGAATGTATACAGCTAATTGTTACACAAATACAATTTGAACAAAGTTCAGAAATGTATAATATTTTCATTTTGAGGAAAATATTTTGTGTAACATTTCTGGGTTATTTAGGAATTATCTTTCTTTGTAGAATTTTAATGAATTTATGTTTATGCTTTGTAGATTAAAATGCATTTGTAATCAGATCAGTTTAAAATAGAAGTTATAACTAGACTGATAAAAAGCTTGGATTTATTGTCTTCCTACATTGCCATCTTGTCAGCAGGTCCAATTGTTGTAAAGTGATTTTTTTTCTCAGTAGAAGATATTTCTCAGAAAGATGAACATATCTCAGAGACCTTGTACTTCTTCATCTTGCATTTATTTCCCCCCCTTTTTGGGGTGTGTGTGTTATGTGGGACCACCCTTCACATACACACATACAAAGTGTTGACCTTTACTACCGAGGCTATTCTTTACATCTGAACTTATTTCAGGATTTTTATGAAATTAATTTTTTCAAATAATTTAAAATAACTTAAAATATAATTTATACTTGTTGAGTAGTTGGTAATTTAATATTATATTCTTTGTAAAGTAAGGATAATATTTTCTCTCTACTTAATAAACATGCAGTGATTGAGGCCTTAAATTCTGTTTAGTATTTTGAATGACTTTAGGAAAAAAGTTAAAACTGAGAATCAAGAAACTCTTTTAACATTTTAAGTCCACAAGGCTTTGGCACTATATCAGATACTCTAAGTATATGGTCTTATTTATTTCTTTTGACTTTCTTGGAAACTTAAGAATTGAGTTTACTTTATGTAAAAGGAATGTGAGGCTTAGTGAGCTTAAACAACTCGTTGAGGTTCATGCACCTGATATCAAAAGGCTAGGATTTGAATTCAAGTCTTATCCTCAGCCAGTGTGCTATCTTCATTTTAGGTGGTTTGATGTTTGCCTTATAAGGAAATTTGTGCTATCAATCTTGATCAATCTATTACTGTTTTTAGAATGTTGCCACATTGTATTTTTGTACTACATTGTTGATTGTATATTTGTAACTGAGTATGCCTTAAAATACTTTTGAGTTATTTTCATATCATGTCCATGTGAAAAAAATTACTAAAAACTTCATTTCATTTATTTGTTTATATTTATTTGTGCTTTTGCTTTTATTTTAATATTTGCCATAACATTTATTAATTTATTAAAATTCAATTTTATTATTTAAATGTGTTTATGAGCTATATTACTTAAAGAATTTAATAGAACTAGAGTACTATACATTGCTCTTTCACTGAATCTAAGTTTTGGCCTTAGGGCAAAACATAAGAAATTAAAGAAGTTATGAATGCTTTGATTACTTTTGGATTGGTATTTCTAGTTGGGGCTAAACTTACATCATCTTCATTAAATACATTATGAAATATGTCCTTTGTTAATTGCTTTCATATATAAATCGAATTCAATATAAATCAAATTTTTTATATTTAATTATTTTAAAGATTGAAAATACATTATTTTAAAGCTTTTGAAATTAAAAACAATATTACATAGATTAGAAATTGAGGCCTCGAAGTTTTTTAAAAGTATTGTTTAAAAATCACATTACTGAAGACAGCAAGTGTGTAATCAACCTATATTTGGCATGGCCGTTAATGAAAATTATTTTAGAATTTTTTTGTAGTTTAAATAAATACATTTGATTTTGGTTTTAGAAACTAAAATGTTTGTAAAAGATGTAAAGTATTTGCATGAATGGTTATTAAAAGAATATTTTAACATTTTTAGTATGTAAGTGAGTGAAACTAGATTTGCCAGCATGTTTGGACATTATTCTCATGTGTTAAATGTGTACTTATGTCATCTTGTCTTACACCTTTCATCCATCATTTTGTTTTTTTCTGCTTTCTTATGGAGATGCTTAAACTTGAGGTAATGTGGTCTTAGAAGACTTTAAACATGGCAATACATTTAACGTAGCACTTTCTATTGTTCTATGACAACTTTGTGTTTTTGGACAACCTAAGAACTTCAGAGATGAATATTTTGCTTTTATCAAACAAATTTTTAACCATCTTTAAATGGTTACTTAATGGAATGATTAGAAAAGTCTCTTAAAGAGGATTGTATGAAAAAATGAAGTAAAAGCAATAACCAGAGTAAACTTACAGTTCTCCATAACATATTTAATCTTGTTCTTGGCATTGTAGCCATTGTATTATGGGTATAGTTAGGCAGCTGTTGATTTATATGTTAAGAAAAGTTTAAATTTTTATGTATAAATGTAAGAACATAGGCGATAAAAATAATTTACGAATGCAGGAAGCAAATCCAATAAACTGTATTAGGAATACAAACTTCTTTTGTTAATGCCCCTTGCAGGAAATGAAATTAAAAAGCAGTTTTCTTATTCTGTTTCTAATAGTTGACATCTTCATATATTTCTAAAATCTATGCTTGCCTATCTTACTTTTTTAAAAATCAAACTGTCATTTTAATAATAAGCCTTAACTTCACTTAACTTCACTTAAAAATGTTACAATATACTTTGAGGGAAATTCATGTCCATATCATCATAAGAGTAATTCAATTTAATGAAACTGACTTTTGGGGGTAATCTTGAAAAATTAATACTTCATTAAAAGATTATTGACTAGGGTCAGATTCTATGTTGTAAGTTGCATCTGATGTTTTCACTTTTTAATTTTTATTTTATTATGCCCAGGAGTGCTCAGGGACTAGTCCTAGCTCTGTGCTTAGGAGTGAGCCATGGCAATGCCAAGGAAGAACCATATAGGGTTCTGGGGTTCAAACCAGAGCTTTTCTGCAAGCAAGGCAAGAGCCTTAGCTCCTGTACAGTCTGTCTGGCCCTGGGCTTAACATGTTTTTAAAGTAAAAAGAGAATGAATGTCTGCTATAGAAATTGAGGGAAAGTGTAGTTATAAATTGAATATACTCCTAAAATTCTGAAGAATTAATGAGGAATTTCAGTTCTTATATATTCAAGGTTGCAGTTTGATGCATGGTAAAGGGTAAAGGTAAAGGGTAAAGGCCCTCCCGTTGATCATCGATTTGCTCGAGCGGGCCCAGTAACGTCTCCATTGGAGACTTTGTTGTTACTGTGTCTGGCATATCGAATACATCACGGGGAGCTTGCCAGGCTCTGCCGTGCGGGCGAGATACTCTCGGTAGCTTGCTGGGCTCTCCGAGAGGGGCGGAGGAATCGAACTCGGTTCGGCCATGTTGGCTGCGTGCAAGGCAAATGCCCTACCGCTGTGCTATCCTCCAGCTTGATGCATAATAGAAACAAAGTAAGAAGTTCAACTTTTTGTTTCATGTAATAGTAAATAAATGAAGTTATGCATTTCAGATAAATTAAACATTTTAGCTAAAATGATTCATGTAGGGTATTAGGATAAGAACCAAGTTGAAACAGTAAGAATTATTTTTGTCTCAGTAATAATGGCAATAATGTATAATATTAAAACCTTTGAATACTTTTATTTTTTTTTATTTAGCTTATTATAATTTTTTCTTTTTAGGCCACAATAAGCCAGCTAAGGAGTGAACTTGCCAAAGGTCCCCAGGAAGTTGCTGTATATGTGCAGGAACTGCAAAAGCTTAAAAGTTCAATTAATGAATTGACACAAAAAAATCAGGTGAGAATTTTAAAACTATATCTAGTGATTAGTTGATTTTACGTATCTTAAATTTTATGTATATCAATAGATTGGCATAGTAGAGTAAGTCATTCTGTATTTTTTTTAAGTGTTAAATACATTAGCAATACTTTGCAGACAATCTCTGGTATCATTTCTATATTGCAAAACTGAACCTATGCAGATGCTAAAAAACAGCTTCTCATTCATTGCTACTCTCACCCCCATCATTCTATTTTCTGTATATTTTTTTTGGGCAGAAGAGAAATAATTCAGTCCACTCTGGGTTTTTCAGGGGCTGAACATATAATTCCATATGCTCAGACAGCTTGGTAAAAAAAAAAGTAGGGAGAAATTTGTTAGAATGTATGTCTCCTGTGTACTTGGGAGAGACTCTCCCCCCCTCCCCAAACACTTAAGTCACTGCCTGGCCTTAGATGCCAGTTTTAAATAGCTTATCTAACAATGCACAGGACGTTCACAGATTTCTCCATATGCATGTCAACATTTTATCTTTTCTTCTTCCTTCTTTTCCTTTTCCTTCCCCCCAATTCTTTTTCATCATCAATTTTGTGGGCGACAGTTTTAGCAGTGCTGTGATGGGGGTAGGGAGGAGCACCAAGATCACTTCCTGTGGTGCTCAGGAGATCATGCAGTGTGGGAATTAAACCCAGGATTCTTTGCATGTCAGACATGCATTCCAGCACGTGATCTATCTTCCTGACCCATTGTGGTGGCTTTTTATTTTATGCAGGCCTCTTTAATATTTAGCTTGTTTAAGTACAGGACAGGTCAATTTTATATAACCTTTTACATTCAGTTTATTGTGATGAGGTAGAAACGTATAAAGAAAGAGAACCTGTCATATCAAAGAATACAACTCTGATAATAACTGTTGCCAAAATCTTTTCAAATGAAGTTTAGAAAATTGGGAAAACTTTTTTTATTTATTTGTCTCACATATGTGTTTTGGGAAAGGAAGGGAATATGTTATAGACTTTTCAGGTAATTGTAGTTATTGTTATTTGAGTCTATGAAAAAAGAAAAAGTATTGTTTGAGAAAAATTAGTTAACTCTCTGGAATCTGAAACCACATTTATAAACTTTTTGTGTTCTGGAACATTAGAATTTATTCCTTAAGCTTGCCTTTTGACTTGATCTTTGCTCTGCACTATTTTGTAACATACATCAATCATTTACAAAGTATTGGTTGCTGAATTTTGCAAAGCTTCCAAATATTGTAGCATTCTATTGTGCATAAAATAGTCACATTTGTCAATATCATCATCTCATCATCTCAGAAGAAGCCTTCAATATGCACAAAATGTCAAGCTCCTGGTAATAATACAAGTTTTCCAGAATTCTGGAGCTGGAGAGACAGGGGGTAAGGTGCTTACCTTGCATGTGGCTGACCCAAATTATATCCACAGAATACCATATGGTTCCCTGAGCACTGCTAGGAGTGATTCCTGAGAGCAGAACCAGGAGTAACCTCTGAGCATGACTAGGCATGGTTTTCATACCCAAACAAACAAAAACAGTTTTCCAGATTCTCTAAGCTTCATTTGAAAGTATTTTAATCTTGGCAACAGTTATTATCAGAGTTCTATTCTTTGATATGACAGGTTCTCTTTCTGCCAAAGTCTTTCCCAAATCAAACTCATAGTTTATCATTATTTACATTAAAATACTGTATTTCATGAAAAGAGATGAAAAGGGATTAGGTCAGTTTATAATTTAATCATACAAATTCTTTTTCATGCATAGATTTTCATAGCATTTCTATTTGTGATTACAAATATTGTGACAATGAATATTCATATACAAATCAAATGCATTTGTGTAAGATTTCTGTTACATATTCCCAAGTGAAAGTTCCAAGTGGGATGTAGTTATACATGTGTTCTAGTTCAATAGGTAGCCCAAAACTGTTTTCTAAAGTAATTATGTGAGTTTCCCACCTTCTGTTCTCTATCATCTTTTAGTGAACTTCTTTCTCTTTTTTTTCTTTCTTTTGAACTATAGAATACATCTACCTGTAATTTAGTTTGAGCTTTCAGTTTGATTTTAGATCTTTTTTGAGTTTGGGGCTTATTTTATACCTTATCGAATTTATCAGGGGTATATGCATGCAATACATAACTTATGATCAATGTAATTTATTATATATTTTTGAAATATTTATGTACAGATAAAGGACATGACTTAGTATCTGTAGCCTGAGATAATGAATATTTTAATTACGTGTTTACATTTTTCACATATGAACAGTATGCCTAGAAATATTAAAAATAATATTCACATTATTAAGGGGGAAAGTACTATGTTTTAATAGTACTTATAGTACTTATTTAGTACTATTGTCAGTGTAATAAAATACACTGAATGGATAATAGCATACTATCAGGTGATTTAGTGTGGTAAAATTATAATTTTTTTATTGTTTCCTAATTGTTTTGATTAGGAAAAATAGGAAATCTTTGAGTAAGATTATAAAAATAATCTTACTAATTCTTATATAATTATAGTTATGACAGTAGTGTATTTTATTTTTTTTTTTTGGAATATTTTATTTTATTTATTTATTTTTAAATTTTTATTAGTGAACTCAGGTCGGCCATGTTGGCCGCTTGTAAGGCGAACGCCCTACCCGCAGTGAAAGGGCTGGAGCGATAACACAGCAGGTAGGGTGTTCACCTTACAAGCGGCCAACCTGGCCGACCCGAGTTCGATTCCTCCGCCCCTCTCGGAGAGCCCGGCAAGCTACCGAGAGTATTCGATATGCCAGACACAGTAACAACAAAGTCTCCAATGGAGACGTTACTGGGCCCGCTCGAGCAAATCGACGATCAACGGGAGGGCCTTTACCTTTTACCTTATTAGTGAAATACCATGAGGTACAGTTGTAGACTTAGAGATTTTTGTGCTTGGGTTTCAGTCATATAATGATTGAGTACCCATCCCTCCACCCATGCCTATTCTTCACCTCCAATGCTCCCAGCATCCTCCCACCTCCCAAACTCCACCATCCCACCCCACCCCTGTGGTGGGGCATTCCCTTTTGTTCTCACTCTCCTTTTGGGTGTGTATTTTAAAGAAGTATTTTCCTCTTAAGAATTTTCTCCCTACCTGCCATTTTTACCCCTCTTTATCTCACATTTGTGGCAGACTGTAATTGTTGATTATTACCTTAGTAAGTGGGAATATCCAAGTGTTTTGTTTGTGTTTGTGGTCCAAGGAATCAAAAAAATTCTGGGTCATACACATGTAGTGCAAGTGCTCCACCATTAAGCTATATCCCAGCCTCTATCCAAGTATTTTGAAATTGGAAATCCTATGCATGGTTTTTTTAAGGCTATTATATAAAATGTTGTGAACAGCTTTTGTAATTCATAAGCATAGTCATAAATGAAAAAATTATATTATAAAACATACAAAATTGCTTTTGGATCAATTACTGGCTTTGAATTTAAAAACAAAAAGGAAACATTGAAAATGTTTTTCTTTGTTTCTACTGAGTCATAATCTATTATCTAATAAACAGTTTGAGCACAGTTTATATCTTGTAAAATTGAAGAACATCATATGCTTATTTAAAACTACTAATAAAAGTGGTATTATTTTTATTTTGGGGCCACACCCAGTGGTGCTCAAGATTTTCTCTTGGTTCTGTGCTCTGGGATCATTCCTAGTAGGGCTTTGGGGATCATATGGGCTGCTGAGGATTTAAGTCTGGTTGGTTGCATGCAGGGCAAGTGCTCTACCTGCTGTACTATCTCTTTAGTCCCATAGTACTAATATAGTTTTTTATCAAAAGTTTTCGTTATTTTTGTAGTCTCACTTTTTTAACCTCCTTCAATGGAATCTTTTCAATAGTCCTAGTTTTAAGGAACTTTCAATAGTCCTAGTTTTAAGACCAGAGCATATTGGTATGTTGCCACATATTACCACTGTCTTACAAAGTAGTATATTGATATGAGCAATAGAATATAGCAGTCAAAGGTAGTTTTGAATCTTGGTTTTGCCACTCACTGGTTGTTACAGCAAACCTTAAAATTTTTTTTCTCTTCTGATAAGAAGTGCTATTATACCCGTCATTTGGAGATGATAATGAGTATTAAGTAACTGTTTTAAGTATGTAGACTAGTCCTAGCTTTTATTAACCATGTCAATACATGTTGTTTTTGTATGTTACTGGGTTCAGTCAAGAGCAAAGTGGAAATTTTCAAAACATACTGCCTAGTGAATTAGAAAAAAGCTTTTGTAAAGTTGTAGCTTTTCACTGAGTTTTTAAAGATGCTAAGGAGCATTTAGTAGTACTTCATTTTGAGATCTAAGTGTACCAAAACCATAGGAACATGTAAGAGAACAAACGAGATGTTAAATATCTACAAGCTCTTTAGTTTCTTCCATTATGCCAAGCTGTTTTGAGGAATGAAATCCCAGAAGCTATTTTGGAAGCTATTGAGCATTTAAAAATGCCAATATTTAGTACAGAGGTTAAGGTACATGCCTTGCGTGCAGCCAACTTCAGTTCCTTCCTTGATAATGACATGGTTTCCCAAGCATTGCCAGGTATGGCCCTGGAGGTCCCCAGCACTTTTGATTTGTCTTGGGTAATTTCTGGCATCTTTAGGCCTTCCTATTGAATACCTGACCTGGTTGTACAACACCAAGCTGGTGTGGAGCCCTAACCTCCTGAGCATTGCTTGGGAGGCCCATAGGAAAAAAAAACCCTCCAGAATACGATGCCTGTCTTTTATACATCTCTTATCTATTACCTATTGGTGCCTAAAATAGAGAAATTGTCTTTGTAGAAAATACGTTGAAACCAATTTGTAAAAAAAAAAAAAATCAAAACAGAGCTCAACATAGGGGAAAGAAGATTTTTTGTTTACCTAATGATAATTAGATTGAGATAGTCAACAATCATTTTATAATTTGAACTTGAATAGGATATTTTAAGGAGCATGAGTTGACTCAATGAAAGTTTCTAAAGTATCTTATAAAAGGTTTATGGCACTTAGAATGATAGTTTGTGATCATAATCAGATTCTTCTCACTTTGTTTTCTCATTCTTAGATTAGTGATGTTAACAATGATCTAATATTTTGTAGAATGAAAAGTTTAATACTAAATTTAGTCTCCTGCGTATAAAAGTAATTTAGTGTAAGTGGAATTGGTTCTTGTATTTTGGGGATGAGGAAGAGCTAGGAATTCAACCCAAGACTTTACTAATGCAAGCTATGTGCTCTACTTGAAAGTGGAATAATATATTATTTTAGAAATAATTTACTTCTAGAAGGGAGAATATGCATATGTTGCATATCTGAAAGAATCCAATGGATTTTAGTACTTTAACCTTATGTCAAAATTTTGTATGCAATTCTTTGTTTTCATTTTTGGGTCACCTGACAGTGCTCAAAAGCCACTCGTCGCTTGCTGCTCAGGTATCCTGTGTTGCTGGTGATTGGACCTAGGGTCCTTACATGCAAAACATGTGTTCTAGCCCTTTGAACTATCTTCCAAAATTTGTAAATAATTTCTATTTTTGTAGGTAGTTCCTGGATTATATTAGTAGAACATAATTATGTGGATCAACAATGAAATCCCTTGTATATAATAGTTCTTGGCTGAAATATTTTCACTGTTTCCATCTTATAATAATGATCTAAAATATTTAGTAGTAGATGAAACCTCTCAAAGATCACTTGAATAATTATAATAAGCAAAATTTTAGAAAAGGAATAAATTATTCAATTAATATTTCAGAACTTGAGTGAAAAGTTGCTGAAGAAAGAACAAGATTATACCCAGTTGGAGGAGAAGCATAATGAAGAATCTCTGAGTAAAAAGAATATGCAAGCAAACCTTCATCAAAAAGACCTAGATTGCCAACAGCTTCAATCAAGATTATCTGCATCAGAAACATCACTACAGAGGATACAGGCGGAGCTAGGTGAAAAGGGAGAAGCTACTCAGAAACTTAAAGAGGAATTATCAGAAGTAGAAACCAAGTACCAGCATCTTAAGGCAGAATTTAAACAGCTACAACAACAGAGAGAAGAAAAGGAACAGCATGGGTTGCAGCTCCAAAGTGAGATTAATCAAGTAAGATTTTATTTTATTGATTGTTACTCTGTCTGTGGTTTCTTCTTAAGTGATAGCTAGTTGGAAATAATGTAGTTAATTAAATATACTATCATTTGGGACTGAGGTAGAGCTTAGTGGGCTGAGAGCATGCTTTGCATCCAAAAGGCCCAAGTTCAATTCCCAGCACTCTGTGGTCCCCTCAACACCACCAGAAGTGACCCATGAGCTCTGCAGAATGTGGACCAAACAAATAAAAACAACCCAAAAAGCAAAAAAAGGAGCAAAAAGAAAAACCCACAAAGCAATATGAAACACTGTCATAACGCTTTGAAGTTTCATAGCCTGTAATAATAGTGTTATCTTATTTCCTTTAATTTAGCATAGCATAAGGAAAAATGATATCTATCATATAGTATTGATATAAAGGTAAAGGCCCTCCCGTTGTTCGTCGATTTGCTCGAACGGGCCCAGTAACGTCTCCATTGGAGACTTTGTTGTTACTGTGTTTGGCATATCGAATACATCACGGGGAGCTTGCCAGGCTCTGCCGCGCGGGCGAGATACTCTCAGTAGCTTGCCGAGCTCTCCGAGAGGGGCGGAGGAATCGAACTCGGGTCGGCCATGTTGGCTGCGTGCAAGGCAAACGCCCTACTGCTGTGCTGTCGCTCAGCTTTGCAGCTTTTGACTACTGTAATTCAAATTTTTCACCCTTTATTTAAAAAATTTTTTTAAAGTGCTAACTAATTTTTTAAAATACAGTTCTTATAGAACCAATGGTATTAAAATTAGAATTTGTTAAAAGAAGAAAATAGATTAATTCTATTTTTTTAGATGGATAACACCTATCAGATGTTTTGACTTTGCCATTAACATAAATTTTTAAATTCTGTGTTCTAATTATCTTTTATAGATAAAGTAGTAAAAGTGGTTGAAAGATGGAAATTTTGGGGCAATTAAAAATAGCTACTTTTTGATAAGGTATATATCTTTTGTTGAAGTAGTATTTGCTATTATGGTCTTTATTTGTTCCATCTTGACCCGAGATATTCTTCCTGTTCCTTTTCACTATGATAAATAGTGTTGAACTCACTTGTTAGTTTTCAAGAAATCTTTCTCTGAATGTACCATGTTTTGATACACTAATCCTCTTCCTTAAAAGACTGCTTAAGCATATATCTATTTGGATTGATTTATTAGAGTATAGTGTTTTATCATATTTCTTCACTAGACTTCGAACTCTTCAACGTAAAAAACATGTTTGACTCATTTCCCTTTTACTGTTTTTATTTTGGGGGTAGGTGGGTAGGGAGGAGTGGAGAGTCTCCCAAGTAGTGCTCAGGTTACCTCCCAGCAGTGCTAATATAGGCCAGTCAAGCCTGGCAGCTAGGTCCAAAGATTTGTAGATGCTTTGGGCCTTGTGAAATAGGGATCAATAGGGCCACTCTGGCAATGCTTGGCAGCCTCTAAGATCACATTTGCTGTGTTAAGGGCTTCCATGACTACACTTAGTGGTGCTCAGGGACCGTATAATACTTCAAACTTGGTCCTGGTGCATTGCATAGCAACTCCCCCCACCCCCCCGAACAATTTCTCTGGTCTCTGTTTTGCTTTTTAAAAAAAAATCCTTACTACTTAGCACATTGCTTGTTAATTGGCAAAATATTTAGTGAATTAGTGAGAGAATGAATTAATGCAGGCTTTCATCATGGAAGAAAGCAGAAGTTTAGGAATATCAGTGAGTAGTTTAGAAATAAAATATAATTTGACTTTCACTTCAGTAATTTGAACATTTAACTTTCTGAGAGTCCTCATGCCGGAAATTTTGTTAGGAGATACAGGAAATAAAAGGAAATAATATGATAGTATAAATCTCCTTGAGGAGAAGGAAAGTACTTGATTCCATATATTTTGAGAATTTGAAAGAGTTTCTTCTCTTATTATTTGCCACCATGATACTTGTATAGTTATTTTATTCAGTTATGTGATCAGGAAATGCTTTATAGAAAAGAGTGATGCTTGAAATTATGAATGTTGGATAGGTTTTGACAGGTGGAAATTTGAAGATAGGAGAAACTCCCAGGAATTAGGATTAGTTTGAATAAGTTCCTGGTAGGAAGGTATCATAGGAATCAGGAAAGGACACTGATTTGCTCTTCTGATAGAGAATGTTTAATATGTGTGGGCTTTTATGACTAAAACTTTATTGTGTGAAGTTTAAATAGCAGACTGAGGAATTTGGGCTTTATGTGGTAGTCAGTGAATGAAGGATCATGAGGAATTTTTAAAAATTTACTCAATCGTGTATTTTTATGGCAAGACAAATGAGTGTGTGTTTGATATAGTCACAATACTGTATAAAATAAAAAGGTCACACTGAAACCTTCAAGTGATATCATTTATCTTCTTTCTTTCAGCATGCTGTCTAGATTCTGCCTTCATATATGTCTCAAATCAGTTTACTTCATCTGCATTGCTACCATCCTTATTCTCAGTGACCATCATTGCTTACCGGGGTTACCGGATTAGCCTTCTTCTAAATTTCCCTTCTTCTAGTGACCTCCTTAATCTAGCCTCCATACAGAAGCCAAAAGTATGTTTTTAAAAACAAAGGTATCACTTCATTCATCTGTTTAATACCCTACAGGTGACTTTGCAGTACACTTTCAATAAAATCTAAATGTCTTCTTTTGGCATGTAAACCTTTGGCATGTAGTATGGTTCACAGTTTGACATTAGACTTACCTCCCACCACTGTGAAGCCATATTGATATCATTTCAGTTCCTCAGATACACAAATGCTTTAAGCATTTTCATATCTTTGGTCTTTTGACAACTTTTTTTTAGCCTACTTTAGACCTTCATGCTTCACAAGATTGGCAGAGAGCTTATTTCCTCAATAAAGCTTTCCGAGACTGCTCTATTTAAATAGGATGTTTTCTATATCTTCTGGATTCTTTATCTCAGCAAGTGGTTTTTAAATTTTTTGAATTAATTTATAATTTTTATTATTGTTATTGGTTTTAAGGCCTTGTCCAGTGGTGCATAGGGGTTACTCCCAGCTCTGTTTTAGGGGGTCATTCCTGGTGGTGCTAAAGGGGCCATATGGTGTTGGGAATTGAACCCATGTCTCCTGTATACAAAAATTATACTCCACCTATGAGCTATCTCTCTGGTTCTTATTATTTTGATATTTTTATAGCATTTTATATAATTAGTTTTTCTTCTCTGGTTCTTATTATTTTGACATTTTTATAGCATTTTATATAATTAGTTTTTCTTCTCGTTGCTTTTTGGAATGTGAGCCCTTAATATGAGGAATTTGCTTTATTCTGTATTTTGTTGTCCTCAAAGGGCTTCAACATAGTCATTGGAGGAAGGAAGAGAAGTAAACTCCACCTTTTCCCAGGATCTTTAAAGATTGTAGGCATAAACTGTGTTTTGCTCTCCACTTTGTTTTCATGCTGAGAAAGTTAGCTGGTAGTTGTCATTTAGGACTAGGAAACAAAGTATTCTTCATAGTTTATATTTGTGTATTGCATATTTCTAAACTAGTCTATAGACTTCGTAGATATGATTTGTAGCATAGTTAAAAGATTTGTGTGATTTAATTTTTAAAGATTGTCTAAGTTGCCATCTCAAAGACTGCAGTGTCAATGAATGAGTCAGTTTTAGTTCTGTGAAACTAGAACTGCCTGAGTTCTAGTTCTGTGGCCAACCAGCATTTGGGCAAACTGTTTAATTACTTCATCAGTTTTCTCACCTACAAAAATGGAAATAATGATAGAACCTTCTTCCCAGAGTTATTATGAGGGTTTAATTAGTTTGTATTTGTGAAGCATTTAGAAAAGGGTCTGGTAGCTAATAAACATTATTAAGGATATAATGAATAAAGAATCATGTGTATAAATTATGACACTGAACATAAACATGAATATTTTATATTATTATTATTATTATTTGCTTTTTGGGTCACACCTGGCGATGCACAAAGGTTACTCCTTGCTCTGTACTCAGGAATTACCCCTGGCAGTGCTCATGGGACCATATGAGATGCCGGAGATAGAACCCAGATCAGCCAAGTGCAAGGCAAATGCCCTACCCGTTGTGCTATCACTCCAGTCCCAACATGAATATTTTAAAATATTACTTTAGTCCAGATCATTAATACTTTCTTTATTTATTTTTCTTCATTTGACCACACCTGCTGTGCTTGGGACTTACTTCTGACTCTGAGCACAAGGATCACTAGGCAGTGCTTGGTAACAATATGGGGTGCCAGGGATAGAACCCAGGTCAACCACATACAAGGCAAGCTTCTTACCCATTGTACTATCTCTCCAACTCTACCTTGGACACTGTGTTTGTGTGTGTGTGTGTGTGTGTGTGTGTGTGTGTGTGTGTGTGTGTGTGTGTAAGACAGAGAAACAGAGGGAGCGAAAGAGAGGGGAGAGAGAAAGAGAGAGGAGAGAGAAAAGAGAAAGAAGAGAGAGAAGAGAGACTGTAGTGCCCAGTTTTCTGAATTTTTCTGAAACTAAGTATCATCCGATTCTTGTTTGAAAACATATTTCTGAACTTTAGTTCAAATGTAATAAATCAAAACTTAGGAAAAAATTGAATATATTAATAATGATATTTGGAGAATCTTACAAAGTTAAGGAATTAAACTTGCATGATGTCTTTTTAATAGATCAATCTCTTGACCTTTATTTATTTATTTTATTTTATTTTTTGTTTTATTAGTGAAACACCATGAGATACAGTTGTAGACTTACAAGTTGTTGTGCTTGGGTTTCAGTTATACAGTGATGGAGTTTAACTAAGGAAGTAAAGGACCTGTACAAAGAAAACCTCTTGACCTTTAAAATGTGAATTTTTCTGGAAATCTGCTTTACTTTCGCATATTAGAATTGGGCCTGATTCTTTTAGTGAGGAAGTTTGTCTAGTTGTTACAGTGTTATCTGGCAGTTCTCAGGATGCTGGTTAAAGTCAAATATAAAATAAATGCATTCCCTTTATTACTGGTTACTATTTTAGATAGAAGATATTTTACTTCAGAAAATTCAATTTGGGGGAGCCAGAACAGCAGTACTTTTTTTTTTTTTGCCTTGAAGAGTCTTTGCTATGCATCTGACTCACCTGGGTTTCGTTCACAGCACCCCATAAAGTCCCTTGACCCTCACCAGAAGTACTTACTGAGCTTAGACTCAGGAGCAAGTCCTGGCACCATTGGCTATGGCCTTCACACCAAAATAAGAAAATTGAATCTGGGTATTTCATGTTAAAGGATGTGTTGTGATAGCCACAGACCTTTTCTTGGCATAAGAAAATAGTGAGTGTCCACTTTTTGATACAACTTAATTTTTTTTCTTGCCTACTGAATTTTTATGGAGAAATATGTGAATATACAACATGTAAATATAAATAAGATACAAATTCTGTAGTCTTATATTTCTAGTTTTAAAGATATGTTATGAGGCTGGTGATATAGAATTATTTGTGTGTAAACCTTGCCTAATATCTATATCTATATAGATATAGATGGAGTTTATATCTATAACACTGTAATAACTAGACAAACTTCCTCACTAAAAGAATCAGGCCCAATTCTAATATGCGAAAGTAAAGCAGATTTCCAGAAAAATTCACATTTTAAAGGTCAAGAGGTTTTCTTTGTACAGGTCCTTTACTTCCTTAGTTAAACTCCATATAGGCATCTATATCTCTATAACTTTTCTAACTCTTGTTTTACTAACTATCCCCAACTACTATTGGGGTAGTAATTCTGAAATCAGTATTATTTTTTTCTTATTTATTAAAAGAAATGTGCACTCTCAAGGGAAATTATTATTTTTGATAGAAATAATGAAGAATTTGAGAAAGAGATTGTCCTTAGCTCCAGGAAAGATTTACTTTTTAGTTTTCACTGCATAGCAAACTTGAAGTTAATGAATTGTCACCTAATACTGAATTATTTTTATTCAGAATGAATTTGGAATACTTTGTGCTTTATTTAGTACCCAAGCATAAGAAATCAGTTTTGGTGGATCATAATTATGAAAAAATAGGAAAAATCACTAACATTAAAAAACATACAGTGGAATAAATATGAATGTAGTTTGAGTGTTTCAATTTTTAAGTATCATTTTATTATTTTAAGTTTCTTAAATGATTACAGTATTTATCCAGATAAAAACCTTTGGTTCATTATATTTATATCAGCATTTCTGTGTATATATAAATATGCACTCATTTACATATATATATTTTTAATGTCACCAGCAGACCTCTGGAGTCCCTGGGCTGCCTCAATTGATCAACTTGGTCTGCCTAGTGTGGCTTTACAGTTCAGTACTTGGGCCCCATGATGTTCAGGCCACTAGCACTGTACCCAGCGGTTCTAGGGCTGAGTCATAGTGTGCTTAAGATGGAACTCGGGTCACTGTATGCAAAGCATATGCTTCAGGCCTTTTAGCCCTCTCCCAGGTCCCCTACTATATATATATATATATTTTTTTTTTCTTTTTGGGTCATACTTGGCGATGCACAGGGGTTACTCTTGGTTCTGCACTCAGGAATCACCCCTGGCGGTGCTCAGGGGATCATATGGGATGCTAGGAATTGAACCTGGGTTGGCCACGTGCAAGGCAAACGCCCTACCCGCTGTGCTATTGCTCCAGCCCCCTCTACTATATATTTTAAGAGAGAACATAATGTCATTCCTTCCCTACAGACTGTGAATTTAGTTACAATTTTATGTGCTTTATCATAATTTATGTGATTAAAATTCAGTTGGAGTTAAATTACTTGACAAGGAATTAGGTTCCTCCAAAAGGTCATAAAAATTAATATATATTTTGGTGAAAAGTGAAACATGTTTGAAAAGTAGATGGTGGTAGTGATAGTCGTGATCTCTTTGCATATATTAATACAAGTATATATACCTTTTAATATTTTCTTCTTTAAAGTTACATAACAAGCTTTTGGAGACAGAGCGCCAATTAGGAGAAGCTCATGGTCGACTGAAAGAACAGAGACAGCTTTCCAGTGAAAAGCTTATGGATAAAGAACAGCAAGTAGCTGATCTTCAACTCAAGCTTTCTCGTTCAGAAGAACAGGTAATCTAGGATTTCAGATGAATTTATAATACCAAATTTCTTGAGAAATTTGAGAAATTTTAAGTATTGTTATAGCCCAGCCTTTTAATTGTGAAGAGTTTTAATGGGGTTTTCCTTTTTAACTTTAAATTGTAGCATTTATTTTGACCAGTGAAAATATTCTGTGGATTAACTTTAATAAGTCATTTTGTTAGGATTGTGATCCACAAAGGGTCAACAAAATGTCCATATTACCTTTTCTGCTTGAGGTAGGAAGAATTCAAGAATGAACCACTGTCAGGCTATTAAAGAAGTTTCTGACCTCGGAAGCTACTTCTTAATGTCATAGTGAAAAATGAACACTTTGTGAAGGTCATTAATGACATGTGATTAGTCCATTTAAACTTTGAGTTTGTGTTTTAAGAAATTTTAGTCTGAAAAAAATAAGCATAAGATTGAATGCTATTCTAATTATAGATGTCACTGTCACTGTCCTCTTGTTCATCATTTTGCTCGAGTGGGCAGCAGTAACGTCTAACAACAAATTATGAGACTTGCTGTTACTGTTTTTGGCATATTGAATACAACATGGGTAGCTTGCCAGGCTTTGCTGTGTGACAAGATACTCTCGGTAGCTTTCCGGTCTCTCCAAGAGGGGCGGAGAAATTGAACTCAGGTTCGTTGTGTGTAAGGCAAATGTCTTACCCCCAGTGCTATCGCTTCAAACCAATTATAGATGTGGTAGTTAAAAATGGTAAAACTATTATTTAATGTAAACATTTTCATTAAATTGTATAATTTATTAGAATGAAAGTAACATTGTGAGTTAACTAAAACCTTTAGCTTTTCAGTAGCACTACACATATTTTTTCCTTTTAGACACCAAATTTAGATGTGCAGATTATCCTATTTATTTATTTAAACACTAATTTACCAAGTTGTTCATAATACAGTTGTTTCAGGTATCTCATGTTCCAAAACCAGTCGCACCACTATTGTGACCTTTTCTCCAGTAGTGTCCCTAGTTTTCTGCCCACCACTTAAGCCAGAACACTTAGCAGGCACAAACAAATTTACTTGATATTGCTTGTCAGAATACGAAGGAAAATGGAGTTATCAAAAACTAGATTAATAAAAGTAAATTTGTGATCATCATCATATCTCACAATGGTGTTACTAAAGTCTTTGAGGATTTATTGGAATGGTTTGGGCTAATTGAATCTTCTATGTTAGTGTTTTCACTCATTGAGCTTGGTAATCTACACAGATTTTCCATCAGATTTGCTGTGGTCCTACTGGACTGATAGTACTATGAAATTTTGAGATGTCATGTGGCCCTGTGTGAAGCTGTGTGTTCCAGGAGTTATGGAGTTGGAATGATTTGGTGGCTTGACAGCTTGATGAGCTTCAGTTAAGGAGATGGGTTCTTTCTATGTGGGAGTGCATCAGGTGTGGCTGCGGGTTCTGCATCTTCATGCAGAAAGGAAAATTCACCTACCCCCATGTCCTGAAGGCCCCCCAGTTTCCAGCCCAGACAAGTTTGCTTGGGGAGAGTTAGCAGCATCATGTTCTTTTCAAGATTAGTTGTTCTATTATTTTCTACTAGTAAAATTAATTATAATAAGCAGTCATGATTGGAAAAAATATCTATGTTGATACTTTAGTTCCATGTTTTCTTGATTATATTATAGAAAAAAATAATGAGCTAAATGTATTATGGATTAAAAACATTGTTTTTTGTTTGTTTGTTTTTGTTTTGAATGGTGTTACGGTGCTGGGGATAAAACCCAGGACCTCAGAACATGTGAGGCATGTGCTCTACTGAGCCGCATTGCCAGCACTGAAGTGCATTCTGTTTTTGATGGGAGAAAGGCCATGCCCAATGGTGCTCAGGATTTACTCCTGGCTCTGTGTTCAGGGATTACTCCTTGGTGCCAGAAATTGAAATCGAGTGGGCCATGATGTGCAAGGCAAGCACCCTACCCATTGCACTATTACTTCTGCCCCACACTGTATTCTTTTTAGAATGAGTTTCTTCTTACAGTTTCTCCCATAGGAGATAACATGTTGTTTATAAAGTTAACATTACATGTTGTTTGAATTTAACATTCTGTTAAGGTTTAAAGTAATGTCAGATATTTATGAATGACTTCTTTTAGGCACATACATTGTTAAAATTAACAATTTACCTTTTTTTTTTTAAGTTGAAGGAAAAAGTAACACATTTCACCGAATTACAGCATCAGTTAGAGAAAACAAAGCAGCAGCATCAAGAGCAACAGGGTCTTCAGCAAAGTACCACAGCAAAACTTCGAGAAGCACAGGTAACATTACATGAATTTTTAGCTTTTTCCTCAAAATTTAATTATCTCTCTTCTGCTGTGATAAAATGAGGTCAGTAAAATACTTGATTGTGAAGCAGTTTGATAATTTTTAGTATGTAGATAATACTTTTTTTACTATAAGTAAATTTGAAATATTTAGATTTTTAATTTTTATTTTAAATAAAATCTATAAAATTATGCATATTTAATAGGATACCTTATTTAAAAAGCTACAATGTGTAAATAGGAATTTCTGGTTTATTAACTCAGGAAAAATTAACATTTTTCATTTGCTACAGTGGAGTTTAGTGTTATAAATTACATCTTTCCTTTCTTCAAAACTATCATGCCAACATTGGGTTAGGTATAGAAAATGTAAAAGTTGAGCTACATTCATACAGATTGTATAGCATAGTTTAGAATATTGAAAAAAAATTAAAGTTTTGTTATGGTGTGGGAGAGTGCTCAAAATGTGTGAAATGAAATTGACTTTGACATTTGTTTCTTCCTTTGTTCTTTTCATCAATTCATATCTTACCAAGTCCTGCATGCTATTTTATATAGTCAAGTGAGAATAAAGATGTCAGTAGTGTGTGTAATTACCAAGACTGTGTGCTATGCTATACAGTCAAGGGAGAATAAAAATGTTAATAGTACACATAGTTCTTGCCTATTAGGAAATGGCAATTTAGTGGTGTGTAACAGAAAGAATATTGGCACTAAATGATATTCTTATCTGTTCTGTGTTTGAAAAGTGACATGGGAGTCAGATGGAGAGAGATTCAGATATTTTAATTTTTTTGCCTTTTTTTTTCCATTCAGCTAGTGAGTAAATGTCTTTGTGCCTACTCTTGGTCAAGGAAGTGATTTATGGAAATGACTGTGCAGACAAAAGACAAAAGTATCTCCTTTCCTATAGCTTATTGAAGGAGGCAAACAACAGGGGAGGCGAATCAGCAAAATAGTGTGTTAGATGGCAATAAGTGCTAAGCAGATGAGGAAATGGGCAAGGTTAAGAACTGTATCCAGAGCTTGAGGTTGACTGTTGCTTTGGATAGGGATGCTAGGGAAGGTTTCACTGAGATGATGAAAAGCAAAAGGAGAGTGTGAGCCTTGATATTAGAGAGAAAAGCTTCAGTACCTTAAGAGTTCTCGAGACAGAAGCTACACTGTATAAGGACTTGTCTAAGGAACATAAGGAAGCCAGAGGCTGGACTGATGAGTGATAAGAATTTTAAAAAGACATACTCAGAGAAATTATTGGGGATCATTGAGTCTCAGGTAATTTTAAGGAATTTGTTTAGCATGAGAAGATGAGAAATCACTGAGCAAAGGAATGCAAAGATCTAACTTACAACTTCTCTAGCTGCAGAGGCACATGAGTAGAAACAAATTTGGAGACTAGAATAATTCAGATGACACTGGAATGCCTTGGACTTATATGTAAATAAATGCAGGTAGTATTTAGTGAGTGATCAGGTTGTAGACCTAGTTGAAAGGTAAAAGTGGCTGATTTAATATTGATTGACGTGTAGAGTACTGAAAGAGGAGTAAAAATTGAATCTAAAGATTTTGGATTGGGTATTCTGGAGGATGGTGCAGCCAAGTAAAATAAAGACCGAGAAGATGGGAATCCTATTTGGCAGTTTGGCAAAATGAAGGCCACAGATGATGTTGCTTAGAACAATCTGTTTTTGGTGGTTTTTTTTTATTTCATTTGTGGGCCACACCTAGTTGGTGATGCTCAGGGGTTACTCATGGCTCTACACTCAGGAATTACTCCTTGTCCTGGTGGTGCTCAGGGAACCATATGCGATGTTGGAGATTGAACCCAGGTTGGGTATATGCAAGATAAGCACCCCTCCCATTGTACTATAGCTCTAGCCCTTCTGGGAACAATTTGGGCATACCAGGAATTAAGGCCTGTTAGTTAAGTTTTAAGAATAAATGGGAAGAGATACATTGGGAAAAAAATGAATATAAATAATTCCAGAGATTTAAGAAGTAGCAAAGAAATAGATGGTAACCGAGGTATAGAATTTGGCATAGGTCCTGGACTCTGGGCTCAACGGGACTGGGAGTGGAGATTTTCTGCCCATTCCCCATTCATTGTCGTTGCCCCCCCCCCCATCTCCAGTGACCCAGGGGTCACGCACATATGCCACCTCCTGCTGGCGCCAGATAATCTCTTCAGTGGCCACCATCCAGATCACATGGCTTTTTCTCCCAGAAGGAAGCAACATGATGCCCGCCATAGCCATGCCACCAGACTCTGCACCAGTCTGTTTCACTTGGGGTACCCTAGAGGGGGGTGGGTGAGAGTGCTCAAGGCTGTTCCCCACATGCTTCGGCCAAGCCTCACGTACGAGTGACCATATTCCTAGACCGTGTGACACATCATAAGACACTCTCTACTCATTCTCCATAAGTACCACAGCACATTTGAATTTGATGGGGTTCAAACAGTAGGCAACAAATCATAGAGGGGAATATATGTGTGTGTGTGTGTGTGTGTGTGTGTATATATATATATATATATATATATATATATATATATATATATCACGGTCACAGTCCTCCCGTTGTTCATCGATTTGCTCAAGCAGGCCCAGTAACGTCTCCTTCGTGAGACTTGTTACTGTGTTTGGCATATTGAATACGTCATGGGTAGCTTGCCAGGCCCTGCTGTGCGGGCAAGATACTCTCGGTAGCTTGCCGGGCTCTCCGAGAGGGGAGGAGGAATCGAAGTCAGGTCAGCCATGTTGGCTGCGTGCAAGGCAAATGCCCTACCCGCTGTGCTATCGCTCCAGCCCATATATATATGTATGTATATAATTATATGCATATATATAGTTTTATATATATATATTATATATAGATGAAAGCTCACATCACTCAACCTTTAACAACCTGTTAGTGATATTCTAAAGAATGTCTTAATGGTCCCTGCCAAAATAGAAAAATCTTCATGCTTTCTCCTCTCTGGGTAATTTTGTAGCATTTTCAGCAGTTTTCCATAACAGACAATATAAAATATATTATTTTGGTTGTGCCTTGGGACAGGAATTGGGGCTTGGGATGGAAATATCCCCAGTTTGGTAGTGCGAAGGTATAATGGTGGTGGGTTTGGTGTTTGATTATTAGCTGTAATCAAATATTGTGAACCAACTTGTAAATAAAAAAATTAAAAAAAGAAAAGAATTTGACTAGGTCTAAAGCAAGTCTGTGGACTTTCTACCCCTCCCCCTTTATTTAAACACCAGAATTTACAAAGTTGTTCATAGTATATTTGTTAGGCATTCAATATTCCAACACCAATTTTTTCACATGTGTGAAATTCCCTCCACCATTGTCTCCATTTTCGAACCCCCCAATCCTGTCCCCGTGGACTTTCTAATATATTTCTCAGAATTAAAAATTTCTCACTCAGTTGAAGATGAAAATCACAGCCTCTTACCTCCTTAGTTTTTTTTTCCCCTGTAAAAAGTGAACATTTTACAATCATTAGAAACCGAAAAATCTATTCCCCCTGCTGGAGCTGGAGATCAAACGCAGATCTAAAGCATAAAAGACATGTGGTTTTTGGCTAAAGCATGTTTTCATTTTCTTAAGTGTAAATTGTTTCTCAAACTGAGGTTACAAAGTAAGGGGTGAGTTGATTTAGTGCCTTATTTCAAACTTTCCATTAATTAAATTCTCATCTTATGGTGAGCAAGAAGAAAAAGAGCAACAAAGAGACTAGGCAAAAATATTTAAAATATATAGTTAAAGAGATATAATGAGTATAGTTCTAGATTTATATGTATATATAAAATTATCATGGTAGCAAAGAGGGGACACTTACATAATCCAAGTAGGCTCAGAAAAAGACCAGTAATAGAATGCTTCCTAAAAGTGACAATTTGACTTGCAAAGGTTGAGTAGTTCTGGGTTGCTCAGAGGGTGATACTAAGGATTATACTTTAAAGAGAAACTACAAGGGTGAGAGCATTGAAGCTAGTTATAAATTAACCTGGAGGTCTTTTTGGCTGTAATTGGTGATGTTTGGGGCAACTCCTGGCTTTCCTCAGGTATCAGATCCAGTGGGGCTTCTGGGAACCATCTGTGTCACGGGTTGAACTGGGCTTAATCTCAGTCTGCTCCCCCCTAAAGTTTACTGTGTAATTTAGAGATTAAAATTTGATGTTGGAAGTGTTTTTGACAGAAATACCCGATTATGTTAGAATTAATGTAATGTGAGAAAATAATTGAAAATATTAGAGAAGAGGTAATTGAAGAAATAAGGTATCACTTAAAAAGCTATGTGCCACTGAATGGATGGTAGTAAATTTGGTCTTCACTCTATCACTGTATCACTGTCATCCTGTTGTTCATCAATTGCCTCGAGCAGGCCCCAGTAACGTCTCCTTCATCCTAGCCCTGAGGTTTTAAAAAGTGCCACATTTGAGGCTCTTTCAGGGTCAGGAGAATGAGACCCATCATTGTGACTGGTTAATGGCATATTGAATACTCCACGGGGAGTTTGCCAGACTCTGCTGTGTGGGCAGGATACTTTTGGTAGCCTGCCAGGTTCTCCAGAGTACGAACTAGATTCACAGCCGCACGCTTCTGGGAGCAGGGTTTTATAGTCTCTGGGTCTTGGCCGTTGATGGGATTACATGGTGCTGGGGGCAGTTGGTGGGTGTAACGCCTGCATACTGGAAGATGTGGGATCTGGGTGGAGGAGGCCCCAGTCCCAACGCAAGCAGGCTTATATATAAACATATATATGCATGGGTATATGCAACTTTATAACTAAGGAGATAGAAAAAATCCCACTCCTTTTAAAAAGTAAAGTTAGAGATAGTAATGGTTGGGGGTGGCAGACAAGAATTTGAGAGAATATTTGATGTTTTTCAAGTAGTTATTGAAGGGAATGTTGGTGGTAACAACCTCATTCAAGTGAAAATATTCTAACTAAGATGATTATGAGTATGTAATAGAAATTGAAATCTAGAAATGAATAGTGACACCAGTTTATGGAGATTATGGTTTTGATTTAATGGGACTTAGAAATATAGATATAAAAAAAGAAAAATGCAGAATCAGACTAGGATTGGCCTTTTTAGGGGGGAATGGTAAAAGAAAATGGAGAATATACTTGAAAGAATATTTAAGGTTAGTTAATATCCATGTCTGGAATTCATAAAGAGAAAATAGCTCATTGAAAATTGAAATAAATGTCTCTGACTGAGAACAGTGGAAATGAAGTCATATCCAAATTGGAAGATGTCAGGAAGCTGGGCACTGGGTAGAGTAGTTTTTTCCCTCTGGAACAATTCTAGGTGATCCTCCTGATGAGTGATTAAACTGTGTTTTGGGTAAGGGTAAGGGTCTAGGAATTAGGATGGTATGAATGTTGATTCAATATGTTAATACTTTATGTATTTTGTATTTCCCAGGAAATTGGCAGAAATTGGGATTGAAAGACTAAATCAGGTCTCAAGTCTTCAGTGAATGAGGTAGGGATTTATAGAAAGCAATGCAGAGTAGAGGGTAGGATAAGGGATTGACATATGCCCCAGTCTAACATGAAGCTTTTACATGAGAGAAAGTTATGTTGAGAAACCGGAAAAGTTTCAACTACTTTAGCTTTCCCAGAGGAATAGATCTACATATGAGGAAAGGTAGATAGGATATAAACATTTTGAAAAGAAGAACCATAATTCAGTTATGACATGGAAATAGATGATTGTTATGGAGAAAAACTTAGGACTTGAACTGTAGTTCCAGAAGAGTCATAGAATGTATATTAGTCACAGGAACAGAGCTTGAAAGCCTTGAAAGCCAGAGAGGTTATATTGCTTTTCACTCTTTTGTGATTTAAATTCAGAGGTATGAGAAACATGTTTGAAAAATAATACAAAGTACTTTAATGTTATGGATTGGAGATGTGACTTTGTGTAAGAGCACTTGTCGTGTGTGTGTGTGTGTGTGTGTGTGTGTGTGTGTGTGTGTGTATCCCTGAGTTTATCCCTGGCACTGCCCCCGAAGCAAAACAAAGCCCAAAACTATAAAATGTTTTTTTAAATTTGCGGTGGTTTCTGGCTTTATTTCAGTATGGTGGTATGTAGGCTATGGTGAGATTTGGAGAAGGGTTGATTAGGACCTTGTTTAAAGTTAAAGACTTTCTTAACTAAATGGCTGAGGAAAAAGCATAGAGTGTGGATTGGACAGTTCCAGAATGTTAATAGACATTGTTGTGGAGGTGGATTATTGCACTGTTTGGTGTAACATTCATACCCTTGATAAAGCAAAAGAAGAGTTATCTCAGTATTTTGATAAGATTCCCATTAGCTTTCATGAGTGTATGGGAGTTAGAATGCAGTCGTTTAATTTTCTCTTCATTCAACCACTGTCTTGGAGTATGTATGCTTTCATTAATTAGGGAATAAAACAAACAAAACTTTTCACCTTCATGCAGCACATAATTTAGTGTAGGTGAAAGGAAGTAGACAACTATGAGGAATAAAAGTTAGATGCTTATGGACCAGAGTGATAGTATAGGAAGTAAGGCATATCAGCTGACCCTGGTTCTATCTCTGGCACTAAATGTACTTCCTGAGCACTGCCAGGGGTTACTCCTAAGCACCACCACCAACAAAAAAGGAAAAATGTTTAGTGTATTAGAAGATAAGTGCTATAGAAGAAAAATGTATCTGATGGAGTATAGAAAAGGGTATAGTTTTATTATATATAATGATCAGGATACATCCAGTTATGAAATGACATTTGAAAAGAATGCCTAACAAAGTATTTATGTCAACTATGAATAGATATTTGAATATGGGATGAGCCTTGTGACTTTCTGGGGTAAGTTTTTCACACAGAAGAAACAATTATTATGAAGCCTCTCAGATGGGCATTTGCTTGATGTGATTAAAGAATAATGAGGAGTCTCATGTATCTGAAATGGGTTATATAAGAAGTAGTGTTAGTGAGGTTTGTGTTAGAATAAGAAAGTGATTAATTGTAGTTTTTTTCTGTTGATAAATTCTAGTTAATTTTCAACAATCTATATATAAGCATACAGTTCTAATTGTCTTAAAATGCAATATTGATTAAAAATTTTAATACTTAAGTCTGAAGTATAAAACTTGTTAATCATTTTATGTTTGAAGAATAGCTTTTCAAGTTGATTCTTAAGGTAGTAGTTTTCAATTCTTTACAGAATGATTTGGAACAAGTACTACGTCAAATTGGTGATAAGGATCAAAAGATACAGAATCTTGAAGCTTTGTTACAGAAGAGTAAAGAAAATACTTCCTTATTAGAAAAGGAAAGAGAAGACCTTTATGCAAAAATTCAGGCTGGTGAAGGAGAAACTGCTGTTCTCAACCAGTTACAAGAGAAAAACCATACATTACAGGAACAGGTGAGCTTGTCAGATGTACTGTATTGCTCAGTTTACTTTTCTTTAGGTGCTTTATTTAAAGTATTTGTTCTTTTTATTATTTTTCAAATAGTATGCATTTTCCCAAATACCATATAATTTACCTTTGAAGTACATGAATTGTTGTTGTTCTAAATGTAAGTTAAGAAATATTTGCCAAGGAAACCACAGTTCACATCTCAGGTTGTAACTTACTACTTATGTGACTGTGAGCAAATAATTTTACCTTGTTAATTCATTTGAAGAACAATGATGTTATTAATACTACATACTTGTCTTGTGGCATTTTGTGACATTTAGAAAAAAGATAAAAACATTCAAGTATTAGTTGCTAAAATTTATTGATAACTTGTAGACTTAGTGGCTACTTACACTTTGATTAATTTGTGTGTTTTGGAATAACATAGCTAATACTAATTTTAATAAGTTGCCATATTGTTTCAAAATTTATTTGTAGTTGTTTAAAATAAATTTAAAGTATTTAGGTTAATACATATTCAAACTGTAAAGAATGGATAATATTTTGAGGGGAAGAATTTTCTGATAGTAGAATAAATTATATGAAGAGAAAATACTGAAACAAAGTAGCAGCAGTCATATCACTTAATTTACATTGGGAAATTTCCCCTCTCAAACTTTGCGTCATGGATTTGCCTCAGTGTCAGGACACATACCTGACATATTGATCATCCCAAGTTTAAACCCTAGTTTAACACGGCCCCTATTTACTGCTGGTATGCAGCTCTAGAGGTCCTCTCCCTACTCCCAGCCCCCCCCCCCCCCCCCCCCCGGGCACTTCTGATTGTAATACAGGTGGCCATCACCACTGCTGGGCCTGAGCATTGAGCTGTCTGATTCAGTTGGTTCAGTATTATCAGGAATGCTCCCTAGACCCTCTGACCACTGCTTTGAAGACACCTCATCTCCCCCCAAAAGTGAATCATGGTTAACAGTTTCATGTACAATTCTTTAGATTATTTTTTAGTTGTGGTTTGACTATAACTTACCATTGTTTACTATATAAAAGGAATAAAGAAAGCCTATCCACTTTTTAAAGGAATAAATTAAGAAAGTAGTTTTTCAAAGTAATCACCAGGAAAAAAATGTATACCTGTGCAGAGGTAAATGTCAACTAGACCAAGTGTGGTTATCATTGTGCAATATATATAATCATTGAATCTTTCTGTTTTCTTTCTGGAACAAATGTAATTTTATGTTAATTATACATCAATGAAAGAAGAGTAAGTTAAAATAAGTCTACACAGTTCTGCTTCTCGTATGTTGAAATAATTCCTATTACCTATTCTAGTTTGGAGCGATAGCACAGCAGATAGGACGTTTGCCTTGCAAGCGCCAGCATGGTGACCCGAGTTCGATTCCTCTGCTCCTCTCGGAGAGCCCAGCAAGCTACCGAGAGGATCTCGCCCGCACGGCAAAGCTTGGCAAGCTACCCATGACATATTCGATATGCCAAACACAGTAACAATTGTCACAATGGGGACGTTACTGGGCCCGCTCGAGCAAATCGATGAACAACGGGAGGACAGTGACATTACCAATTCCACCATAAACAATTAGAAAGTAGACAAAATATTGTGCAGTCACCATTTCCAGACATTGTATAACAGCAGTGTAGGACTTTGCTCCCTGACAGAGAAGAATGAAGTGAGCCTTTGACCACTTTCACAACTTTTGACTTTGAATAACTTTCTAGGCTTTGGTGTAGGTTGGGGGAAGGAAAAGAAAGCACTATTATCTCACTGAACTGAGGAATGAAAGATTGGCACTCAGATTGATTATGATAGCTCTGATTTGCAGGGCAGTTACCATAGAGGAGAAAATAGTTGAGGGCAAAAACTCAGAACTCAGTATAGGGATTCAGTTGAGCCTTTGACTTAATGCATCATAGGGTAGGAGTCTAGGAGGCCAGACCATGAATCAGGGCCAATAGGCAGAAAAATTACCTGACCTCACGGGATTGGTACATATTGGTGGTCTTGATAGTAAGAGAGAAAAGACATAATTAGATTCTTGGTACATTGAGTAGAAACCCAAGAAATGTCATGATTTAGGAGTAAATCTGAACTGTCTACTGCCCAGGCAAACTGCCCGGGCAAAACATATAAGGAAGCTCCTAAAGGAACCAGCTGAACCACTACTATATAACTGCCTCCTGGCATAATGCTCAGTAGTCTTTCAAGGAGTGTAACTGAATCAAAAACCATCATAAGTCCACGGTCCACGGTCCTCCCGTTGTTCATTGATTTGCTCTAGCGGGCCCAGTAACGTCTCCTTTGTGAGACTTGTTGTTACTGTGTTTGGCATATTGAATACGTCACGGGTAGCTTGCCAGGCTCTCCGAGAGGGGCAGAGGAATCGAACTCGGGTCGGCCATGTTGGCTGTGTGCAAGGCAAATGCCCTACCCGCTGTGCTATTGCTCCAGCCCATCATAAGTATAGAAAAAAATTTCTAGATGCAGCTAAAAATATTTCTAGAGTTCTTGTGTTAGATTTGTTAGACCTTGAGTTTGGTATTCAGAATGTAAAACAAACAAACAAAAAAAAAAACATGGAAAAGAAAATAGAGGAAAGAGAAATTATTAAGCTTCTGAAAAAACAGAAAATGTGAGCAATAAGCAAAAGAAAAGGCATTCAATGAAATAGACCCTTAAATGAGAAATGATACAATCCTAAATCTATGCATCTTAAAATATATTTAAAACAATATATTTAAATTTAATCTTTTTAAAATATACTTAAGGACACAAAAGGACTAGAGAAGTAATGGAAAGAGAAATTTAAGAGGTAAAATAATCTAAATAAAATTTTATCAGATTATTTAATGAGATAGAAAATAATATTGGTGTATATTTAGACAAGTTAATTGAAACTGTTGAAAATGAAGAACAGAAAGCTGGGGGAAGAAATCAGTGCTTTAGTCACTAAATTGACAGTATCATTGATTAGTACGTAAACCCAGAATTCAAAAAGTGGAACATATTCCTAGTTCAATACGCTAGAGAAATATCAGAAGAATGACATGTACATTTTACAATACAGAAATGAAAGCAAAGACCCAGGCTGGAAAAAAAATTGATGCACTTATATCTGATAATTAAGAAATATTCAGAATAGAGGCTGGAGCAATAGTACAATGGGTAGGGCATTTGCCTTGCACACGGCCAACCTGAGTTCAATCCCCAGTATCCCAGATGTTCCTCAATCACTGCCAGTAGTAATTCCTGAGTGCATAGCCAGAGGTAACTCCTGAGCATTGCGGGGTATGACCCAAGAAAGCAAAAAACCAACCAAACAAGAAATACTCGGAATATATGAAGAATTTTTGCTATTTTGATAACTAATTAGTTGTCTGGTATTAAAAATGAATGGAGGGTACTGACTGTAGAGGGGCCTGAATAAAGTTTCTGTGGTCATTACAATTTCTGTGTTGTTATGGTAATAGTTTGATGAGTGTTTAACAAGTTGAATAATCTAGGGGTGAATTTTTTTTTATATTGTAAGAGTACTGCCATTTATTCAGCCATTGATTAAGCTGATTGAATTTGGCATGAACTCCACTATCTGTAGTATTGTCCTCCTGTTGTTCATCGATTTGCTTGAGCAGGCACCAGTAATGTCTCTATTGTGAGACTTGTTATTTTTTTTGGCATATCGAATACGCCACGGGGAGCTTGCTAGCCTCTGCTGTGTGGGCGGGATACTCTTGGTAGCTTGACAGGCTCTCTGAGACGGATGAAGGAATCCAATATGGGTCGGCCACGTGCAAAGCAAATATTCTATCCACTGTGCTATTGCTCCAGCTCATGCACTCCACATCACTTTTTTTTAGTTCAGAATGTTTAATTAATTTTATTATTTTATTATTATTTCCCTCACCCCTTTTTTGATTCACCGTGAGATACAGTTACGAAGCTTTCATGTTTAAGCTTCAGTCATACAATCATCAAACACTTCCCTTCACTAGTGCACATTTTCTGCTACCAAAATTCCCAGTATTTCCCCTCCCCCACTCATTCCAACCCTACCCCTGCCTGTGTGGCAGATAATTTCTCCCATAATCTCTTTCTACTTTGGTTACATTCGATATTTTGACGCCAGTCACTCTACCACTCAAATCTGCTGAAAAGCACTGCTAGATGATTTGTTTTGTATTACTTGTTATAGACAGAATATAATGTCCAAGAAATTCTGTGTCGTTCTCTTCTGCTTTAGTTTATAGTCTCTGGGTCTTGTCCATTGATGAGATTACATGGCACTGGGGGCAGTTTGTGGGTATGACTGCCAAGCTTCTGGAAAACTTGGGACCTTGGGGGAGGAAGCCCAGTCCCCATCCAAGCAGGCTTGGGGATCTCAGTCACAGGTTCCCTCATACCTCGGTTTTTGTGCTGGTCCGCTCTTGGGTGAAGTTCATCCCGTCTTGGTGAGTCTTGTCCCCTCTTGGGTGAGACTTCTCTGTGTGAAGAGTGGCCTTGTGCATGCCGGAGGTTGGGTTCTGGAGGTTTTCGGCTCTCAGGGTTCTGCTTGGGGCAGGGAAGGAAACTCAACCTGCCCCCCTCCAAGGTGCCCCAGTGAAGACAGCCAGGTGTGGGGTCAGGACATTCTGCAGTGTTCTCTTCCGGAAGCTTTAGTTTATAGTCTGTGGGTCTTGGCCGATGATGAGATTACACAGTGCTGGGGGCAGTTTGTGGGTGTGACTTCTAAGCTACTGGAAAACTAGGGACCTGGGAGGAGGAAGCCTAGACCTGATCCAGGTGGGCTTGGAGATCTCAGTCACGGGTTTCTACTTTTTATGGGTGAATTTTATCTCAATAAAGCTTATAAGTCATAACTCAGTAGGGATGGTATACAATTAAAGTCTGTAAATTTGATATTATTTCCTATAGTTTAGGTTTGCTTGAGTGGACACCAGTAATTTCTCCACTGTGATACTTGTCGTTACTGTTTTTGGCATATTGAATATGTCACAGATAGCTTGCCAGGCTTTGTTGTGAGGGCGGGATACTCTTGGTAGCTTGCTGGGCTCTCTGAGAGGTGTGGAGAAATCGAACCCAGGTCGGCTGCATGCAAGGCAAACGCCCTACCCGCTGTGCTATCATATATTTAATTTTGGGAAGATATAAAAAGTTTTTTTTGTAAAAAATTTGAGATAATATCTGTTAACTTTGATTTTCATGGTGTTTAAATCATAATTTCTTTGTTCTGATTATATCATTTGTGACCTTTATAATTAGTCTTGTTTGTTTGGTAGGTAACTCAACTAATGGAGAAGCTGAAAAATCAATCAGAAAGCCATAAACAAGCCCAGGAAAATTTACATGACCAGGTGCAGGAGCAGAAGGCACATCTGAGAGCAGCACAAGACCGTGTCCTTTCCCTGGAAACTAGTTCCAATGAATTAAGCAGTCAGCTGAATGAGAGCAAAGAGAAGGTCTCCCAGCTTGAAATACAGGTAATTTGGAAATATGCAAATGAACATCAGTTTTCATCAAGAAGCACCAGTTTCATACCATTAAATGTTTAAGTTCTCCATAATTCTCCTTTTTCTTTTGTCTCACTTCTGCTACCTCCCTCTTCTTATTAATAGAATCAAAAATAATAATAGAGATTGTTTCTAATAGTTGGCTAAACTTTCTTGCTTACCTATCTGCTCCATCCTGTTCTAATAAGCTAATTCCTGAAAGCTTTTCTCTTTTCTTTGCTATCATGAAATACTTGTTATTTTTGAGTTTCAGATCAGTCTGATTTTAGATAAAATTTCCATGTTAAATATTTTTCAGCTTTTTATTTATTTATTTATTTATTTATTTTTATGTAGGAGTACTGCTATTTATTCAGCCACTGATTAGCTGATTGAATTGTGCATGAACTCCACCTTTTTTTTTCATTTTTTATAATTTTATTTATTGAATCACCATGAGAGCAGTTACAAAGCTTTTGGGTCTAAGTCTCGGTCATACAGTGAAACACCCATACCTTCACCAGTGCCCATTCTCCACCCCCGAAAATCCCAGTATACCCCCATCCCTCACCCTCCCACTACCTGTGGGGCAGATGATTTCCACATTACTCTCTCTCTACTTTGATCACTTTCAATATTTCGACACCAGACCCACCATTATTATTTGAGATTTTACCCCAGCACTCAGATCTGCTGAAAAGGCAACAGTAGACAATTTGTGTTCTATTGCTGGTTATGAATAACATATGATGTCGTGTGGCTGCAGTAGGGCCGTGTGATTTTGAAATTTCGAAATTTTAACACTTAAATCTGGAGGGATTTCTGCCAAAAGCCGCTGGGTTTTGAGATTTGTTTCTAAGTCTCTGGGATCAAGGCTGTTAAGCAGCTTGATCAGGACCCAGAGAGGCCGTTCATGGGTGATGACTTGGGGCCTCGTTGGGGTGGGGAGGACAGGCCCGGCTCCACCCCCATCCCGTGAGGCCCAACAAGTTTCGTCACTGCGGGCCCAAGCCTGACTGTCCAATGGCCTCTGGAGGATGACGGCCACCGAGCTGCCAGGAGGAAGCAGGCGGAGGGATAGCACCCTTTCCCCTCTGGGGTGGCTTGGCGACAGTAACCTACTGCGGGGTCTGGACGTATTTCTGCCAAAAGCCGCTGGGTTTCGAGATTTGTTTCTGAGTCTCTGGGATCATGGCCATTAAGCAGCTTGATCAGGAGCCAGAGAGGCCGTTCGTGGGCGATGACTTGGGGTCTCGTTGGGGTGGGGAGGACAGGCACGGCTCCACCCCCATCCTGTGAGGCCCAAAATGTCTCATCACTGTGGGCCCAGACCTGACTATCCAATGGCCTCTGGAAGTTGACGGCCACTGAGCCGCCAAGGGGGAGCAGGCGGATGGACAACACCCTTTCCCTGCTGGGGTGGCCCGACGACAGTAACCTACTGTGGGGTCCAGATGCATTTCTGCCAAAAGCTGCTGGGTTTCGAGATTTGTTTCTGAGTCTGGGATCAAGGCCGTTAAGCAGCTTGATCAGGAGACAGACCGTTCGTGGGTGATGACTTGGGGTCTCGTTGGGGTGGGGAGGACATTTTACAGCTTTTTAAAATCTTCATACATTTCATATAAAAGTTTCCTATCAGTTGTTACTGCTAGAACAATGACTGCGGGTCACACACCCTTGTTTTGGCTTGCTGGGATACTGTACTTTAGTTGTAGTGTTCATATGAACACTTGCCAAAGTCTCACTCATCCATTTGGTGCCTGTGCATATTCTGAATGTAATGCTCACCGAAGATTGCTCATCAACACATGTGCCGGCTCAAGGCCACTCAACTTGCCGTAGCCTTGCCACATCTTTTTGTTGCTGACTTGACCCTACTTCCTTAGAGTACCATGTGGTGCTGGGGATGTAACTTAAGTCCTCAGCATGCAGGGCAAATACTTCATCCACATTGAATTATCTCTCTGACCCTATAGGATTTATTTTCAAAATATCTTTCATATGGCTGTATTCTGTTATCTTATTTATTTTAGAGTTCAGTATATCAGTCTTGTTCAGTTGAGTGAGTTTAATCATGAAGTGGGAATTAGGACTTTTTCTTTTAAATTTTAAACCCCATGGTTTACAAAATGGTTAATGGTAGGATTTAATGCATACAACATTCTAGCACCACATCCTCCACCAGAGCGTTCACTTGCCTCCATCATTGTCCCAGTGTTCCTTCTCCTCCCTGCCCTCAGGCTTCCTGCCACAGACCAGTTTTTGTTTTCTATTGCCTCTGAACATTTGTTACTCCCTTATTAAGGGCAACTTTCCTTCTCATCATTAAATTCTTGTTCTAAAGAAGTTATAGAACATTTCTACCTTCATCTTATTTTGTGAAGAAAATTCTATGACAAAAAGTATAAAATAAATATAACTGATGTACTTATTAGAAGTTCCAAAAGAGAATACAGTTTTTTTTAAAGTATAGAGTAATAAGTTAGATGAGTTATGTGAGAGCTCAGTGTGTGGTGTATAATTTAAGAGAGGGAGGGGGAAAAAAGAGATTGGAGGAAGGGAGTATGAATGAATGAATAAATAGGGTAGTCTTTGATTTTTTTTGCATCACAGGTGCCTTCTTTGTCCAGAATGGTCACCCTGCCACTGCTATTTATTTGAAAACTAATTCTTATAATAAGATCAATTAAAAAATTATGATCATTGCTTTATAACCTTTATAGTAAAGTCTTATTTTTCAGAAGTTCCTGAAAATGTTTTCAATTTTCCAGTTTCCTAAGCTTTATTTTTTTAAATTATTATTAGTGAAACACCATGAGGTACAGCTGTGAACTTACAAGTATTTGTGCTTGGGTTTCAGTTATACAATGATCGAGTACCCATCCCTCCACCAGTGCCCATTTTTCACCACCACTGATCCCAGTATCCCTCCCACTCCCCAATCCCACCGACCCACACTGCCTCTGTGGCAGGGCATTCCTTTTTGTTCTCTCTCTCCTTTTGGGTGCTGTGGTTTGCAAAAAAAGGCATTCAGTGGCAGTCATGTTCGGTCTATAGTCTACTTTCAGCATGCTTCTCCCGTCTTGGGAGGATCCTCCCAACACCCTTTATTTGGTGCTCCCTTCTCTATCTGAGCTGCCTTTCCCCCTATCATGTGCAGCTGCCATGAGTGTGAACCTCCTGGTACTTATCCTGACTATTCTTGGGTGTCAGTCTCCTATTTTGTTACTTTATATTCCCCAGATGAATGCAGTCTTTGTCCCTCTCTTTCTGACTCATTTCGCTTAGCATGATACTTTCCATGTAATACCACTTGATGTAAATTTCATGATTTCATCTTTTCTAACAGCTACATAGTACTCCATTGTGTACTATGATGTACCAAAGTTTCCGTAACCAGTCATCTGCTCTGAGACACTCGGGTTTTTTCCAGATTTTGGCTGTTGTGAACAGTGCAGCAATGAACATAGAAATGCAGATGTATTTCGATTGTACTTTTTTGCCTCTCTGGGATATACTCCCAGATGTGGTATTGCTGGGTCAAATGGGAACTCAATTTCTAATTTTTTGAGAATCCACCATACTGTTTTCCAAAAGGGCTGAACCATCAACATTCCCACCAGCAGTGAAGGAGGGTCCCTTTCCCGCCACATCCGCACCAACACCAGTTGCTTTTTTTTTTGGATGTGGGCCAGTCTCTGTGATGTGAGAGGATATCTCATTGTTATTTTGATCTGCATCTCCCTGATGATTAGTGATGTAGAGCATTTTCGCATGTGCCTTTTTGCCATTCAGATTTCTTCTTTGAGAAAGTTTCTGTTCATTTCACCATCCCCTTTTTTGATGGGGTTGGATGTTTTCTTCTTGTGGGGGTCAACCAGTACATTGTATATCCTTGATATCAACCCGTTGTCAGATGTGTATTGGGCGAATATCCTTTCCCATTCTGTAGACTGTCTTTGTATTTTGGTCACTGTTTCTTTGGTAGTGCAGAAGCTTCTTAGTTTAAGATAGTCACCATCCTTGCATCCCCGGGATGAATCCCTCTTGGTCATGGTGTATGATCTTTTTGATAAGTTGTTGAATTCTATTTGCTATTATTTTGTTGAGAATCTTCATATCTGTATTCATCAGGGATATTGGCCTGTAGTTTTCTTTTCTTGTGGTATCTTTGTTTCCTTTTGGTATTAGAGATATGGGCTTCAAAGAAACTGTTTGGGAGAGTTTCTGTTTCTTCAATTTCATGGAAAATCTTGAGAAGAACTGGCAATAGGTCCTCTTTAAATGTTTGGAAAAATTCGCTAGTGAATCCATCAGAACCTGGGCTTTTGTTTTTGGGAAGACTTTTGATTACAGTTTCAATTTCCTTGATGTTAATAGGACTATTCAAGTACTCTATATCTTTGGTTCAGCCTTGGGAGATTATAGGAATCCAGGAATTTATCTATTTCTTCTAGGTTCTCTTGTTTCAAAGTGGTCTCTGATGCTGATGATCTTTCGAATTTCTGTGGTTTCTGTTGTGGTATTCCCCTTCTCATTTCTGATTCAGTTTATTAGGGTTTTTTCTCTCTCTCTTTCTTTGTGAGTCTTGCTAGTGGTTTATCTATCTTGTTTATTTTCTCGAAGAACCAGCTATTGGTTTCATTGATCTTTCACATTGTTTCTTTTGGTTTCCATGTCATTGATTTCTGCTCTAAGTTTTATGATATCTTACCTTCTGCCCAATTTGGGCTCTTTCTGTTGATCCTTTTCTAAGATCTTGAGGTGTGTAGTAAAGTTGGTTATGTGCACCATTTCTTCCTTCCTGAGAAATGTTTGCAGAGCTATAAATTTTCTCCTTGACATGGCATTAGCTGCCTGCCGTAGGTTCTGGTAGCTTGTGTCTTCATTCTCATTTTTTTCCAGGTATCTTTTGATTTCGTCTTTGACTTCCTTCCTGACCCACTTGTTGTTCAACATTGAGTTGTTTAATTTCCAGGTATTTGATTTGGTTCTCCTTGTCTATGTGTGATTCACGTCTACTCTCAGTGCATCGTGGTCTGAAAAGATTGTTGATACTATGTCTATCTTCCTGATTCTGTTGAGGTATGTTTTGTGGACTAGCACTTGGTCTGTTTTGGAAAATGTTTCGTGTGCACTGGAGAAGAATGTGTCTTTTTACGTTTTTGGCTGTAAAGCCCTGTATAGGTCAATAAGCCCTCTCTCTTCTGTTTCTTCCTTCAAAGCCAATGTTTCCTTGCTGAATTTTGTTCTTGTTGATCTATCCAGAGGTGATAAGGCGATGTTGAAGTCTCCGGCTACTATTGTATTGCTAGCAATGCCCTCCTTAAAATCTTTTAGCAGTTGTTTTTAAATATTTAGCTGTTCCTTCATTAGGTGCGTATACATTTAAGAGTGTGATTTCTTTCTGTTGTATGTATCCCTTGATGAATAGAAAATGGCCTCCACTGTCCCTTCTAATCTTCTTCAACCTGAAATTTATGTTGTTGGTTACTAATGTGGCCACCCCAGCTTTTTTGATGGAGCTGCTTGCTTGCAGGATTGTTTTCCATCCTTTAACTTTGAGGCGATGTTTAATCTGGCTGTTCAGATGAGTTTCTTGTAAGCAACAGAATGTTGGATTCTGTCTCTGAATCCGTTTTGCCACTCTGTGTCTCTTAATTGGTGAATTTAGACCATTGACGTTGAGAAAGATTATTGTTATGGGGTTTTGTGCCATCTTTCTGTAAGGATTTGTTGTGGTTGTAGGGTTTGTCTTGTCTTATAGCACCCCCTTTAGCCCTTCTTTTAGGTTTGGTTTTTGAGTCTCTGAAGTTCCTGAACTGCTGTTTATCCAGAAAATGTGTACCGTTCCTTCGAGTATAAGTGAGAGTTTATAGCTGGATAGAGTATTCTTGGTCAAGAATTCATTTCAGTGATTTTTTTCACTATATCCCACCATTGCTTTTGGGCTTGGAGGTTTTCCTCTGATAGGTCTGCTGTGAATAAAGGGTGCTCCTTTGTATGTGATTTCCTTCTTTGACCTTGCTGCTTGCAGTATTGTATCTCTATCGGTGGTATCCATGACTCTAACTATAATATGTCTTGGAGTGTATTTGTTAGGGTCTCTTTTAGCTGGCACCCTTCGGGCTCCTTGAATCTGAATGGCTGCATCATCCAGTTTTGGGAACTTTTCAGCAATGATTTGTTCAACCGTGGCTTTTTCATTGAGATTGTTTCCCTGGCCTTCTGGTACTCTAATGATCCTAATGTTGTTCCTCTTGGAATTGTCTCCTAGGACTCTGATTCGTTCTAGAGCTATTTTGAGATCCTTGCCATTTTTTGTTGTTGCCTGTAGGCTTGATGCAGCTGATCTTCTAGCTCACTGATTCTGTCTTCAGCTGTGGTCATTCTACTCTTGAGGGCATAGACTGATTTTTTATTTCATCTACAAAATTTTTGATTTGTGACATTTCTGTGCATAGCTTTCCAAGTTCTGCTCTCATTTCTTCCCGTAATTTCTTGATTGTTTCTCTCATGTCCTTTAATTTACTTGGATATCTGTCTCACTGTTTTCATTGAGTTCATTGAACATCTTCATTACTTCATATCTGAATTTTTTCTCAGAGGGGTTCCTTAGGTTAGTAGCACCTACTGAGGCTTCTGGACTCTTTTCATTGTTCTCCCCTCATGGTGAGGATTTGCATTGTTTCTTCATGTTCTTGTGGAGGTATGGAGACTGAGATGTAATACAAAATTGTTCGATATAGAAAAACTACCTGCGGCTAAGTCCTGGGTTTGAATCACTTACCTGGGGTTGGAGAAAGACCAGGCACAGCGTTGGGGACGAACAGGAAGAGGCTCAGGGATGGAGAGCATCCCAGGGTCCTAGAGGATGCCTGGGGCGCCTTCTCAGGAAAAGCCAAGTCCTGGGTTCGAGTCACTGCCCTGGGGGTGAAAAAAGGCTGTTTTCTAAGCTTTTTATAAAAAATAACTTCTTTGATTGGATCTATGATTTTCTTTTAAGAGTTAAGGCTGTTAACAACTTCTAATGCTTTAATGAGTGTTATTAGGGTGTCAGCTTGAAATAGTAAGCCAAAGAGAATTACCTGTTACCAGTTTTCTTTATAAACATCAAATGAAGGTACTTACGGTAATTTCCCCTCCTGGAGTGTGTTTGTGATTTTCGTGTTGTTTTTCTTTTGGGGCTACACTCAGCTTAGTATTTGGGGGGTGTTCCTGTTGTGTCTGGGGAAACATGTAGTGCCAGAGTGTGAATGTGCAAGCTAAGACTGTAGTCTACCCATTTTATGTGATTCTTCAGATTTGGAACACACATTTTTGATCCTGGCTTTTAGGCTGTTAGCATTCCTCTGGTTTGACCTTATCATGATAATGTCAAGGTAAATTATGTTCAAACTTTATAGCTTGCATTGATTGGTCTCTTTACTGTTCTTATTCAAATTCTGTAATGCAGAAGTTGCAACAATGCTATTGAACTTTACTGCCATGTCTAAACTTACTATAACAATGAGGCTGGCAGAGAGACTGGTTATATGAATAGCTATATTATTTTTCTTTGATCAGAAGCATTTTTAGATGAAGGTAAAACAAATGAGATTAGTACTTCAACCTCTAAAATTTTTTCACATTTTAGCATGACTTTGAAAAGACCAAATTTGTTGAAACTATCTGTTTTTAAAATCATGAGTAATCACCATGGATTAAATAGTTTATAATTAAAACAATTATTTAGATGAAACACTGTAGGTACCAGTTACCATAGATTTATTAGACACTATTAAAAGTATAGATTCATTTACTTTTCTCTTTTTATTCTGTGTAGATATGTATAGTTAATTGTAGCCTTTTTAATATAAAAAATTAAAATACTTGAGATTCTCTGAATATTCCTTTTGTTTTAAATTACCCCATAGTTGAACCTTTGATTTCTTTTTTATTCATCAACCAGTTAAAAAAAGTTCCTTTTCTTAAGATTATTTGGTTTAAAATACGTTTATCTTTTTGTATGTTTCATGCTAGTGCAAAACCTATTTAAACACTTTTGATAGTAAAGGTTTATTTTATTTAGTCTTTTTAAAAGTCCCTTATTTCTAATGTGTTATATTTTGACTTTTTATAAGCATCAGAATTAAAACCTTTCAAATGAGAATAACAGAGGAATAACTGAATTAACTTAATTTCTTTGATTTGAATTAGAATTCTGGAATTCTTATTATTTTTGGAATTTCTTTGCATAATTACTTACTATTATTAGAATAGATAAATTTCATATACCCCCCCCCTTTGAAAATATAATCCTATTTTCATCAAGAAAGGTATCCTTTCTTTCTTAGCAAAGAAAGAAAATATTTTGGTGTCATGTAAGTACATCTTTTCTTCATTTATCTAAACATTTATTAGGACTCTTTTACCCTACTCATTCTTCCATGGGGGATTATCATATGCATAATTTTCATAGTGTCTTAATTCTTAGTTTATTTTTTAAAAGAACTTAATTAAAAAAGATAATTAGTCACAGAAGCATTATAGTACAAAGAATCTCAGTAAATAAAAAAGATTTTTTAAAAGAAAGGTGAAATGTAGAACTAAGTATGTTATTACTTTACCTGTAAACTTTGTTGCAGATTAAAGCCAAAACTGAATTATTATTATCAGCGGAAGCAGCAAAAACTGCGCAAAGAGCAGATCTTCAAAATCATTTGGACACTGCCCAAAATGCATTACAAGATAAACAGCAGGTAGGGGAATCTGATGCACTTTTGTGTCATATTCTAGTGCTTTGTAAGATAAATTATTTGCCTGTGTATAAAAGTACTACCTCGTTTTATATCATCTTGTAATAAATTTGCTTATTTGCCTTAATTTCTCCCTGAGTTCAAAACTCATTTAGCAGTTTGAGTAGTAATTGTAGGCATCAGATGGAAATAAAAACATCAACTTTAGTTTTGATAGAGCTCAACTTGTATGTGACTCGGATTGGGCTTTCTAATATTGTATTCCTCCCATAGATTAGAAATGTCAAATCCATGTTTAATGTCAAGTCCACTTGAAATATTTTCTCTTAATTGTTGAATTGTTGCCTATCCCATCCATTGCTGATAATTGGGAAGGGGAGCTAGACTTCCAAGCCTGTTTTCAGTAGCTAGGCTTGCCGTGTCTCAGATATGCAAACTACTTGGAACCAGAAGAGAACCATGTATTCTATCTCAAGAATAAAAATTTGTCTGTATTTTATTAACACTGGGAGGACTAGAAATAGTGTATAAGAACAAGTCAGTTTTATTCATTGTTTAAATACTTAGACTCACTTTTAGTATACTATCCTAAGGTAATAATCATAGCTTTAAAGATCATAATTAATACATGAATTAATTAAATGTGAGAATTTAGTAAGAATTTAATCTAAAATTTAATCTAAAATTTTGACTTATAATCAAAATAGACCATTTGACTATAAGTGGTCTATAATGAATACTCTCTCGGTAGCTTGCCAGGCTCTCTGAGAGGGGCAGAGGAATCGAACCTGGCTCGGCCGGGAAGTCACTGCACGCAAGACAAATGCCCTACTGCTGTGCTATTTTGTTGGTCTATATTAATAAAATGGAAATTTATATAAACATGTATAAGTATATTTTAGAAAATTTTTAAAAGTTTTAGAAAGTCATGGGACAGTTATCAAAGTAAAACAGTGACTATCAGTGCTGGATTTACTAGTAACTTTTAATTTGTTCTTCTGTACAATTGATTTTCTCGAGCGGGCCCAGTAACGTCTCCATTGGAGACTTTGTTGTTACTGTGTCTGGCATATCGAATACTCTCGGTAGCTTGCCGGGCTCTCCGAGAGGGGCGGAGGAATCGAACTCGGGTTGGCCATGTTGGCTGCGTGCAAGGCAAACACCCTATCATAGATGTAGTCACTATATTCTTAAATATTATTATCATTATTATTATTATTTTGAATCACTGTGAGATAGTTACAAAACTTCCGTGTTTGAGATTCAGCTGTACAATGATTGAACACCCATCCAGTGCACACTTTCCACCACCAGAGTCCCCAGTATGTCCTCCCCCATCCCAGTCCCCACTCTGCCTCCATGGCAGGCAGTTTCCCCAATATTCTCTCTCTATTTTTGGGCATTATCTTTTGCTCGAGTTTTCCCATCACCATTCAAGTTTGCCTACCAGGGGCAAATGCTAGATCATTTACTGTCCATTGCTCATTTTGAATATCAAGGGTGCCATGGCTGCACACTTCTGGAATCCTAGATTGTAAATGGTTGGGTTCCAGAGACATTTCTATGGGGCACTAATCCATAGATGGGGAGAGTGCACCTGCTTCATCTGGGGTGCCCCAATGAAATTGGTTCAGTATGGGGCCTAGAGGGATCTCTGGCTCTATGGTGTCTTCCGGGACTTGCTGCTTTGTCTCTGGTTTTTGATCTCTTTCAAGATTTATTTATGGGTCTCTGAAACAACACCAGTAATAGAGTTTATAGGGTGGTGCTGGAGTTGGTTTTTGGGGGTGACTGCCAGTGCTTCCATGTATTGGGAAGTGGGGAGAAGTAATCTACCCCAACTCCATGAAAACTCTGGAGATTTCAGTCACAAAACCCGCATACCCGAATTTTCATCAGATTGTATCTTGGTGAAGTCTGTCCTGAGACGGTGGAGTCAGGCCAGGGGTTGACTGTGATCTTGGATTGTGGAAGCAAGTGACTGCTGGGGTCTCTGCTTGAACAGGCACAGGTCAATCTGCCCCCCTTCAATTTACCCCAGTCTGTTCAGCCATGTGCGGGTCCGAGATTAACTGTTGATTTTGATCTCTTTAGAGATAAATCTATGGGTCTCTGTAATAAGGCCAATAAATGAGCTTGTATAGCTGAGCTGGAGGTGGTTTGTGGACATGGCTTCCACATACCTAACTTTTGGCCATTTAATTTCTTGGTAAACTTGGTCCCAAGTTGTTGGGGTCTGGCCAAATGCACAGTGCCAATTTTGGGGTGTCAGGAAGCCTGAAGGCAATATCAGACTGCTGATGGACTCACCCTGCAAGTACTGGTTGACCTGTTGGTGGCACCACAAATATTATTTTCTAAAATAGCGATTTTAATATTGAAAATATTTAATTATCGTAAGATACCATTAGCAGCCTGTTTCATGTTAATATCTTTGGGTTTCTAAAAATAGCCCTTCTTAGAAAAACATCAAAAAGCTACTAAGCTTTTGTCCATATAAACTTAGTATCTCAGATTATGTAAGATTTAAGATCAGTTCTTTTTATTGATGTGTAAATATAACATGATACTTCATGAGACTTCTCTGATCTTACTTCAAATATTTTTTTAACAAAAATTGGAGTTCTTAATTTTCTTTGGCCAGCCATTTTGGGAGAGTGATAACCCTTCCCAAATAGAACCTTACCAGTTTTCTTCAATTTTCTTTTTTCTGTAGGAGTTAAATAAGATCACTACTCAATTAGATCAGGTCACTACAAAGTTGCAGGAAAAGCATGAACATTGCAGTCAGCTGGAAAGTAATCTTAAAGAACATAAAGAGAAATGTCTTTCTTTAGAGCAGAAGACTGAAGCTCTGGAAGGCCAAATTAAGGTTTGTATAAAAGATATGGAAGCTAACTGTATTTTGTACAGCCACAGTAATAAAAAATGATATAGAAAGACTAAAATATCTTTATTTTTAAAAAGGTAAAATTATGCTATAAAATTTTAAAAAATTTATGTCATAATTTTGAATTTCATATTTATTTTCAATTTCTTAACTAACTGATGAATAGGTTTTACAAATAACAGTTAACATATATATTGGTTCCATTACATGTATGACTATTTCATAGAGAAGCAGACTTGGGTTTTACACTATAATTACAAAGATATCACCAGTTTGTTGTTTGTAAACTCACTTTTGTTCTATGATTCTTCCAGACCCTTACCTCCTTATTCCAGGATAATCATTTCAGATATGGTAGACCTTTTCCTGTTTAAAATTTACATTTTCACTATTCAGATTTTGTTTCTAAATAATAGTAACTAGAGACCACAATAAAACTGACACTTTGGTGTAACTCAAATTCAAGTCAAAGTGTTTAATTATCAGAGAGATTAACTTCCTAGTCATATCATGGATGGGTTTATCAAATTGGAGCTCTTGAGCTCCTATCAATTAAACCAAAATTTCTTGTTACTGTAGATGAGGCACTTAAATATGATTATAGAATCATGAAATGTGTATCTGTATTTATGTACATCTGTGCCAATATAACATTGAAATTGAACTACATTTATGATTCTGTTTTTGAGTTTATTTCCCTTTTCTATGGTTGATGGTAATAATAACGATAAATTACTTTATGTAGTGGCTTAAAAGAACAGAAAATTAATATTACTGAAAAGTCAAATACAAACTTAATTTCAAAATATTTTGAAGATTTTTAAAAAATCTTTAAAATGTTTTGGAAGTTTATTTTAAAGAAATACTTTTCAAAATTGGAGAAAGAGCTAAACAGGCTGAGCGCATGTTCAGAGGAGGTCTTTGTTTGCAGGAGGCCCTGTCTGATCTCTGGTACCAGTGGTCCCTTGAGCATAGACCTGGGGGTAACCCCTTAAAACCACCAGTTCATCCTCTTCCTCCTCAAAAAGGTTACTTAGAGTCAATATTACATCCTGGGATTACCAGCTATTTGATATTTTATAGTTGTTATTTTTTGAAGTATTCTATATCTTTCATAAAGATGTAATGTTATAAGATTTGTTACGTCATACATTCAATATAAATGTTGAGAACCACAAATATTCTTATAGGGTTATAAGATACATAGGGCAAAAATTATTAAACTATCAAAATATTAATTAAAACATGTCAAAACTAATTGATTTTATAAATTTTGTAATATTACATAGGTAAGTGTATGAGACAGAAACTTCATTGAAGAACAAGAGTCAAACTAGACCAAGAAGCATATCAGGATTTAAATATTATGTGTAGGGCCAAAATGCTCATTAGAAGGGTAGCATGACAACACTATTTCATTTCTGAATGTGCATAATTATCAGGATGGCCATGTGTGAACCTATTGCCTGTGTTTTCTTTTGTGAGCTAATTTTATTCAGGTAATAAATATGATTACTCTAAATTTATATCAATACAAAACAGTAATTGTACATAATTACTATGCTGTTTTTCTTCTCTAGAAATTAGAAGCTGATACAATTGAAATTAAAGCAAACAAGGAGCAAGTTCTGCAGGATTTGCAACAGCTAAGACAGTTAAATACAGATTTAGAGTTTAGAAGTACTGAATTGAATAAGCAACTTGAAATGGAGAAAGAAATGTAAGCTAAATTATTTATAGGAGAGGTTTATAAACTAAATATTAACATTTCCTTAAGATTTTAGTTTTGCTATCCTAGTAATTAAAAATAATTAAGTGTTCTTTATATTGATTCTATTAATTTTTATTATTCTAATTTATTCTTAATATTTTATTTTATTGAGATAATGTTGTTACAGTAATGTTATAATTTATACTTTTGGTTCAGAGTTACTGCACCTTGCTATCAGCAAAGTGCCAAAGACCCTGCACTATTGTCCTTTTATCTCTTTTAGTCTGGCATTTTCTTCCTATTTCCCAATTCCACTTTCCCTTCAATTTGGTAGCCTCAGCACTATAGTCAAAGTCCAGGATCTTGTTTTTTCTAGATACTGTTTATTTCCTTGCTTTATTTTATTATATACCACATCTGAGTGAGATCATCTGACTTTTGCCTCTTCCCTATTCACTAACATCATATCCTCTAGTTCTGCCCAAAGATTGGGGAGTTCCATCCATTTACATTTGGATTCATTGATGTCAAAGAATTTAATGCCATTTTATGGATTTGAGTTTTTCCAGTTTGACATGGTTTCTTTGACTTTTTCTTATAAAAATATGCACTTCTCTATGCACTTTGAAGCTGGCCTTTATATTGTGGTGATCTGCTTTTGCTTGTATTTTCTTGTTAATTTCTAAGTATTTTCACATTAAGTTTACTGTGCCATTTACATCTGAAGTTTTAAGATTATTATCCCTTTGAATTTAAAGCAAATGAGTCTTACTCAGGCTAATTTCCGTCTTTTCCCCATTTTATGGCTTCCTTGTGTATTTCTGCTTTCTAATATCTACTTACCTTTTAAAGAGGACTAGTATTTCTTGCAGAGCTAATTTAGACACAATGAATCAATTTAGTTGTTGTTTGAAAATCTGTTCTTCAAGTCTTGAGTGTAACCTAGCAGGAGTGGCATTCTTGGAGGTTCTTCTCATCAAGATTTACCATACCATTGTCTTCTGATTTATAGAATTTCATTTTTCAAAAATGCCATATGAGTTTTAAAGTGGTTCATTTATATGTAAATCTTTGTTTTTCATTTTGCTACTCTTAGAAGTTTATTTTTCTGTTTCCTGCCATTTTGGTTTACAGCATGTTCTGTTTGGGATGGTTTTGTTTGAAATTCTGAATTTCTTCACTCAGAGTACTTGTCTCCCATAGCATATTGGGGAAATTATCTGGTACTGTTTCTTCCTCTAGCAGCCCACCCTCCCTCCCTCCTTCCTTACCCCCTTTCTTCCCTCCTTCCCTCCTGTCCTTCATTTTCCCCTCTCTCTTCTGGAATTCCCATGATGTGAATGTTACTCTTTTTAATGCCGTCTCATGTATTTGTAATGTTTTCTTCACTTTTAAAAATTACGCTTAATTTCTCCTCCGTTGATATACTATATCTTATCCTTGAGGTCACTAATTTGAGTTTCAGCTTCCATTATGCTACTAGATCTCACTTATGCGACTTTTTTTTTAGCTCATCTGCTATACCCTCTAGCTCCTTTATTTATGTTTTAATGAGGATTTTAATGCTTTCTTGTAAACTCTTTGAGCTCACTAATGGTGTTGTCTTCCGATTTCATTTCATTGACCATCAGTGGCATTGTTGCTATTAATTTTCCTCAGATAGTTTATAGACTTGCAAGTTTGAAGACTTCACTGAGTTCCTATCTGTTGAAGCAGTTGAATTCTTGTTTGTTCATGGTGTTACATTAGGGCTAGAATTGCTGATGTGAGTATGATCCCGCCTGACCAGTTATTAGGAACAAACATTTGTAAAACTGTTACCCATGACCATGAGTTTTTGTGGGCCTGGATTTGCTGTTGGGAGTATCAAGTGCCCTGTAGTTGCTGTAGAGCTGAGCTCAGCTATAGCTGACTTTGACCCTGGCCCACGGTTCACAAGTGCTGGTTTATGGCATTTGCTGCTACCAGAAAAACTAATTCATATGTGTCCCTTTATGCCTGAGTGTTACATTCGTGCAGCTCTGAAAGATGATGGTAGTGGGGGCTGGGCTCAGTTTCAACTGCCCTGTGATAGGTTTGTGCTGAATTTGAGCAAGGCTGTGAGTCTTCCATGACAATATTGATCTGGGGCATCTTCTCTTCAATATCAAAGTATCATTAATCTCTAGTGTTACTTGCCCTAGATGTTGATCTATGGGTTGGATGTTGCCCTGAGATCTTCATTGGACACATAATTCATCAGAACTTTGATAAATAAAAATAAATTTTACTTTATCTGGATGTACTCATAGGAAGACTTGTAGACTAGTCAAATTTCAGTAGATTCTGTCTTTAAATGTCTTTTAAATAGGTTTCTCTGGCTACTTGGTAGACATGACCGTATCAAGGAGTTGAGAGATCTTAACTCTACTAGTAAAGCTGGAGACTGATAGTCTGATACCCGTCAGAAAAATCAAACAATTCCCATTAGAGTGAATAACTGACACCTTCATGGTTTAATTCTTGTTTGGGGAGTGATGATAAAAATATTCTTGTCTTCATATCTAGTAAATTGTGCCCTGATACTTTGAATTTGAGGATACAGAGGTGCATTTATGCCTCACAAATTCCTTGATGGTAACATCATAGTTTCCAGTGCCTAGGTAGTTGAAAGATAGATTTTATTTTTTATGTTACTTAATGATTTATCACCATGAAGATAAGAACCTCTGAGGTGGTTCTTCTCTTTGTAGAGAGATGGTCATTGTAAGCTCCATAGTTCTTTACATTTTTAGTGGGCTCAATCATATATGGCTTGTTTTCATACTATGTTGAGCTCTCAGTTTCTGAACTCTAAGAGGTTCCCACATATACGAAATCTTTTTTACTATTTTTAAATATTATAAAATATTATCTGACTGTTCTATACAGATGTTTCTCCCATGGGTTCCTTTACATTTCTACCTTGGAAAGGAGGGATAGGTCAGCATAGTGGGGTTTGACTAAACCTTACCCATGATCTTAGGGCTCACCCCAAATGACAGAATAAAGTGCTTTTCTTTCATAGTGCCCACAACATCTGTGCTTCCAGCTCCTTCCCTCCTACTCCCATCCTTAGGTGTGCTTTCATTACTGTGCAATTATATAATTTTTAAATATCCTTTATGATACTTTTCTTTGAAGCATGATTATTTAGAAATATGTTAACTTTTCAAATATTTGGAGGACTCTTCCAGATACCTTATTGTTATTGATTTATAGTTTCAGTATGGTCAGGTAATACAGGTTAAATTTGAACTTTTTAAACAGTTTTATTATATCGTATGGTTTATCATGGTATTTTTTCCATGTGCTTAAATGTGTATTCTGCTGTTGTATAGAAGTGTTATGTATATAATAATAAGTCAAGGTGGTTGATAGTGTTGTTTTAATCTTTTTATATCCTTGTGGTTTTTTCCCCACTCTGGTGGTTTTATCAGTTTCTGATAGTTTTAAAGTTTCCAGTATGATTGTGGATATGTTCATTACTTAAAAAAATAACACTTTTATTAATATTTAAAAAGGCATAGACTATACAGGACTTTTTCTTTTTCATTGTTTTGCCTCTTAATTTACATAAGTAATCATGAGAAAGTTAACATACTAAAAATATAAACAAATCCTACTTTTAAAGGTTGCTTGTTAAGGATTTTTAATTAAATTAAAATGGTAAAATAGGATTAGAGTATATGACTTTCTATTTAGATTTCTAAAACTCATTGAGATATTGTATCCTATGAATGAATTTCATCTTTCCTAGCTATTCTTTAGAACTTAGTATGAGTTTCTAGAGTCAAGATTTAAAAAATTTCAATGTAGAAATGTAGTTTTGTGACTGAATTAATATCTAACATAAAGTAAATGACCAGTACATCTTTTAATGACCCCTCTTCAGCATGTTTTTGGATCAATAATGATAATGAAATATACTTAACGTGTTTATGTTTGCACATTTTATTGGTGGCTCAAACTTGGATGTAGCTTAACACAAATTACAGTGTCAGGAGCTGGAGTGGATAGTACAGAGGGTAGGGTGTTTCCCTTGCATGTGGCCAACCCAGATTCGATTCCCAGCATCCCATATGGTCCCCTGAGCAATGCAAGAAATAATTCCTGAATGCAGACCCAGGAATAACCCTGTGCATTGCCAGGTGTGACCAAAAAAGCAAAATAAATAAAAAATTACAGTGTCAGTGTCAGTGTATTATAATATGCATACTAGAAACAATATTACTTTGCTATATTTTTCTTATTTAAGAATCACCTTTAATATATGTGTTTCTTTTAGAATATGATAGGCCTCATTTCCAGTATAAAAACAGAAATCTGTAGTTTAATTGAACTAACAAGTTATAGTTTTCAGTTTCTTGTAGTTACAACTATTTGTTCAGATATAGAAAATCTGGGTTAAGGGAAATCATTGCAAATATCCAGTATAATCTTCTAGATAAAATCAAAGTATATCTTTATTTTTTAATTTGTTTGAAATGAAAATTTCTTCTTTGCCTTTTGGCTAAGATCAAGTGTTTGAAATGAAATATTAAAAAAAATTTAATTTATAATTTTGTATTAAACTTAAAAAATTTAAGATCTACCAAAACCCATGTTGTATGTTTTCCAGAAAGGCAAAATTATCTATGTACTTTTAGGACTAACAAAATGAGATTTTCAGGGCGTACGAAAAAATGTTTCTATTGGCCAGTCTGCTGTGTGTTCATTTGAGTTCAAGGAAGTAGATAAAATTGGGTAAACTAGGAGTCATAGATGGCCTTGAGCTTACTCCAACTTATTTGTCTTCAGGAAGGTCTTCATCTGGTAAATTAATATATAATATGTTCTTTAGCTTTTTTTCCCCAGTTGTGTGATTTTATGACATCATGTTATTATTGTTATTTTATTCCTGAACCACAAAAGTAAGTTTTAATAAGTAATAAGTTACTTACTTGTTCTCAGTGATAAATTATGTTACTAAAGAGGTTTTTTTTAAATATTTAGAGTATCCAATACAAAGTTGGATCTACAGAAAAAATCTGAAGCTCTTGAAAATATTAAACAGATGCTTTCAAAACAAGAAGAAGAAAAAATAGTCCTTAAACAAGAAATTGAAAATTTAAATCAAGCTGCAAAGATACAACACAAGGAATTGAATAGCAGAATTCAAACAGCAGCAACAGAACTAGAAAAAATGAAGATGGAGAAAGAAACTCTAATGACCGAACTTTCTACAACAAAAGAGAAATTATCAAAAGTTTCTGATTCTTTGAAAAACACCAAAAGTGAATATGAAAAGCAAAGTCAGAAAGGAAAATCTGCTATATTAGATTTGGTTAGTGAGTACATTTGCTTTATTAAATCAAAGTGATAACTTTATATGAAATACACCCTTTTTCTCTACCTAATTTTTTGTTGAATTGTTATCCTCGTTAAATGGTTTGTCTGAAAAAGGAATTGGGATTGCCTAACTTGAAAATAAGGTATTGGGATGTATTTTTTAGATGGTAGGATGCTGCATTTGGGAGAATGTAGCATGTTTATCTTGAGGGGTCTTTCCATAGAGAATTTAGCTAGTTGAACGTTTTTCTGATTCTTGAAAATCAGAATAACTTGTTCAGATTTTTAATTCTAATACTATAAAATTTCTTAATTGTTAATGAATTTTCTAAAACAGTAGTTAATGCTATATCTTAAAGCAGGCTTGGGGAACCTTTTTTTCTGACAAAGGTCATTTGGATATTTATAACATGTTTCACTGGGCATGTAATACAGGCAGATAGATGGGCTGTATGGCATTGACGAGAACCATTTGTATCCATCTTATCGTCTACCAGGACTAGAACATATGATTTCATGGGCTTATCTGTCATGTGGGCTGGATGTTCCAGTCCTCTGCTTAGAGATAAAATAGAACAAACTTAAATTGTAGACCCAGAGAAATAGTACAGCAGGTAAGGCACTTGCCCTGCATGCCGCCAATCCTGGGTGAACCTTCAGCACCAGATATGGTCCTCCAAGCACTGCCGGGAGTGACTCTTGAGCCATATTGCTGGACAAAGCCCCCGCTCCCTGAGAAAACAGTCTCAGAAATTGTTTAAATGACTTAGAATAATAATACAGACTTAGAACAAAAATAAACCTCTCTTTTTATTTCCAGTATAAAGGTCAGTCATAGGAAAAAAAAACATTTTGCATTTATGATGATAGCATTCACTTTTCTTTTTGGGGGGGGGGGGGATGGGGGCTGTGTCACACCCAGTGATGCTCTGGGCTTACTCCTGACTCTGCACTCAGGAGTTACTCCTGGTGTTGCTTGAGGTACCATATGGGATGCCGGGGATTAAACCTGGGTCAGCCGCATGCAAGGCAAATGTCCTACCCGCTGTACTATTGCTGTGGCTCCAATAGCTTCACTTTCATGTTCCTTTTGTTTTTGGGCTGCACCTTGTGGTGCTCAGGATACTCCTGGCTCTTTTCTCAGGGATCACCCTTGGCATTGCTCTTGGGAAGCTTAAGCTTAATCCAGTCTGGGTTGGCACTATGCAAGACAAGAGCTCTGCCTCCTGTACTATTGCTCTGGCCCAATCATGTTCTTTTTTGTTTCTGTAAAATGTTTCCTATCTTTATACCTCTCTGATTATTTTTAATATTTTCATTCCTTTCAAAAGTTCTATTTTTAATTTTCTTGTAACTTGTTTTGTTGTACTGTACCTTCAGTATAGTGTAGTCAGCACGTCATAATTTTGTGATATAAATGTGTGTTTTTAGGGCCACTATTAGAGCACATATGTCACATGTGTGCGGTCCTGTATTCTGTTCCAAGAACAGGTTTCTTTCCCACTGCCTAACAAATGTGCTTTAAAAACTGCTTTTTAAAAATTGTCTAAAGTATTTCTTTTCACTATTGTTTGAACTCAAAATACTTAGCCTTTTGATTTCCCTACTACTTTACTGCTATATTTTTCTGATTTTATAATTGGAATGTATCATTTTATCCTGTCTTAAACTATCAGTTATTTTATTTTATATATATATATATACACTTATATACTTTTGGATCATACTAAATTTGTATATCAAACTTCTTAAACTCACTATAAATATTTTCTGCATAATGTAGTTTCCATTTTTTTAGGAAAAGACATGTAAAGAATTAAAGTCTCAACTTCAAGTACAGACAGAAAGCACACTTAAGGTTCAAAATGAACTGGAAAAGTCACTTGAAAAAGAGAAGGAGGTAAGATTTTCTTTGTTTTCATGTAAAAAATGAATGTATAAAGCATGATAATGTTTATGTTTCTCAAATTTTTATACTGAACACCTAATTGAAAGGAAGATTTAGTTCTCTAAAATGTACTGGGCCATAGTTTAAAAATGCCACATGTTCAACTTACTACTAAAAAGATTCAAGTTTATTATAATAAAAGTCCCAAAATAAGGAACCATAGTTAATAAAGTTAGAAAATAATGTTAACTAAATTTAGTATTATAATTAGATAATCTAGGTTAGGAAATATGGTTGAAAAATGTCTTGATAAAAAAACTTTTAATGAAAATGAGCTTTTAAGAAATTTTAATTTTAAGGCATTTTTATTAATGATATATTTGGTGACCAGTACCATATGGTCCTTTAAAGCACCACCTTGAGTACCTCTGAGCACCAAGCCAGGAGTAGCCCCCAAGTGCAATGCTGTGTGGACTCCCCCACTTGAAATAAGAATAAACAGAAAACACATGAAAAAAAAACTTTGTAAGAGCAGCAATAGTTCTTCTACCTTGGCCATAGAAGAACCTCAGTATGATTTCTATAATACACCTATTTGAATAAAAAAAACCCTAAATCCTTATAGCTTATAAAAGCAAGATGATAGCAAAATTATGCCCACAGTTGTAAGTGAGATAACTTATATTGTAATTTATTGTAACAGTAAACATATGTCAGAAATGTATTTAGTCTTACTAAATGGCTAAGTAGCATTTTGAAAATATTGTTAACAGATATTAGATATCCCAAAGTTCTGAAAATTTATATTCTTATTTTTATGATACAAGCAAATGCTAGAATAATTCCTACAAGTTCTATATAAATATTGTTTAATAAACAAATATTGATGATTAATTGAGCATGTGATCTGCAGTGAATTATGTCAGTTCTAAAAACTCCATGAGCACAGGGTGTTTTTTGTTTATTTTCTATTGAACTTGTGATCAGTAGACTCAATAGTTTACCCCTGGAGTATTGCTTGTCAGTCAATAATTGTGTGTTGAAGGAATAAATTAATATAAATAAATTTTCTTTTCTTGTAGATTTCTCATCAGTTGAAGTTGGAACTCAGTTTAGTGCAGGATCAGATCATACAGGCTCAGGATTCATTAAAGCAAAAGGAAAAAGAACAGCAGCAATTTCAAGGGAACATTAACGAGCTCAAACAACTGACTGAACAGAAGAAAAAGCAAATTGAAGCACTACAAGGAGAAGTAAAGACTGCTCTGGCACAGAAGGTAGTAATATGATATGTGTTTAATTCTTATAGGAAGAAAAGGTTTGCAAGTAAAGTAATTTAGTTAACACAGATTAATTATAAAAAATTTTTATATATACTCAAAATATTTCTGTATAACTAAATAGTATGGAATTTAATATGACTATGGTTTGTCATGATTATGAATTTTGTAACTATAGGGTAATTTTTCTGCTTCAAATAAGATTATCTTTTTTTTTTTTTAAGTAGGACAGATTTTATTTGGAGGATTTTTAGGGTGTGGAGGGGAGAGAGTGAGAGAATAATGTACTCAAGAGAGAACACGGGCTTCTCCAAGGGCGGAGAGAGCCCCTAAACACATCCTAGCATTTGACACGAAAAGTATGAAAGTAAGCAGCATAAATCACTCTGATACAGGATTTAAAAAAAAAAGAAAATTTGATGTTAAATACGTATTTACATATGAGGACAACAATTCTAATAATTTACTCAAGAGAAATTTTAAGTTAAAAAAAAAAACACAAACTCCAAACTCATAACACTATTGTCATATTGGCAAAAAAAAAAAAAATGGAAACTAGAAATGTCTCTAAATATTGTGCATGCAAAAGTTTGTAAGTCTACAACTGTACCTCATGGTATCTCACTAATAAAAATTAAAAAATTAAAAATAATAAAATATCGATAAGCAAAAATAAATATTTTTTTAAAAAAGATCTAAAGTGTAAAATCTGAGTAGGCTTTTTACAGTGTTGTTTTATCTTCATAAAGGGAATATTTGCTTTATATTAGAAAATATTATGTTATAAATTACGTTTATCTTTATTAATATGTAAAAAATTATAATAAAATCACTGCGAATATTAGAAAACTAATGAGAATTGAATGTAAAATAAATGTTGATTTGTTATTAAAAAATAAAAATAAATAAAAATAAAATACTGTGCATGAACAAGCAAAATAGGGTTTGTATTTACAAAGCAGGACTCGAGAAATTAAATGGAACAACTCAAAAGCACTATACTAGGTGAAAATCTGACTCAAAACTATAGTATGATTCCATTTACATAAAATCTAGAAAAAAAACTATACTGACAGAAAGCAGAAGCATTTGCCAAAAACTTGAGGAGGGGAGAAGGGGCAGGAGTGATAGCACAGTGGGTAGGTGTTTGCCTTGCACGTGGCTGACCCGAGTTCTATTCCCAGCATCCCATATGGTCCCTTGAGCACTGCCAGAAGTAATTCCTGAGCACAGAGCCAGGAGGAACCCCTGAGCATCGCTGGGTGTAACTCAAAGAGCAAAAAAAAAAAAGGGGTGGGGAAGGAAAATGATCACGAAGGGTATGAAAATAATTTGGAAGAAATGACCTTTGTTCAAATCATCTATGTAGTAGTTCATACTTAAAATTAGTCATCCAGTTTTTAAATCTTAAATTTATGTCTGCTCTCAATGTTTCATATAAAACGACTCCTTTTTAGGGCTGGAGAGTGTACAGCATATAAGGTACTTGCCTTACATGCACCTGACCTAGATTCAATCCCCAGCATTTGGTATTTTACAGTAGAGAAAGGGGGATGAGAACAATTTGTATTTTGTATTGACCTTTTTTTGTTGTTTAGTTTTTATTTTTTGTGTTTGTTATTTTGGGCCACACTAACAGAGCTCACTGTTGGGGGTTGCTCCTGGTAGTGCTCTGGAAACCATGCAATACCAGAGATCAAACAAGGACTTCCTGCATGTCTTCATGCGAAACACGTGTCCAGCCTTTTGGATCACTTTTTGTAATTATTGTAACTTTATAGGAGTAGGTTTTCAATAAAGATATGACTTTTTCTGTATTATATTTAATCTTAAGTCAGGATAGAATGATCACTATTACTCCCTGTTCTCAAGAGGCTCATGAGTTTTGTTTGTTTCTAGTCATATCCAACAGTACTCAGGGTTTAGTCCTAACTCTGAGCTCAGGGTTCACTTCTCAACTGGCTTGTGGGGCCATCTGTGGTGCCTGGAATCGAACTTAGGTCTTTCATAGCAAGGCAGGTACCTTAAATGCTATACTATGTCTGTTGTGTATTCAAAAAATTAATTTTCAAAGGCCTCGGTTCTTTCTCTCCCTCGCTGCCTGTGTTCTGTGGTCTTGCGGCACTTCCCCCACCCTGGGGTGGCTGATGGCAATGGGTGGAGATGGAGGGAATGAGGGCCAGGCTGTTATTAATTGCAGTTTATTCCAAATATCCTCTCCATTTTTCTTGCTCATCCCTTCCCCGATCCCCTTCATTCTTCTCCCAATTTTCCTCTTCATTCTTCTCTATCCTTCTTCTGGATCTCCCAGCCCACTCTTAACAGCCTTAGTTATATCCCAAAGGATGAGAGATTGGGGATTACACATAGGTTTGGTCATGCAATCAACAGAGGTAAAGTCCTTCCCTCGGGGGAAGCTTCTTCTAGGACAAACTTTTATTCAGTAGGATGACCCACCCAAGAGTGAAATTCCATCTATGGGTGTGTTTCTCCTTTCCTTAGTCCAACAAACATATAATCATTCATAAGATTAGTCATTTGTATGGACACAGTAAGAGATACATTAAGCTTATAGGATGGCTGTCTTGGGGGCATTTTGCTATAGATCTCAGACTACAGTGCTTAAGCCAGATTAGTTTTTCCTGACCCTAGCAGGATTCTGGTCTAGTAGTTACTTTTTGGATCATGACAGAATTTGTCCATGCTCTTAACTTATAGTTCAGTATTGTGACACTTAGGCCTTGCCGATTTCAATGCCTGGGTAGCTCACAGCTTGCCCTGGGTCCATCCAGTCCCTTGTCGGGATCCATCTTTTGGGGTGCTAGGAAGTAAGGGAAGCTGGAGGCTTAAGTCCAGAAAAAAGATGCCCAGGGGTGAATATTATTCTTAGTCAATTAACTCCCAGTTATGAAAGCATAGCATTAACTGTCTTCCTTTGTCTATACTAAAAGTATATTGCTTTAAAGTAAACTGTGCAAAAGGACATAAGAGAAGGAGAAAAGCGGTATTTCACTTATGAATACAAGTCCAGTGTCCTTTGAAAGATCTGACCTTACAAGTTAACAGAGTTTGATTAGGGGAAAAAGGTAATAGACTGGTTGGGGAAGCAGGGCACAAAGAAAGAGGTTACAGATAAGCAAAGGAATGGTAATGACTCGGGAGCACTGAGATGGGTGTAACCCGATAAACCTAAGCTCCCTGTGGAAAGGTAGAAAAGACAAATCAATGTTATCCTACACCGATATCTAGTATAGGTATTGTATGTATGTGAAAAGAATATGTAATTATATGTACCTTTACATATATGTAGCACTGTTCCCGCCACCACCCCCCACCACTGTTCATCCTTTTGCTCGAGTGGGCACCAGTAACGTCTCCATTGTGGGACTAGTTACTGTTTTTGACATATTGAATATGTCACAGGTAGCTTGCCAGGCTTTGCCGTGTGGGCAGGATACTCTCGGTAGCTTGCTAGGCACTCCAAGAAGGACAGAGGACTCAAACCCAGGTTGGCCATATGCAAGGCAAACGCCCTACCCACTGTACTATCATGCCAGACCTTTATACATATATAGAATTATTTTTTAAAGCTATAATAGTCAAATGACACTGAATTTGATCAAAACTATAAGAAAAAAATTAATCTTAGTGGAAAATTTGACTAGTTTTTGAGAGGCAATAGCACTTTAACTGGGTCTTTAATTTTGAAAGGCTAAATCAAAGGAAATTAAACACTTCAGAAGAGAAAACAGTATTAGCAAAGTTTGCGAAGCTTTAAATAAGCTGTAAATATATTATAAAAATATAGAGCATATGGTAGTGGATAATTGGGGAGATAAGGTTACAGAATTGGATGGTCAGAACATAGTATGTCTTATGCAGTTATTTCTACTTTAAATTTTTTAACAATAAAGGACTAAAGGATTTTAGGAAAAGAGAAATGTAATTTAATCTGCTTTAGAGAAAAAGCTGATTAGTTTGTGAAAGATAAATTATAAATGACTTCCTGTATTCTTTGGAACTTTGCATTTATTTTCATGGCTGTTATCAAGCTATGGCAATGATTTTTTTTTTATTTTCTATTTCCCTCAAATAGATTTCCCTCAAATTTCCCTCAGAGCTTCTTAAAGACAAACATCTGAATCATTTGAATATCAAACGACTTGTTTTGATTTTGACTCATACCTAACAATGCACAGGGCTTGCTCTCCTCTCTTTTCTCAGGCGTCACTCCTAGCTGTGCTTAAGGGACCATATACGGTGCTTAGGGTTAAAGTGATATGGTTTGCATGCCAGGGAAGTGTTTTAACCCCTGTATGATTGCTCTGGCCCAAGCCATCTATTTTTTAAAAAATTAGTGAACAGTCTGAGTAAAGATAAGACAGGCTCAAAAAATGGGTTTTCTAGAAACCATTATGGTCATTATTGAGACTTTGTGAGGGCTTAGTTAAAAGCCATTTGGTGATGAAAGAGAAAGAAAACTTCAGTTTGTGAAAAGAAGTAAAGTAAATGCAGTAGTCTTCAACATGAAAAAAAAATTGTCTAGAAAATCCTAATATGAACAATTTCAAGCAAAGTTGCAGGGACAGTGACAGGAGTATATTACCAGGTAGTGTATAAGGGTTCAGTGCCCTTCTCTTGTCCATAGCACTACCTCCAGCTGGCCTCCTAGATCATGTATTTTCATTTCTTATGCCACAGTATTAGTCAAGGCTCTTTTTTCCTTCTCTCAGCTATTGTTTGTTCATCTTTTTGTTGTTTCTGGGTCACACTCAGCAGTGTTCAGGGGCTTTTTCTGGTCCTGTGCTCAGGATAATTTCTGACTGTTTTGGAGCATGGGGAAGGGGGACCACTTGCAGTAATGGGTATTCAACCTGGGTGGGTCACTTGCAAAGCAAGTCTCTTAACCCTTGTACTATTGCTCCTACAATAGCCTTTTAATATATATCTCAGGAACGTCATCTGCAATTTATTTTCCAGCTATTCATTCAAGAAATATTGCTAGACATTGATTTTATGCTTATGGTACAATTCTAGGTGTTGGAGATATAGACACACAAAGAACTTTTCTCATGATGCTTACATTTCCTTAAGGGTAGTAACTGCTGATGGTTCTATGAAAGTCAGTAATGAAACAGAATCCTACCAAAGATTGAGCAAGCAATGATCTTTGAAGAGAGTATGAGTTTGTACATGAAATATTTGAGTTGGGCAAATATCTGAAACCTAGGACAAGTGTAGAATTTTCTGAAAACAGAAGACCAATTTAAAATAAGTATTGTGGGAGAGACCTGAACACCTGAAGAACCTGCCATCAGCACTCATCAATACACTGGCTTGGCTCTTCACATACTACGTGTCTGAATGCAAGGTTCCGTCCCAATGGAAAACCAGCAGGACTGTACTACTGTACAAGAAGGGAGATCTGCCTATTGTCTGTCATCTACAAGCTGTTCACTCGAGTCATCCTGAATAGAATTGGCAGAACACTAGATGAAAGACAACCATGAGAACTAGCCAAGTTCCGAAAAGGATTCAGCACAGTCGACCATATCCACATGGTAACCAAGCTCACTGAGGTTTCTCGGGAGTTCAAGATGCCACTCTGTCTAACGTTCATTGATTTAAAGAAGGCCTTTTCTTTTTTTAAATTTGTATTAGTGAGACATCATAAGGTACAATTGTAGACTTACAAATTTTTGTGCTTGGGTTTCAATTATACAATGATCAAATACCCATCCCTCCACCAGTGCCCATTTCCCACCACCATGGAACCCAGTATCCCTCCCACCCCCTATCCCCCCCATCCCATCCTGCCTCTGTGGCAGGGCATTCCCTTTTGTTCTCTCTCTCTTATTGGGTGTTGTGGTTTGCAAAAGAGGCAATGGGTGACAATCATGTTTGGTCTATAGTCTACTTTCAGCATGCTTCTCCCATCCTGGGAGGATCCTCCCAACACCCTTTATTTGGTGCTCCCTTCTCTATCTGAGCTCCCTTTTACCCTAGCATGTGTGGCTGGCCTCCAAGCCATGGTCATTGAAGCCCTAGCAAAACAGGGCGTTCAAACTCAATACATCAGGATCTTCCATGAGCTGTGTTACGGATTCACTACCAGGATCTCACCATTCTACAAGGAAGTGATCATCCATGTCAAGAGAGGGGTTTGGCAGGGTGATACCATTTTCCTGAAACTCTTCAGTGCCACCCTCAAGAACGTCATGCAATGCCTGGAATGGGAAGGAATGGGAACGAAGATAGACGGCCGGCAACTACACCACCCTCGCTTTGCTGATGGCATCATTCTAATAACACCAAACATTAGCCAATCAGCACAAATGCTGGCCGACTTCAACTGTGAGTGTGGAAAGGTCGGACTACAGCTGAATCTCACGAAGACATCGTTTATGAGAAGTGGTCTTGTTACCAACTGGATTCCACAGGACATCAAAAGATCGCATGGCCGCCTACCTACAAGATGGTCAGACTGCTTTGTCAAGACCCTGAACCATCGGTTTGAGGCTCTTTGTGTTCCTCGAACGAGCAGACGCCATTGGACTACAGTAGCATGTGACAGGGACGAATGGAGGTGTTATTGGTGCCCGCTCAAACAAATCGATGAGTAACAGGATGTCAATTGATCAAGTGATCAAATGATTGTGGGATAGAGAAATACTGGTATGAGATAAGCTCAGAGAGGGTAATAAGAGTCACAGCATGTCCCTGCAAAATTATAGATCATGAGATAGTAGAATGGTTTGTCTTATGCAAGGAACAATGAGAATTGATTAGAAAGTTTTGAGCAGAGAATAGTATAATCTCATTGAGGAAATAGGAATCAAAACTATTGCAGTTGTACAGACAGTACATGATGTTGGTATGCATTAAAGTGTTTTTGAAGTAACAATATGAGATTTTTTCTAGAAATTTGGATTATCAAGATCTGTTGATTTCTTGGTCAGAGATAATGAAAGGAGGAACCAAGAAGAACTCTAGATTATTAGAATCAAACTGGGTAATAGTCATACTTACTTGGGGAAGTAGCAACTTCCTCAAATGAGTGGGACTGCTATTAGAAATCAAGAATTCCACTTGAGATAGGTTGTCAGTCATTTAAGCAGAATTATCAGCAGAGTACTTGCCTATAATGAGTCCTGAGTTCATTTAGAGAGGTTGGGACTAGAGACAAATTTAGGAGTTTGATAAAGATATAATACTAGAACATGAGTCTTGTTGAGGTCTTTTTAGGGAGAATGATTCTCAAATACAGGGCTAAATGAATCCTGGGATCTAAACATAAAGAGATCAGGGCCGGAGCAATAATAGTATAATGGGTTGGGAGCTTTCCTTGCACATGGCCAACCCAGGTTCAATCTATAGAATCCCATACGATCCCCTGAGCACTGTCAGGAATAATTCCTAAGCATCACTGGGTGTGGTCCCAAACTAAAAATAAAATAAATATAAAGGTAAAGGTAAAGGCCCTCCCATTGATTGTCGATTTGCTCAAGTAGGCCCAGTAACGTCTCCATTGGAGACTTTGTTGTTACTGTGTTTGGCATATCGAATACTCTCGGTAGCTTGCCGGGCTCTCCGAGAGGGGTGGAGGAATCGAACTCAGGTCGGCCATGTTGGCCGCTTGTAAGGCGAACGCCCTACCCGCTGTGCCATCGCTCCAGCCCCAATATAAAGAAATCTAACAAAAGAAGAGAGGTTGCTAGTAAAGGAATTTCAAAAGCTGTGTCCAGTGAGAGAGAATGACAACCTAGAACATAAGAAATCAGGTTGAAGAGTTGTTTCAGAGGGGGGTAAAATTATTTCATCTGTAGGAGGTCAAGTAAGATGTGGTCAAGGACATGGATGAATATTCGCTTTCAGAATAAGTGGGTATTGGTGATCTCAACAAGTTTTACTGTACTTTTGCATTTTTTTAAAAGTTTAAAATGTGTTTTTTATACATCTATTTTAATTGTGTTGTAGCTTGTTCATATCTCTTGAATTTTCTTGAGATTACAGAACAGTTCAGAGGGGTTGGACCTTTGATATGTTTTCCTTTTCTGCCTTGATTTAATAAGGATGATCTGTAAAATTTCCTTAGTTATAAGTAGTATATACTCTTAGTTATAAGTAGTATATACTCTGTACAGGAATGCCTTTTTACTTTCATTATTTCTTCCTGATTCCATCTGAAATTAAGTTAATCTTCTGAAACAACAAGTACAGCATCCTCCATTAGATTTGAGTTGTTAGCTTCAGTCTCCAGAGGCTTTGAGGTTTAGGGCTTTCCAGTGACTTTTTTTCCTTTAAATGCTTTTTAATTTTGGGTTTTTGAATTGGGACTTGGAATATTAAAATTCATGACCTTTGTAACTCTAAAACAAGTTATATTTTTTTATTAAGGTAGAATAATTTAGTGCGATAAATACGGTCCACTTTATTCTCATGACTCTTCCTTATGTGGTTTTCACCTTGTATCTGGTTATGGTTTTTGTTGTGCATGCTGTTTCATATATCTATTCTGTGTCTCAGTCAGAGCTGGAGAATAAACTGCAGCAGCAGTCAACACAAGCATCGCAGGAACTTGCAGCGGAGAAAGAGAAGATGGCAGCATTACAGAACACCTATGAAAAAACTCAAGAAAATCTGAAACAGATTCAATCTGATTTCTACGGGAAGGAATCTGAACTTCTAGCCATAAGGCAAGATCTTAAGGTATGGTAAGCTATATTATTTCATGAAATCTCAATAAATTATTTATAGTTATTCATTAAATGTGGCGACGGCTGGGTAGAGGAAGTAGTGTCCACACTTCAGGACGCTTTCCGGACCCGCACGGCGCTTTGCGGCCGCGCGACACATCATAAGACACTAAATACCCATCTTCCGGAATTGTCGTACCGTATTTGATAGGGTACAAATATGGTAACACCTAAAAGGGTGATTAGAGGTCGCCCCAAAAACCTCTGTCCCTCTTGGAAAGACTGGCAAGCTACCAAGAGTATTCCGCCCGCACGGAAGAGCCTGGCAAGCTATCCGTTGTGTATTCGATATGCCAAAACCAGTAACTACAACTGGTCTCATTCACCTGACCCTGAAGGCTTCACCGTCATGGCAGCACTGAGAAGGATGAGAAAGGAGAGGCCGACAAAATCTCAAGGCCGACCTAGGCTGCCACAACGAAGGAAGACAAAAATGATCGTCTGTACTTTCAGTGCACGTACGCTAGCATCAGATGCATCCATTGAGGACCTGATGGTACAAGCGCGAATGATCAAGTACGACATCATTGGTCTGACCGAGACAAGAAGGCATGCCGTTTTCGACACTCGAGAAGAATTGTTCCTCGGAACATGCGATAAAAGAGGTGTTGGAGGCGTCGGTGTCCTTGTCAACACAAACTTGGCCAAGAGCATTGATTCATTCGAATGCCTAACAACCCGAATCAGAGGTTTACATTTGAATAGATGTGGCTCACTGCCTGCAGTTTCTATCTTCGTTGTCTACGCACCAACATCTCATTATGATGAAAGAGAAATCGAGAAGTTCTACATGGAGCTAGAGAAGTTCTATAAAGAAGACCACACCTTCTACAAGATCATTGTGGGTGATTTTAATGCCAAGATAGGACCGAGAAGATCAGCTGAAGAACTTCACATCGGGACCCATGGCCTAGAATGGAACGAACAGGGTGAGAGACTGTCTGAGTTCATCATGTCGACCAAGACCATTCATGGTAACTCACAGTTCCAGAAGGCAGAATCTAAACGATGGACATGGGAGTCTCCCGGTGGATGATTCCACAACGAAATAGACCACATCATATTCAATCGACGGTTTTGCCTGACCGATGTCGCTGTTGTCCCAAAATTTCGAACCGGATCAGACCACCGTCTCCTTCGTGCAAAATTCTACTTCACAGAGCGGGGAGAAAGGGCTGCAAAGTTCAAAAAGAGAACTCCCAGAATGACCACCAACTGGGAACTCTTTGGTACTATTGCGGCAACATGGGAAGATGCCATTGTTGACAACATTGACGAGGAATACGATCGACTGGTTCAGCACCTCCATGAATGTGCGAGGAACGCCAAGAGAAAGATAGCCACAAAAAATCACCTATCTTCGAAAACTCTTGAGCTAATTCGCCAGCGTGGTTTGGCGCATGCCTCAGGCAACCGCAAGCTAACGTCCAAGCTCACAAAGCAGTGCAGAGATGCGATCAAGGAAGACCTCAAAGAGAGAAGAGCAGAAGTACTGGTAGATGCGGCAGAAGCCGGGAAAAGTATTCGTAACGCCCGTCTGTCCTTCGCCAACTACAAGACCAAGATGACTGCCCTCCAACATCCTGATGGATCCATCACATCCTCCAGAACGGCAATGGAGAAAATTATCCATGACTTCTACTCAGATCTCTTCGATAGCCATGTTCACTTGCCGACATACCAAATTCCACAGGATGGGTATGTCGTTCCCAACGTTCTCCCTTCCGAAATCCGACACGCCATTTCGTCGGTAAAGAAACAAACAGCACCCAGCCCAGACACGGTCAGACCTGAACACCTGAAGAACCTGCCGTCAGTACTCATCAATACACTGGCTCGTCTCTTCACTCGCTACCTGTCTGAATGCAAGGTTCCGTCCCAATGGAAAACCAGCAGGACCGTACTACTGTTCAGGAAGGGAGACATCCATGACATTGGCAACTATCACCCGATCTGCCTATTGTCTGTCATCTACAAGTTGTTCACTCGAGTCATCCTAAATAGGATTGGCAGAACACTAGATGAAGGACAACCATGTGAGCAAGCCGGGTTCCGCAAAGGATTCAGCACCATCGACCATATCCACACGATAACCAAGCTCATTGAGGTTTCTCGGGAGTTCAAGATGCCGCTCTGTTTAACGTTCATTGATTTAAAGAAGGCCTTTGATTCTGTTGAGACGGAAGCGGTCATTGAAGCCATAGCCAATCAGGGCATTCAAGCCCAATACATCAGGATCCTCCGTGAGCTGTATTGCGGATTCACTACCAGGATCTCACCATTCTACAAAGAAATGATCGTTGATGTCAAGAGAGGGGTGTGGCGGGGTGATACCATTTCACCGAAACTCTTCAGTGCCACCCTCGAGAACATCATGCGACGACTGGAATGGGAAAGAATGGGAGGGAAGATAGATGGTCGGCAACTACACCACCTCCGCTTTGCTGATGACATTGTTTTAATAACACCAAACATCAGCCAAGTGGCACAAATGCTGGCCGACTTTGCCTGTGAGTGTGGAAAGGTAGGACTACAGCTGAATATTACGAAGACAATGTTTATGAGAAACAGCCTCATTCCTGACGCCCCATTCGCTCTCAACGGAACGACCATCTCCGAATGCAACAGCTATGTGTACCTAGGTCGAGAGGTCAACATGACAAATGACCTGGCACCCGAGCTGCGCAGGAGGAAGAGAGTGTCTTGGAACGCCTTCAAGAAGGTCAAAGAAATAGCTAAGAGGAAGAAGAACCTCCGGCTCCGGGCACATCTCTTTGATTCCACTGTTCTTCCTGCATTAACATCTGCCTCAGAGACCTGGGCCCTAGGCAAACAGGATGAGAATGCTATTCAGGTCTCCCAAAGAAGAATAGAAAGAGCTATACTTGGAATATCACGTTTCACTCAAATGAGAGAAAGAATCCAGAATTCTGACATCTGTTGACGATCAAGAATCAGGGACGCTGTCTCATTTGCCAAGGTGTCGAAAATCAGATGGGCTGGTCACGTAATGAGATTTAAAGACGAACACTGGACTAGAGCTGTTACCGACTGGATTCCACAGGATGTCAAAAGACCGCGTGGCCGCCCTACCAGATGGTCAGACTTCTTTGTCAAGATCATGAATGATCGGTTTGAGGCCCTTCATGTTCCCAGAGCGAACAGATGCCATTAGGCTACACTAGCACGTGTCAGGGACAAATGGAGACGTTACTGGCGCCCGCTCGAGCAAATCGACGACTAACCGGAAGTTAAGTGATTAAGTGTTTCATTAAATGGTTGATTCAAACCCAAATGTACAATATGATATTTGTGAACTTTCTTATTTGTTTTCTATATTACCATATGTTTAACCTGTTTTTTAAAAATTAAAATTAAATTGTTTTAGTTTTAACATGTGAATATAGGTATTTAAAAAATAACAAAGTAATTTGGAAATATGCAAACTGCTACATTGTTAACTTATCTAAAGACTAGTTGTCTTTTTTTTTCCTTTTTTTTTAAAATTTAATTTATTTATTGAATTACTGTGGGAAAAGTTACAAAGCTTTCAGATTTAAGTCTTGGTCGTGCAAATATCAAACACATTTCCCTTTACCAATACTTATTTTTCACTACGAAGAAGCCCAATAACCTCCCCCCCCCCCAACCCTCCCAATGGCTGTGAGGCAGATGAACTCTAGTTAACACTATCTACTTTGACTAGATTTATTGTTTCGACAAAAGATGCACCATTATTATTTAGAGTTTACACCCCCAAATCAGACATGCTGAAAAGGCATTGTGAAATAATTTGTTTTCTACAGATGGTCACAAGAATCAAACAATGTCGTGCGGTCGCTAGTGCGATTTTGGATTTCTGGTATTTTACTTATTAACCCTGGATGTATTTCTGCTGAGAGTCAGATAGTTATAAGATTGGTTTCTATGCTCTGGAATCATGGCCGTGCCGGAGAGCCGCTCGTGGGGGGCAGCTCTGACCTCGGTAGGGCGTGAAGGACAAGCCGGGAACGCCCCCCTTCCCATGAGGTTTTAGTCGCCCCATCACGACCGGCTCATACCTGGCTTTTCACAAAGCTTCCAAGCGGCTGCCATCTTTCTTTCCCGAGAGAAATAAGGTGGAAGGGACCAACACCCTTTCCCCTCTGGGCAGGCGTGGTGGCGTGGATTAAGGCATAGTCCATTCACTTTTCTGCTGCAAGCTGCCGGGCTCTGCATTAAGTCCTTGTGCTTCTGGAGCCATGGCCTGACCTCGGTAGGGCGTGAAGCTTTTTTTTCCTTTTTTATAATTTTATTTATTGAATCATCATGAGAGCAGTTAAAAAGCTTTCGGGTTTAAGTCTCGAAAAGTTTCATACAATGAAACACTCGTCCCTTCACCAGTGCACATTTTCCACCACCAAAAACCCCAGTATGCCCCCCATCCCACAACCTCCCTCTACCTGTGGGGCAGATGATTTCCACATTACTCTCTCTATACTTTGATAAATTCAATATTTTGACACCAGAGCCACCATTATTATTTGGGATTTTACCCCAACACTCAGATCTGCCAAAAAGGCAACCGTAGACAATTTGTTTTCTATTGCTGGTTATGATTAACATATGATGTCGTGCGGCCGCAGTAGTGACTGGGCGATTTTGGAGTTCTAAAATTTTAACAATTAAATCTGGAGGAATTTCTCCCAAAACCTGCTGGGTTCTAAGATTTGTTCCTGAGTCTCTTGGATCCTGGCCATTAAGCAGCTTGATCAGGAGCCAGAGAAGCCGTTCATGGGCAGTGACTCGGGATCTCGTTGGGGTGTGGAGGAAAGGGCAGGCTCCACCCCCATCCTGTGAGGCCCTGCGTGTCTCGGCACTGCAGGCCCAAACCTGACTATCTAATGGCCTCTGGAGGATGGCAGCCACTGAGCCACCAGGGGGAACAGGCCAAGGCAGGAAAACTATTCCCACCTGGGCTGGCCCGAAGCTGGTAACCTATTGCAGGGACCGGATGCATTTCTGCCAAAAGTTGCTGGGTTTTGAGATTTGTTTCTGAGTCTCTGGGATCATGGCCGTTAAGCAGCTTGATCAGGAACCAGAGAGGCCTTGCCTCTATTATATAGCCGAGCCGGAGGTGGTTTGTGGGTATGTCTCCCACATACCTAATTTTTGGCCATTTACTTTCTTGTTAAACTTTGCCCCAAGTTTTTGGGGTCTGGCCAAAGGCACAGCAGCAATTTTAGGGTATCTGGAAGTCTGAAGGCGCCATCAGGCTGCTGATAAGACTTGCTGTCTTTAAAAGTAGTTTTTGAAAAAGACAGCAGTTAGGATGTCTGAGAAATTGTTTACAATATAAATTGCTTGTGCAAATGCAAGTTTTATTGTTGCTTGTCAGGAAATACCTACTATAGTTTTATGTAATAGTCAGCTTTTCAAGTTTATTGCCTAATGATTAAAATAGAAAAAATTAAAGTTCAGAATAAACCTAACCTTAATTATTTAAATATTATTTAAATATAAGAAACGTGTCTTTGGAAATGCTATTTAATTAAAGTATCATGCTTTTAAAAATGAATGATAATATGGTAAATAATTTTCATATAATAATTAGTTCTTTAAGGGAAATGGTACATTTGTAATCTATTTATAATCTCATAGATGAGTCATCTGGTTCTTATTTTTCTTTTTGTCAAGGTGAGAAATATTTATTCCTTATATTTGAACTCTTACATCCCTTCCCATGGCTGTTGTTGGTGGTCCTAGCTGAAGGTGGTAAACTTAGTGGTTGGGCTTGCTAGGGGTCATGATCCTCTGAGTCACTTAATTGCAGTGTACCAAAGATCAAACACTTGTTTAGGGATCATACACACAAACACTGGGAATCCTGATGGCAGTGGGATCACACACTCCACCGTATGGGAATGAGAGCTGTGCTTCCTACTTGCTATGACAGGAACTCTACCATGAACTACATCCCTCGATCCTGTGTTGGAGCTTTTGTAAAACAGTTACAATCACATTTTTAAAAAGATTTTTTTTGAATCACAGAATCTTCCATATAGCATATATATTCTGTAAGTATATTATTCACAAGCTATTATAGGCACTATATATGCTGGAGTGATAGCACAGCGGTAGGGCGTTCGCCTTACAAGCGGCCAACATGGCCGACCCGAGTTCGATTCCTCCGCCCCTCTCGGAGAGCCCGGCAAGCTACCGAGAATATCTCGCCCACACGGCAGAGCCTGGCAAGCTATCCGTGACGTATTCAATATGCCAAACACAGTAACAACAAGTCTCATGCTGGAGACGTTACTGGGCCCGCTCGAGCAAGTCGATGAACAACAGGAGGACTGTGACTGTGAGATATATATATATATATATATATATATATATATATATTATATATATTTTTTTTTAATGGGCTGGAGTGATAGGATAGTGGTAGGGCGTTTGCCTTGCAAGCTGCCAGCCTGGCTGAGCCAGGTTCGATTCCTCCACCCCTCTCGGAGAGCCCGGGAAGCTACTGAGAGTATTTCACCTGCACTGCAAAGTCTGGCAAGCTACTCGTGACGTATTCCATATTTGATATGCCAAACACAGTAACAACAAGTCTCACAATGGAAATGTCACTGGGCCTGCACGAACCAATCGATGAACAACGGGAAGACAGTGCTAGAGTGCTATTTTTTTAGTGAAGGAGATTGCCACTGAACAGCCACTGAAAGGATTTGTTGAGATTTGAGATTTTATTTTAGGTTAATGCTTAATATTTTAGGCTACATCTTTAAGGAATAGATTGTGACTGAATGTAGAGGCTAATAGTCTTAGTGCAAGATGATGGTTACTTGGCCTAGTACTAGCATAGAATGAAGAGTGTTAATGAATTTGAATGATTTTATGGTGTTGGGAGAGATGAAACTGATTATAGAGAACCTAGAAAAGTCATACTTTTTCATGTCATTATATTATTTACCATAGTTATAAGACTAAGAGCTTTTAAATCAATATTTTTCATGAAATCAACAACTATTTTTATTATGCCACAACCTAATTTGCATACTAATAATTTTATTTTTGGCTGAATAATTCAAATATAAGTATGGCCAAAGCTAAAAACAGTTATGAAGCTCCCATGTGGTTTATGAATATTTGGGTATATCTCTGTCGCCAAGCTTCCATGGACAGATGAGGAATGGACTGGCCCAGTGCTGATCAGTAATAGGGCCATGTTAGTCGTTAGTTCTTCTGGGACATAGCCATTAACGGCTTCTAATTCTTTCACTGTCAGTTTGGTAAAATTAAAAAATCATATGGCATAGAATATTGGTAAATTATGTATTAATGCTTCTGAAGTGAAAAGTATCTGAACTATTTAGGATAACAGTTTTTCCAAGTAAATTACTAGGAAAGTTCAAATGAACCGATAGCTCAGTTTAAGAGATGGTTGTCAGCCATCTGTTATTTTTCTTTTGCTTCAGTGTTATATGATCTTGTACTTGAGAAACGGAGGTTTTGGGAACCTTAAAACATAACACCTTCCAAAGGCAGGCTTTGGAGTTCAGTGGGCCTGATGTATGGCTTTAGCCCCCTCTACTGGATTATTTAGATAATATTCCAGTTTGTTCATAACATTTCAGATTTGTTGTGCTCTAAGTCTGCTTTTGTTGAGAAAGTTAGGAGTAGACTTTAATTTAAATTTACACATGAATTTTGATCCCTGAGCAAAGTGGGAAATATAATTTTAGAATAAATATAAATCTTAGCATTGTGCTAGTTCTTATGTCATTTTATGAGATAGCAAGAAAAAGTAATACTAGAAATGCCAAAGGTTGTGTTTTGAAGGAAGAAAATTTGATTAACAGACAAAAAACCCTGTATCTTCTGAAAAAGCATACAGAATAAAGTTGTTTAGCTATGCTACTATACTGTGATTAGTATATTCAGGATGAAGGTTAATAATTAATTTATTTAGGCATTTGTCTATTCCAATGGATGGTGGAGGTTAAAGAAGTCCCCACTAAAATCATGGTTTTTGTATCACGGCATTCAGAGCAAGCATTTAAAATGCATGATAGTATACCACTCAGTGACATAGATGAATATTAATTGGCAGGATAGACCAATTTGTCAAGGCATCTTGTTATCTTGAGGAAAGACTTCATGAAACAGTCCTAATTCAGGACTACTAATTTATGTTTTAATTTCTAGGTATTGTCATATTTTACTCTTTTTTTTTCTGAAATCACCCTCACCCTTTATTGTAGCTTACTAAGTTTGCACATGTAATATGGACCCTTTTGTTTTTCTCATTTTTCTATGCAGTTGGCACTAGGAGTGCACCTTATATAGCTTCTGTCTTACATCCTGGCTCTGATTTTCAGTTTACAGTGTTGGCTCCTTTAACTCAAGGATCTTTTTTTTAAAAACTTCTGTTTGCTTCAGTATAGTATACTTAATAACTCTATTTGATTAGCAGGAAAAGATGATTTTAGATCCTTCCTGATAAAGAAGTCAGTTGGGGTTGTTTGTTTTATTTGGAACCATTTTATATTGATGTTTATATTAGAAAGGCTTCTAACTATTTGTATGGAATAAATACTTTCTTTGAGGAAGAAAATCCTGAATAAGAAAATCCTTATATAAGATCTATATTTATTTATTTCCTCTTTTTTTAAAAAAAAGATTGAACAACAAGCTTAGTGAGCTGGGATCCTTCTTGATTTCTGTTCTATCTCCTTTTCAAGTGACCTTTATCTTCAGAATAAAGACATCAGCTTCTAGTTGGTAGAGGAACACCAAACATCACTATTGCTAACATTTTTAGCAATAGTAGAGGCAATCTTCCTGCCATTTCTTTCCCTTCCTGTTACTATGTATATTCCCCAAAAGGGGACTAATAGACCAAAATCTCTTCATTTTCATCTTTTCACAGTATTTAGGCCTTAGAACAGCCAGTACCTATGGATGAGGTTAATTGCTAGTCTTGCTTTTACATTGTTGGGAAGTTAGTGGATGATGGGTATGATCATTCCAAAAACCAAGTCACAGGATGTCTGGTTAACTTTTTTCTCTTAGTTTGCTTGCTCAGTTTGGTAAACGTGAGAGAATCCTCCACTCAGAATTAATATAACCTTAATCACTGATGACTTTAGTATGTCAGGGCACATCACAGATACTATAAAATAAATGTATGCACATGTAGAATTGAAATATATTACTTAAAAAATTTTCATGTCTTTAAGTATGTTCTCAGTATGTTTGTTGTCACTATTTATTTGATATTCCTTCATATTAATCAGTAAATATTTATTTCTAAAATGTTTAGAATTCAGAATTATTGAATATTTTCTGCTATACATGTTTCATGCATCAGGGGTGATTATTTAGAACTCTGTCATTTACATGATCTTGCTGAGCACTTAACATATTTTATAGTATATTATTCTTCACTATGATTGTTAACTGATATATTTTTGGTTGAAATTTACTTTAAAGTGATGTATAATAATTTGGGAAAATTGTTTCTATAAGTCTGTAGAAGAGAAGCTTTCTCTGGCACAGGAGGACTTGATTTCAAATAGAAATCAAATTGGAAATCAAAATAAACTGATCCAAGAACTGAAAACTGCCAAGGCTACTTTGGAGCAGGATTCATCAAAGAAAGAACAGCTATTGAAGGAACAGTGTAAAGCTTTACAGGATACTCAAAAAGAAAAGGTATTTCATTTTCTGGCTAAATCTAGTCTCTTCCAACATGCAAATCATATGCTCTTTCCATTGAACTGTCTCTCTGTCCCTTCAGTTTAAGTGTTTTAAAATCATTTGAAAAACTATTTTTCCACAGTCACTGAAAGAAAAAGAACTACTGAATGAAAAATCTAAATTGGCAGAGATAGAGGAAATTAAGTGTAGACAAGAAAAAGAAATTTCTAAATTGGTTGAAGAACTTAAGTCCCACAAGCAAGAAAGCATAAAGGTAAGTTATGATAATAAATATTATTCTTCCTTCTATATTGTAGTTTTATTGCATATATATAAATATATGGTTTTCTTTTTCAGAATCTCTTATATGCTATGAACATTGTTTTGTGGTGCTCTTATTTCAGAGTGCTCTTGTGTTACATAATATCTACATACATCTTGAAACCGTTGCTTTTATTTTCAGATGACTGAAAAAAGCAATAGTTGCCTGAGAAGTTTAGACTATGTTGATGATAATAAAGAACTTTGGTTTCAAAAATTTCATAAACAGCTTTGTAAGGGTCGATCTCACTGTGATTCAATAAAAAAGTAAAACAGAAAAATTTTAACAAGCTCAACTTTATTAACAGAGGTTGTAGACACCTACTAATGTTTATAGGTAGTAAACTTAAACATAGATTTTGAAGAGTCCTATTTTGTTTGTTTGTTTTATTTTGTTTTGTTGGGGGTGACGGGTCTTGGGCAACTTTGATGATTCTCAGGGCATACTCTGAGGCTCTGTGCTCAGGGATCACTTCTGGAGGTACTTGAGAACCATAAGGCATTCTGAGGATTAAACTCAGGTTGGTCACATGCCAAGCATGTGCCTTAGCTGCTATTTTATCTCTCTTGACCCCAGTTCTGTTTATTAATTCTCCCCTCTCTATTGATTCCTTTAGTACTCTCTTGTTATTTGGAAAAAGAATTCTATCTTTTGTAAGCTTAGTTAGGGATCAGTTAATAAAAACTAATTGTTTATATCTTAATTTATGAGTGACTTTTTTAAAAAGAAAGGACAGGTGCTTTGAGTAATGATAGACTTGGTATACTTAACATGTTGCTGTATAATTTTCTCTTTACATCATGCTATATCAGACTGTCTCTCCTTAGAGCAGGGTGTCTTTATGATTTATTTTTGTATTCTGTCCCCAAAATCTTAACAGTGTGTGATTCTGAAGGTGATCAATATATGCCTTGTTAAATGAAAAAAAGGGGGGGAAATAAGGGTAAAGATTTTTCACATAATTTAATTAGAACATAAGCATGTAAAGCACTCTTGAATTTAAATGAAACTTATATGTTATGATAAATTGCACACATTTTAGCTACATTTTTCATATTTATTTTTGGTCTTACTATTTCAATAGGAGGTAACAAATCTCAAGGATGCCAAACAGCTCCTAATTCAGCAGAAATTAGAGCTTCAAGGAAAGTTAGATTCCCTAAAAGCAACTCTTGAACAAGAGAAGAAAAACCAACAAATGCTAAAAGAACAGATGAAAAAAGAAGAAGAAGAACTGAAGAAAGAATTTATTGAGAAGGAAACTAAATTGGTGAGTTGATGTGGTACTTGTGTTTAATAATTGATTTTGTAAATAAGTCCAGTAAGAAATAATTTTTCTACTTAGAAGTTTTGAAATATGTACCACAGTAACAAAAAAAAAGTCTCCAATGAAGACGTTACTGGGCCCGCTCGAGCAAATTGATGAACAACGGACGGACAGTAACAGTGACAGTGACATATTTGATTTATATCAATGCCTGCCACTTGATTGTTTTCACTCTGTAATTTGTATTTTGCCTTATATATGTTAATTTTTTTAAAAAAAATCAAAAATCAAAAAGTTGCAAACACTTTTGATGCCAGAAGAATAAACCCAGTACTTTTTAAATGAAGGTGAGTGATGCGAATGCTGGTAATTTTAAACTCATTTGTCTGGTCAAAATGAATGTTGATGTGGGGAACGGAAACTCCAATTTGGAATTACGATAGCCAAAGTCTACTCTTCCTTCCCTGTGTTGTGCCTGCCAAGTGGGAAGCATCTGGCTTTCCTCTGTTGAATTCAGTCCAAATAGCTTCAGATTATTTGACCACTGGATATTTTAGTTGAAGAGTTGCCTTTTTGTTTGTTTGTTTGTTTGTTTGTTTTGGGGCCATGACTAACTGTGCTAAGGCCTTAGTCTGGCTCTTAATTCAGGGATCACTCCTGATTGGCTTGGAATACCATATAGGTTGCTAGGGATTGAACCATGGTCAACCTTATATAAACAAGCACTTTACCTGCTATACTAGTGTTCTGACCCCATGAATTACAGTTTGAGGGGTCGGAGGAATAGTATGGCAGGTAGGGCTCTTGCCTTGTATATGCCCAGCCCAGGTTTGATGTCTGGCACTGCCCGCCAGAAGTGTTCCCTGAGTGCAGAGCCAGGAGTAAGAGTAGAGCATCACCAGGTATGACTCCAAACCAGTAATAATAATAAAAATTAATTATAATTTTGAGTTTGCAGAGAGATTTGAAAGGTCTATATTGTTTCTTTGACAGCGACAAAAGGATGCATGTGAAATTAAAAACATAAGGAAGTTGCAACTTTATCTCCAGAGTACCTTATAATTCATAACTGTATGCCCTACTCTAGTAAAATAAAAAGGAAGAATCTCAGTTGCGTTTCTTGGTTGATCTTGCAAGATCATCCAAAGGCTTGCTAGCCGTTATTATCTTTTTTTTTTTTTTTGCTTTTAGGGCCACACCCAGCAATGCACAGGGGTTACTCCTGGCTCACACACTCGGGAATTACTCCTGGTGGTGCTCAGGGAACCATATGGGATGCTGGGAATCGAACTTGGGTCGGCCGCGTGCAAGGCAAACGCCCTACCTGCTGTGCTATCACTCCAGCCCCTAGCTGTTATTATCTTGATATTGTGGTCATTGAACCAGTTCAAATTACACAATTTGTGGCATCAGTTTTATTAGTGCATAATAAAATATGTTTTACTGACTTCTTTCTTAAGTCTCCAGAATTTAACATTCAATAACAGTTTAAATGTATTTTGCAGTACTTTTGTAACAAGTTTATTTCTTCACTGTTTTTCCTTTTCTCAGCATTCTGAAATAAAGGAAAAAGAAATAGGAATGAAGAAGCATGAAGAAAGTGAAGCTAAACTTACCATGCAGATTACAGCTTTAAATGAAAATTTAGGCACTGTAAAGAAAGAGTGGCAGGCTAGTCAGCGCCGGGTTAGTGAGCTCGAGAAACAGACGGATGACTTGCGGGGTGAAATTGCGGTACTAGAAGCAACGGTTCAGAATAATCAAGATGAAAGGAGAGCACTATTAGAAAGGTGACTGTCTACTCAAATTAGTTTACTGCCCTCCTAAGTGATGAAATGATTGCAATATTCCTCTGTGTGTGTCTCTGTGTGTGTGTAGGGGGAGGGGGGTGTTTCATCAGAGATCAAAAATTGGGCTTCATGTAGGGCAAGGCATGTGCTCTAAGCCAGATCCCTTTTCTCCATCTAGATTTTTTAAAGTAAAGTGTATATCTCTTTGTTATTTAAATAACCATTTAAAAACTAACACAGGTAATTTAAATTAATATTTTATACTTAATTTTTTTTAAGTCTCTATGTTTGAAGTGGCTTTAATTATCTTCTAAAAATTATTCCAACCTATTCTAGATGTATTAAAGGAGAAGGGGAAATAGAAAAGCTTCAAACGAAAGTGCTGGAACTGCAGAGGAAGCTGGATAATACAACTGCAGCCGTGCAGGAGCTGGGCAGAGAAAATCAGTCACTTCAGGTGAGTCACCTCGTGATGAGAGCCAGCTTTTTAGGGCAGAATTTAGTGTAGAATTTATCTCATTGAAAAGCAACATTCAGTCTTTCAAATTTTTTTATACATTTAATAAATATATTTGAATATTTAACCTGCATTCTCCACAGCAGTATTGTGTGTGTAAAGGATAGTTAAATATAAAATACAAAGGCCATGGAGGTACCTCAGGTCTTAGAGAGCCACTGTCATTCATGTCAGTACTGGGAAAGAACTACAAAAATTTAAGAGCATTAGGGCATAAGTAATCATTTTGTATTAACAGAAGTAATCTGAGTATAAACTCAGAGTTCAAATATTGATCAAAGGAATGAATGAGAAATACCAATTAAGGGTTGGAAATTACCAATACCCTTGAGGAATACAATTTGATTTGTGTCATCATTTTCATTATTATTGTTGCTATTTTATTATTTGTCATTCAGACTTATGAATATAATAATATTTGACAAGGGAAGTTGATCAATGTATTCTGATTTTTAAAAATTTTATTCCATGGTGCAAATAATTAAAATTGTATGAAAACATGAATTCCCATCAGAAATCATTCTTCATTATTTAAGTATCTCAGTGTATTGAAATTTTCCTTTTTTTTTTCCAAATAGATCAAATATACACAAGCATTGAATAGAAAGTGGGCTGAAGACAATGAAGTACAAAACTGTATGTCCTGTGGGAAAGGCTTTTCAGTGACAGTGAGACGGGTAAATGGTTTTGTTTATATTTCCCTGCTGCTTCTGGATTTACAGCTCAGTAACAGTGTTTTCTCTGTCAAAATTTCCCTACATTTGACAGACTTTAAACGTTCTTGCATTTATTGATTAAATTGCAACACCAGGGGCGGCCAGAGAAATAGAAAAGCAGGTAAGGCGCTTGCCTTGCATGCGGCCAACTTGGGTCTGATTCCTGGCACCCCATATGGGTGCTTACCGCCTGGAGTAAGGCCTGATCACTGCTGGGTATGGCCCCCAAACCAAAATAAATAATTAAATAAAATTGCAATGTCATAGAATACACTTCGTGCAGTCTTGTTTCGAGTTAGCACATGTGTTTGAATTTTAGTTTTAAATTTAGGCATTACCTTTCTACTGACTAGCATCCACTTTCTAAAGAAGTGCGTGAATATTAAATGCATATGTTTCAGTCTATTAAATGAAGTAAAACAGATAAAAGTGTATGAGATAGTATTGTCATATGATATTTCAAGTTTATATTGAAATCGTGCTTGAAGCATTTGGCAAATAATCATTTTCAACTGATACAAGTGCTTTAGTAACACTATAAATGCCTCCTAGGATTCTTCTGAGATATACAAGATGTTTTGGATAATATCATAGATAAGAAACATTCAGTTTTAAGAGCTTAATATTAAAATACTACTTTATTAGATTCTAATCATGTGAACATTAATATGCTTTTATGCTGTAGTGCAATGCTTGTAATTTCATAATATTTGGTATAATTTTTATGTTTGAAACTGTTTGAATTTTTTTCATTGCAGCATCACTGCAGACAGTGTGGGAATATCTTCTGTGCTGAATGTTCAGCTAAAAATGCCTTAACTCCTTCTTCCAAGAAGCCTGTTCGTGTCTGTGATACATGTTTCAATGATTTGCAAGGGTAATGAGTTATCACAATTTCAAAGTAATATTATATAAATAATAGATTTTTAATAAAAACCCTTAGTAGTGGTCTTGGACTAATCTTTGATTTGGACAGTGGTTACAATACTATACCAAATTAGAATTAATATATTTTGGAATGTTATATCAGGTAAAACTCTTCTATTTTTGTGAGACTTGGGCTTATCTTTCATTACTTTTCCCCATTTAACCTCTGGAACAGTTTTCACACCAAGTTTAGAATTAGCCAATGAATTGTAAATAAACTTTGGACAAAAAATAGCAATGTATTTTTTTAAATATAATTTCATTGTTCACAAATAACATAAATACATTTCTATAGCTTCTTTCTCCCAAATTTAATGTACAAAAATGCATATGGTTGATGTTATCACGTAATATATGTTGCACAATAATACATTAATTATATTAAATATTCTCTTTGTGAAGTCATGCACAGAACCATGAAACATTTTCTCTTAACTATAGCTCAGTTATATTGTTATGTTACAAATTTACATATGCTGGGTGTTCTAAACACATTTTATAGAGGATTATGTATTAACCATGACTTGAACATGGTTATCTTTTTAATAGTACTCATCAAATTCTCTTGAGAGATTTCATGAAAACCTCTGAAAAACTAGTTTCCTTACATTATGGCTATCCTGGGCTTATATTTTTAAAGGTTTGTGTTCAGCTTTTCTTTTTCTCATTCTATCTAATTTTAAATACATATTTTTTTATTAAGAATCCCATAAAACTTCACCCATCTCTCCAGTTGGGGGATGAGTAACAGAAACTGTGTAATGATCGTATTTTCAGTTTCTTGTAAGTGGGATATCTCCTGGTATTAGCTTTAATATTATTCCTTTATTTTGTTTCTTCAGCATCTTTAGGCATCTGAATTTTTTAAAAATCAATTTGCACTTTTATTTGATTTAGGCTTCTCAAGCATAGTTCAGCTTCTCAGTAATTTCTTTGTTTGCATCCTAAAGAGAGTAACTAATAGTACTATAGTCTTACCTGTGAGAACAAGTAAAAAATGATGACGAGACATTAAGTATTATACTTTATATTTCAGTCTTGATCTACAAGGGAAGAATTTAAGTTATGGATTTGAAATTTAAATGTTTCTAAATTTGGGGTTACATATCTTTTACTTGCAAACATAAGCTTTGAAATTACTTACAAACAATAGCTGGAGAATAGAGTATCACCAAAAACAAATGTATTTAGAAATCCTAAAGTTAAATTAGAAGTGAAACAGAATAGCTAATTAAAGATTATTTTAAATGATCTCATTTGCATGCTAAGCAGTAAAATTGAACTTTTTCAATTTTATTTGGAAAATAATCATCTGAACAGATTAAATCAATATTGTCTCTTTCTGGAGAAGAAATGTGTAGTTGGTATATTTCTGTTAGCACGGTCATTTGGTAATATTAGCAGGGAAGGATGGAAGTTAATATTTCATTTATAGTAGACTTTATTTAAAACATTGCTGAAATGAAGTCATTTTTATGCTCTAAATATATATATATATAAAGTATAAGATTGCCACATTCATTTATCATGAAAAAATACTAAGTAAAATTTGTTGTCAGTAGCTATTGAAGACACTGATTAAGACCCTGAATTTGAATAATAAACATATATTCTTGAGCATATGTTATTGAGAAAACATAATAGCTCTTAATTTAAAATGATAGTTGGGTACTATAAATTAAGCTACTGTTAGACATTTTCATATCTTTAAAGATTATTTCAATTAATCACCTCTATTTTTACATATAAGTAACTTAAGCACATAAGTTAGAAAAGTATATTTACAGCACTATAGCACTGTCCTCCCGTTGTTCATCGATTTGCTCAAGCGGGCACCAGTAACCTCTCACAACAAATTGTGAGACTTGTTGTTACTGTTTTTGGCATATCGAATACATCACGGGGAGCTTGCCAGGCTTTGCCGTGTGGGCAGGATACTCTCGGTAGCTTGCCGGGCTCTCCGAGAGGGGCAGACAAATCGAACCCGGGTGGACTGTGTGCAAGGCAAACGCCCTGTCCACTGTGCCATCACTCCAGCCCACACATTACTAACACAGTCACTTAATCTCCTGGTGGTGCTCAGTAGAACCTCGTGTGGTGCCAGGGATTGAACCTGGGTCGGCCATGTGCAAGGAGAGCGCCCTCCCTGCTGTATTATCTCTCTGGCCCACACACCCTTTGCGGCACCTCCCTGGCCCTTGGTATTTCCTGATGCTCCCAATCTGCCTGAGCTGGGATCTGTCTAGAAGAACTCTTTACATCCCTGAGACAGTTTCACGCCAACACTCTGCACCACATCACCTCCTCCAAGAAGTCCACCCTGACCAGACTATCTCACTGCTACCACTGCTGGCTGGCCCTCTCTCCTCAGGAGGGCACTCAAAGCCTGTGGGATGCAGCCTAGGCCCTGGGGCACATGCCTCACCCAGCGCTCCCTGTCAAGTGGAGACTGTACAGTAAGTGGAACCCAGCCCAACAGAATGAGGGCCAGGTTTCCTGTACCTGCAGAAAATTACTGTTTGGGATGTTTTGGTAGGAATGTTTGAAAAAAGTTTCCCGTAAGATTTAACAGTAATGCATACCATCCAAAAGGACAGAAAGAATAGTAGGGACTGCCTGCCACAGAGGCTGGGGGTGGGAGAGGGATACTGGGAACATTGGAGGTGGGGAATAGGCACTGGTGGAGGAGTGGGTACCTGAACATTGTTAGACTGAAACGCAATCATGAAAGTCTGTAAGTCTGTAAGTGTATCTCATGGTGATATTTACAGCATTTTTATTATTTTAAAATATAATGAAGCATCAGAATTTTTCTGGAAATGATTCTTCTCTTCATCTCCTAATTGGATGCACTAATGTCCTTTCTTTTGTTCTAATTCCCTGCCCACATACTCACCAAGAAAATTGTAAAACCACAGACAAATCATATGTGTTAGGGCGATTTTTTTCTAGTTTTTGTCTATCTCATTTTACAGCCCTCCCTCTATCTGCCTCTCCCACTCCTCTGTCCACCCCCCACCCCATTTACCATAGGTCATACTGATAATATTAGAAACCTCAGTTTTACTATTAACTCTCACTAATTTAAGATGTTTTGGAAACAAAAGTTAAAGGGTTTTCATATCTCTTAATTTTAAAAAAGTCATACTCTAAGCCCTTATTGGCGCTACATTTTAGATATCTGCTGGTTGTATTATTCCATCTGTGATTGGAATTGGCATACATAGAGAACCAGCTCTTGACTCCAATAATGCAAAGTGTATTGGCATCACATAGTAAATTCCAAGCCCCAGCAGGGTGAGTTTCATTCAGATCTTGCTGGGTCAGTGTGTAACTAAGTATACTTGCATAATTTTAAAAAAATAGAGTACAATGCTGCTGGTCTAAGAATTGTTCATTTGGAAAAATGAGGGGGGAAAAACACAAACACCTCAATGCAGTGTACAAATAACATTTTGTTCAACTACCTCTTAATGTGGAATTAGCTAGTTTAATAGTTTCCTCATGGTAATGTTAAATAGTAACTGCCAAATTTGCTAGTTTCCCATCTCTCTCTCTCTCTCTAAAAGGCTTTATGATATTATTTTGTAGTATCAAGAACCTTAAAGTCCCCTTTTATAAACTTGCATAAAATGTTTAGCTTTTAAGTGGAGATCAAATTATGATTTTATATTTTGGTATTCATCAAATATTTGACTATAGCTTTTTTTTAAAAAATGCACTTTGGCTTATAAAACCATGGATGATTTGATCCATATATTTAAATGTGCCATTGATCTATATTCCTAGACATGAGCTTGATGAATGATACTCTGTAATTATAATGTGCCACAGGTTATTGTGTCTTAATTGCCCTTTGCCTGAATTTTAATGATTGGTTTGTTATTGTTACAGATGTTAATATTGTGCATAAACTTACTAAATTTATGTAAAATTGTATAAAATAGAATTGGGTATAGTTAAGCTTTTTCTGTGTAGCAGTAATGATTGTAACATGATGCTGATATGTGTATGACATTCTCTCCTTCCATGAACTGGATCATATATATTCATAGTTTCCGTAGATACTTTTGCATGAATATTTTCTCAGTTTTTAGTTTCTTATTTGTATTGTGTTTACTACTTGTGATATGTAGTTGTGCCTTATTTTGTGAGAAAGGTTAGCTCAGTAAATACTGTAATTTCTAAATGCAGTAATTGAAGGTTTATTGATTATAATGTAACTGCTAAATTACACGACAGCATTTACATGTATAAAGAAAAATGGAAGGATCCTTATTAAATTGTTGCTTTTGTTTTTTAAAATATGTCAAAGATTAAAAACCCATTTCTTTCTAATAGATGTCTTCTGTGACAATTACTTTGTCTTTTTAAAAAGATGACAGACCAAGATATTAACCATTTTGTATTTATTTACAGACCATTGTAACTTTATACTTGGGTATTGACAGCACTGTAACACTGTCCTCCCATTGTTCATCGATTTGCTCGAGCGGGCCCAGTAACGTCTCCATTGGAGGCTTTGTTGTTACTGTGTTTGGCATATCGAATACGTCACAGGGAGCTTGCCAGGCTTTGCCGTGCAGGCGAGATATTCTCAGTAGCTTGCCAGATTCTCCGAGAGGGGCAATTATGCTTTAATGTCGTTTAAATTAGAATAAAAATTAAATTCATAATTTTTAGAGCCATCATTAATGAAGTTTTGCTTAAAACATTCCATTTTTGGTCAACATATTGTAATGGAAAATTAACAAGACTAAAAAAGGAAACAACATAAAAGTAATCTCTTACTGCATTATAGGTCTAATACCCAGGTGGTCATTTGTTTACTGAAAGTTTAATGCATGGCTTTCACCTTTTTTTCCCTCCTGTGAACCAACATCCTATAACTGTTTTTTTATTTCACTTTCAGTTTGCTTTTTTCTGAAGAGTGTAATGTACATTGAAAATCTCAATATGTTAAAGATTAGATATGTTCCTTTTTGAGCTTCCTAGAATTCCAGTTTATAATACATTTTTTAATGTATCGTATTGGTAATACCACTTACCATAATATCTCCTCCACATGTTTTTAAATGTACATACAGTAGCTCTCTAGAGTTTATTCATCTTGCATAACTGGAACTTTATGCCCTTTGGTTAATAACATCTTCCTTGCCTTCCTCTTTACACCTCATCCCAACCTCTAGCAGCCACTTCTACACTCTTTTGTTTTGTGAATTTTAATTCTTAGGTTCCTCATACAAGTTAAATCATACAGTATTCATCTTTCTTTGACTGGCTTTTCCCCTTTGCATAGTTTCCTCAAGGTTCATACATTGTAGAATTCCTTTTAAAAAATTAAAATTTTATTTATTTATATTTTATTGAATCACCATGAGATACAGTTACAAAGCTTTTGAGTTTCAGTCGTACAGTGATGGAACACCCACCCCACCACCAGTGTACACCTTCCACCACCAATGTCCCCAGTATCCTCCCCTCCACATTCCACCCCTCCCCCTGCCTCTCTGACAGACAGTTTCCCTCATAGCCTCTCTCTACCTTTGGGTATTATGGTTTGCAATACAGTTACTGAGAGGCCATCATGTTTGGTCCTTTATCTACATTCAGCACACATCTCCCATTCTAAATGATCTCTCCAACCATCATTGTCCTAGTGATCCTTCCAGCTACCTTCTGCCCCAGCTCATGAGGCAGGCTTCCAACCATGGAGCAGTCTTCCAGGCCCCCTCTTTTTAAAGCTGAATACTATTCCACTGTATGTCTACACCATGTGTGTGTGTGTGTTGCTGAGGAGGGAACCTGGCCTCACACATGTGAAATATGTGCTCTGCCATTGAGTCACATCTCCAACAGTGCTCAAGGGCTCAGAGGCACTCCATGTGATGGCTAACACACTGCTGGGTGGTTCAGTTCTAGGGCCCAGCAGTGTTGGGCCGACCAGAGGCCCCCTAGCAGTTCACAGAGGTCACCATGACCACTCCTAACAGTGCTGTGTGGTCTCCAGAACTACTCACAGGAGTACTCAGGGATGGGATGCCATGTGGTACTGAGGATCACAAATGAATCATTGTGTTCATTTTGATCCCTGAGCTAGCTCCCTGACCCTCTGCATTTTTTTCTGTTCTTCACTTAATGGAACATTAGAGTTTTTTCCATATCTCAGCTATTGTGAATAATGTTTCAGTGAACTTAAGAGTACTGAAATTATATATATATATATATATAATATATATCACATTCTTAAACTGTTTAGTATCCTTTCTTTATGTTAATTTATTTTAACTAGGGAAAAACTATTTCTTTACATAAAAATATGTATATAGTTACTGGACTCATAAGACTAAAGAAATCTTCATAGATCACCTAGTCCTAGTCTATTGTCTTTTTTCTAGCTCAGTTTATATTTAAATTATCTAAAATATCTAAATTATATCTATAGGAAAATTAATATTTTTCTAAAAAATTACCATAAATTTTTTTTTGTAAAAAAATTTTTTTAGCCAGAAATTTTTTTGCATATATGTATATTGACTTCTGGACTAAGTTGTTATCAATTTTATCCATGTTTTATTTCTAAGGAACTTGAAGTTATGCCTCTTTTTTGCCTTTCCCCACCTCATTTGTTACCAGACACTAACAATAGTTACTGCTTTCCATATTTGCCTTTGATTTTCTGATGTCTAATTATAAGGGGATTGTAACCCTGGGTTTGGATGGTCTGTGGTTTTTGCTTGGGAGCCTTTCTGATGCACTTGTCTGTACTGCCTGGTTTTCATGGTGAGATTTGCATATTCTATAAGAGCTAATTGTGCATATGACTTCCCCAAGCACCCTTGTCTTTATCCCATTTCAGTATCCCAGAGGTTAAGATACTATTTGTCATGCGGCTCAAGTTGATACATTTACTAATTCCATTGTGATAATCCTAACGAAAATTGCAATTTGTAGACTTCTGTCTGATGAAACCTGATTCCTTCAACGTTAACAGTATTATTTTATTATGATATAAAAATGTAAATGGTCTTTTTCAGTGTTTTAAGTTTTGAGGCCACACCTGGCTCAGTGCTTGGGAATTGCTCCTAGTAATGCTTTGGGCACCATAAGCATGAATATAAGGGTTAAAAATGTTTCTTCTGGATGCAAAGCATGCTCACCAATCAATTGAGCTTTTTCCCTGGGCTGCACATTGACTTTTTGGAGGGAAGATGCATACCCAGCAATGCTCTGGTGCTGTTCATGAGTCACTTGGTGGTGCTCAGGGAACTGTGCTGTGATGATATTCAAACATGTGTCTCCCACATGCAAAAACATGCGCTTAAGCCCACTGGGCCCTGGAAATGTGTTTGGTTGTTTTTTTTTTTTTGATAAAATTTCTAATGAAGTTTCAAGTCCTTTCAAATAAAATTTAGTGACGATTTTCCCCAAACACACCAGTTAGTATCCAGGAAGTAGTTTTATCCATCTTTCTTTAAAGATGATGTTAAAAGAAAGATCTTATGATTTCTCTGAAAATGTCATGTAAATATATAATTGATGAAGCTGGAACATTTTTGTTTTTTCTTTATAAAATTTATACCTTGGGATTTTCTACAGTAGAAAATTACAAAGCATGCTTGAGATAAACTAGTGAAGAATTTTTAAGTTGCTATTAAAATGTATGCCTTATTTATTGATTACTATATTAAAAGGGCAAACCAAGCTTTGTATTAAAAGAATATCACTGTGTGAGGTAGACTGCAAAGCTGTAAGTCTGGTTTATAAGCCATGTAGCAAAATTGATTTCATTAAAGAAATACACAAAGATGCTGGAACTCATATTGGACACAGCGGACTTTTCTTCTCCTCATGTTTTTTCAGATCAGTCATTCTTTATCAACCATAACAGTACCATGTGGTTCTTTCACATGTTGCAACCTGATTGGAACATTACGAGGCCATCTGGATATTAGTTTAGACTGTTGAAAAATTCTGTGGAGTTCAAATTTATTCCAGTCATTATTACTGTTTAGCTCAAAGTTTCAAATTCTGGAATTCTTTTTAATTGCATATTTCCCTGCATCTTAATCAAAAGATAAGTGTTACAAATGTTGGAATGAAAGAATATCTTAAATCCCTAATATCTAAAAGAGGATATACCATCTATTTCAGACTTCTAAATTTCAGAGGATTCTGCAGGCAATGTGAAGTAAGATATTTTCTTCATTTCCTTATTCTTGAAGAAGCGAGAGATTGCTTCTGTTATTTGTGTCATCCATATTTTCTGTTAAAATAGATATAGAGAAGAGAGGGAGAGTGGAGATTGTTAAGCTGGCAGTAGTACATATTTGGATGAATATTTTTTATTACTGACTTGCTCTTTAAAAGAAATCTAATTTGCATGTTTCCCATTTTTTTAAAATTTATTATATAATACATATAGCTAACCATATATGAGAACACAAATAGATTAAGTGAGTATAATATGCAAGCTGGATAAAGTCATGAGTGATTAAGGAAATGTAATAGTCAGTGATGACTAATTAGAAGAATGAGCACTGGAAATATAAATAGCTTGAAAGCTGAATTTCTATTTTGTGTGGAACTCTGAGTTCTTAACCAGTTGCATAATTTGGAAAACAGACTGAAGAAGATGACCCAGGAAATTGAGTCCATAAGAATAGCATATTACTACATTTATAGTCTGGCCACATTGGTGCTCTAAGAAAGTTTTAACAGAGAAAAGTAAAAAATGGAAACGTGAGAGAAGTCAGGGAGCCATACTTTAGCTTAACTCTACATTGCAGCAGCATATTTTCAAAGATGGAAAAGCAGAATTGGCATGGTTCAATACTGTAGGCACCCTACACTTAAGTCAGTAAGTACTCTGAAAATTGATTGAGGTATATTAAAGGTGATTCATGCAATCCGAAACAGTTTTCCCTATTTCCTGCAGGAACTGCAGCAACAGAGACAGTTCCTAACTGCTGCTGCTGCCGAAAAGGAAGGTTGTGAGGAAATTGCCAACTCAGGAGGTTTCTGCACATCCTGTGGAAACTTCTCCTGTTCCTTCTCTTTCCCTGATCCAGAGCAGGTGAGGGTGCTAAACAAAACTTCTCAGTCACCATCACTTGGCACACTAGGGTCAGATATCTTCCTTCTGTCATTTCTAAATTCAAGACCTGGGAAATCGTAATACATACTTTGATGTTTTCCGTCTGTGCTTGTAATAAGAATGCTGCTATACACTGCCGATATCTGTTTTCATGCTGTATAAGAAAAGCATTTCTCAGCCCAAAGGCTAGAAAAGAAGACAAAGAAAAAAGCCACATCATTTAGTATGAATGAAATTCAAATAGTTTCTCAGTACAAGGGCCAGGTGTTTTTTTTTTTTTTGGTGGTGGTTTTTTGTTTGTTTTAAAAAAAAGGTAGGAGGTTAATGCAGATTACCAAAAATTACAAAACTAAAATCTTATTCCAAGACTGGCTGTACTGTATTCAATTAGGTTCACTTTAAATATACAAGCCCTTTCTTAACTAATGAGTTCTGGGATTTGATGAAATGTAAGGTTGGCTTAAATGAACATAGGTTTCTTACAAAAGAAACAGCGTATTAGCTGGATTTTGTATAAGTAAAATATAGCTAATAAAAATAATGGAAAGCAATGTAATTATTCTTCTTTCAAATCTATCCTTTAAAAAAAATAAAAAGCCACCTGACTGCTTCAAACAGGCCAGGAAGAGCTCCCAAATTGACTCACCTGATATCTAGTATACATCAAATTATGGGAAATACAAAACAAAACCAAAAACAGTGATTTCTGACGTGATTTCTTTTTTTTCTTTTTTTCTTTTTTTTTGCCTTTTGGGTCACACCCAGCAATGCTCCGGGGTCATTCCTGGCTCTGCACTCAGGAACCACTCCTGGTGGTGCTTGGGGGACCATACGGGACGCCGGGGATCAAACCCAGGTCGGCCACGTACAAGGCAAATACCTACCTGCTGTGCTATCGCTCCGGCCCCCTCTGACGTGATATCTATGTTTGTAAAATAAAGTGTTTTGTCTTTCCCTAATTGGAAAAGCTAACAGGACATTCTCGGAAGTGTGTGTGTGTGTGTGTGTATTCAGGCAGTTTTAAAATGAAAGCTTGAGCTTTGATTTTATAATGCAATAGGAATAAAATTCTGCAGACTCTGTTCTTACTATAGTGGACTTATATTTCACACCCAAACCAACAACAATCAACCAGGGTTATCTTCTGGTACTGTGGAGAGAGGAGAGGCCTGGGTTTGATTCCTGGCTGGCTGATTGTTCATTTTACTCAGACTCTGTGAGGCAGGTTGGACTTCTTTTTTTTAGGTTCAAAGCAAATGTGACTTTTATTTTCTTACCTGCAATTGGTGCTCTAGTATTTCAGATTACATATAACAGTCTAAATCTCATAATTCCCAAATTGTACTATACAAATAACATGTTAAGGTCATGAATTTTTGTCTAGCTTTTCCTCCAGGTGAGAGTATGTAAACCAATTAAATGACTTGTGACTTGGGGGAGGGGGTGTTTGTTTTACTCTCTTTATCTCCCAAATTGTCTACAGCAAATGAGGCTTGAAGACTGGACCAAGGCCATTGTTCTAGACTGGATTTTGGAATGCATTTTCCTCAAAGGCTATACGTTTTTGTTATTCTAAAACCTATAACAAGCAGGACTATTCTAATACATAGCAGGTGGGGATAACTCTTTACAACCTGATATGCAAGTATAGTAATTGACACCATTTATTATGAAGTTACTGTATGAGGAAACCGTGCTTCTCTTTCTTTGTCTTTTGAGCCACATAGCAACCTATAGATAGAACAGCTAATTCCCATTTACAAATAAGTAGATTGGAATTAATTTTCCTTATAGTATGCTGTTTAAATGATATAGACAGGATTTGTAACCACATATCACTCCTGAGTAAATAATTTATTTTTTACCCTTTACTCTCTCTGGGCGGTGGGAACTATAGCATAGCGGGTAGGGTAGGGCGTTTGCCTTGCACACAGCCGACCCCAGTTCAATTCCTCCATTTCTCTTAGAGAGCCTGGCAAGCTATCGAGAGTATCCTGCCCGCACGGCAGAACCTGGCAAGCTCCCCACGGTGGTGTATTCGATATGCCAAAAACAACAAGTCTCACAATGGAGACATTACTAGTGCCTGCTCAAGCAAATCCATGAACAATGGGAGGACAGTGTCACAGTGCTACTCTTTCTTGATCTGTAGCTTTCACCTCACACAAATCTATTTAAAGAGTTTGTAGATTTCATCTCACAGACTCAAAACAGTAGAAAAAGGGACCAGGAAAAAAATTAACAAAAAGCAGAAACAAGAAATTGGTGACAAATCAGACATTTTTTCAGCGGGGGAAGCAGAAATTTTTAAAGGCATTGGTTGTATTAAAAAAAATAAAAACAACAGATAAAGGAGGAAAGGCATGCAGTGAGGCCACATCTCCAAGTTCAGTCTTTCAGACTGGCAGGACAGTGGCTAACCTGAGGCTTAAGTCCCATGACCTCTGCTCTTCCTCCTGGAGGTTCAGGCAGCTTCTGCTCCTAACAGCTTTTATCTCTTCCTGTGATCCTGAGTAAACTCCTAGCCTAGGATGCTATGAGAGTTTTTCCATGAGAATGTAAACAAAGGGAAGAATTTGGGGGATACACATTCTGATACTGCTGGATTCACTACTCTGCCATGGGTGCGGGAAGCCTCCAAATGCAGAGGTGCACCCCCAGGCAAAGATTGAGCTCCCTCAAGATGACCCTTTTTAGACTTGCCATGCCAATTTCACTTACACAATTTGCCCTATTTAGATGGAGATTGGTGCCAGCCAAATCAAAAGATGCAACTTACTCAGGTCACTCTACTGCACATCTCAGTGGAAGGAGAAAGAATAAAAATGCCTTCACACCTGCACAACAGCAACAGTAGAACTTTTCTGACAGGGTTTAATGATCTTTCACTACTCTGAGAGTGAACCCTATTCTGAGAAAAAGGATTGTTTCTTTTTTGGTTTGTGTATCTCCTGGGCATCTACTAGTATCTTGTTCTCCAGGGACACTCAGAAAGTAATTGCATGAATGAACAGAATGATTGATGGATATATTTTCGACCCATATGCCAGTTCTGAAATATTTCTTCTCTAGAGTGATTATAATGAAATATCATGGACTTGCAGAACACATCACAGAGAAGCAGTGTTTCAACAACAGTAATTAAGTGATAAATTACCAATAGTAGTTATTTATTGAGGACTCAATATGCATCATTTTATTTGATTTTATGGCATCCCATTAAGATATATTAACCTTGTTTTACAAAGAGGAATATGCGATTTAAAAACCCAAGTGCATAACTAATTTCTAGAGCAATTGATACACAATCACATGGCATCCCAGTATTGTCTGAAATTCAGCTTATATCTTATAAATCAAAGATGGCCAATATCACATTTTGACGGCAAGGAGATCAACAATGATGGGAACAGAAACGTACCTGACACATGGAGAGTTTCAATACTTCGAAGTACCAGTCTGTCTAATGGAATGGGCTGGTCTAGTACTGTGCATGAACCACCTTCTTTAATTACATTTAGCAGCTCAGGAGTAAGTGAAGGGCACACTGAACTGAGGTCTAAGCCTCCAGTTTTCTGAAATGAAAAAGAAAAGTCATGCCATCACTAGGTACTTAATACTGGCATGTCAGCTGAACTGCATTCTCAAGCACTTTGATTTTCAGAGCAATCACTTAAAATTTGCCATACTTTTGGAGCTAGAGAGATAGTATACCATGAGGGGGGATTGAATTGCACTTGGCTGACCTGGATTTGATTCCCAGCATTCCATATGGTTCCCCAAGCTCCACCAGGAGTGATCCATGAGCCCAGAGACAGAGGTAATCCCTGAGCACCACTGGGTGTGCCTTTCTGACCACCCCTCTCCCCCAAAAGAAAAAGAATAAAATCAACTATTCTTTCTGGATCTTGAAAAGCATTTCCCCAAATAGGTATTCAAAGTGTAGTACTTCAGGTTCCCAAGTGTAGATACAGAATAATGAGTGATGGCCAAATTGGACAGGTTTTAATCATTATCACTTCATTTTTTTATTTTGGTTTTGGTGATGCTCGGGGCTTACTCTTGGCTCTGTGCTCAGGGATCACTCTTGGTGGGACTGGGACCATATGGGATGCCACAGATCAAACCTAGGTTAGCTGTGTCCAAGGCAAATACCCTACCTGCTCTGCTGTCATTCCAGTCCCAATAATCACCATTACTCCAATGACAAGCTCTTCATTTATAGTGTCTATAATGTATTCACTTAGATGCATGAGAAAGGAGAGCCTCATCTTGGTCAGTAGTGTCCATGGGATCGAATACTAAATTCTACAAGGAGTTCATACTCTCTAACTTGTAAATAATTGAGATTATTTACATATATAAGATGTTGATATTCTTTAAATGGTGTGAACAGTTGTCATTTGCCTCACCAAAGAGCAAAGAGGAATTTAAAACATAACATTTTGTGCTTTAAAATCAATTTGCAAAATATTTTAATACAGTCAGCATATGTTCTGATTTGTGCCATTATTTGAAGTGAAAGCACCCACTCTCTCTCGAACCACCAATCCACTATTTTTAGATTGATTAATAGTTGTCTATTTTATTGCTGAAAGATCTTTAAATTATTTAGTTCAACTAACCAACATGCCATCTAGAAAAGTAGATTATTAAAAGATGAGGAATCAGAGCAATAGTACAGTGGGTAGGACATTTGCCTTGTATGCAGCCAGCCTGGGTCTGATTCCCAGCATCCCATATGGTACCCCGATCACTGCCAGGAGTGATTCCAGAATAGAGCCAGCATTAACCCCTCAGCATCGCCAGATGTGACCCAAAAATCAAAAAAAAAAAAAAGATGGGAGGGATATCTTGAGGACACACATCTGTGTAAGTCTACGTAATGGGATAAAGAAGCAAGCAGAGTGGAGTGGTGTTAGATTATTTCTGCAGCTCTTCCTCCCATTTCTCAGGCTGGTGACCCAAATCTTACAAGGAGGCCCCCTTCCTGACACCACTTACTTCCACCCTTCAGGGAACAGAATGTGAAAGGGGAGACGAGCTAGAAAGTTTGGAGGCACAACTTCATGAATAGTAGCAACAACAGTGAAAGCCAAGAATAAATTCTTGATTAGGGAAATTCTTCTCAGAGGAAATTTTGTGGTTTTTTGTCTCTAAGTGACTCTTTTTTGGGGGGAAGGGGAGCGGTCATACCCAGTGATGCTCAGGGGTTACTCTTATCTCTACACTCAGAAATTACTCCTGGTGGTGCTCAGGGGACCAGATGGGATGTTGGGAATCAAACGTGAGTTGGCCACAAGCAAGGCAAATGCCCCACTCATTGTCCTATCAACTCCAGCCCCCCTAGATGACTCATTTTATCTCTGACATCAGCCATACATTGATTGGGTTTCTATAGTTCTTAAAGACACTGAGAGATGGGGGGTGCCTCCAACACCCCCACCTCTGTTCCCTGTCATCACTTCTCAGGAAGACAGGTTTTCAAATCAGAATGAGTGGTGGCAATCCCTTTGGACATGTAGTTTAGAGTCTCATGCAGCTTTTGTTCTCATGAACAATTTGGAAGAGGAAAAGGCAGCTATGGACAGAACTCCGATATGATTAGGCCAGTCAGGCATAAAGTCTGTGGCTTCTGAAACATCCCTTGGAAGAGTACAGACTCAGTCTTCTGAGAATCTACACCTCCTTTGAGATCTTTGAAGATTAACTTAACTTACTATTGTTGATTTTCGGTCTAAAGCTAAATGACTAAGAAAGCCAATGCCTCTACTCTTGTGAAGAAGATGGAATGTGATGATAGGAGAAACTTTTTATAATTTTGACACAACCTATTTGGAAATATTTCTAAATTGATTTAGCAAGCTTATTTACAAGTAGCAGCAATTTACCTTTTTGTTGCGCTTGGTTTTCGTAACTAAGAGGAAATCATCAAAGAGAAATAGATAAACATCTAGGAATCTTGTGTTTTCTGAGGAAAGAAGAAGGTGAAATTGGAGCTGAAAAGAGTAAACGGAAAGTTTCTTTTTGTTTGTTTTTCATTTGAAGCACTGTGATTTACCATGTGTAAATTGTAGGGCTTCTTGTGTACAGCATTCCAGCAGCACACCCTCCATCAGAGTATCCACTTCCTTCTACCTTTGTCACATGGTCCCCTTCAGCCACCCATCACCCACCCTTGAAAGCTCATTTCTGTAAACCATTTCTCAGGTTCTGCTGTTTTTTACTATTTGTTATTCAATTTCTATGCTTTTTCATATCCAACTATGAGAGATTATTCAACATCTGTTCCTCTTCTCTGACTTCATTCAGCATGATACTCTCCAGATCCATCCATGTAGTGGCAAATTATCTAATTTTATTCTTATAGTCAAATCGTATCTAGTGTGTGTGTGTGTGTGTGTGTGTGTGTGTGTGTGTGTGTTTGTGTGTGTTAATCAGAATCCCTTAGAAAACAAAGGGCATCCTAGCTGTGCAGGGAGTCTAATCATGTGGGTCAGAAAACTGTGTGGCTGTTGAAATTAGTTTCTTCTTGAAGCAGAGACCTGATTTGAGCTGAAGCCATCAACTTTAAAGATCAGTGTATTTGTGAACATTTCCAGTGCATCTGAGTGAATTGGGAACGTATTTGTCATGTTTTCCACTGGGCTTACAACACATCTGTAGACTAATTGAACATACAGCCCTTTTTATTTTTACAGAAGAAAGCAAATACAGTCCCCCCCACCCTCATCTCCGCAAGTTACACAATTGAGTTTCTCACTCAGTTTGGGGGAGTCACAGGGGTTTGTCAATGGATACACATATTTTCCTCTTGACTCACATAGATTGACAAAGATAAGCATTACCCTCCCACCCCTCAAAGGATAGTTATACTGTTATTGACATAGTCTGAATTATGCTCTCGGCCTTCAGCTTCCCCCTATATATAGGATGAGTACCTAACCCTTGAGGTGACTATGTCTATAATAAGAATGTAATTAAGACTTAATGAGGGCATATATGTGGAGCCCTGATCCCAAAGAATTAGTGCAGTCATTAAAAGAACTAGTTAAGAACTAGTCTTTTTCTCTCTCTCTTTCTCTCTCTCTCTCTTTCTCTCTCTCTTTCTCTCTCTGTCACCCTCCCCCGCCGTTCTCTCTCACTCTTGATCTTCCCACCCACACAAGGAGAAATCAGGAAGCAAGTTCTCTTCAGAAACTGAATAGACTAGCAGCTTGCTCTCGACTTGCTCACCTGAGAAACAAATATCTGTCCTTTAAGGTTAGTTGTGCATCTGTGCTATTTTGTTCTGCCACTCCTAACTAATTAAGACAACTGTAAAAATGGCTCGATTCAAGTTCTACGGTGTGTCCATATATGTTTACTTATCCTTTCTACAACTTTATCACATTTCTTATATTTCCATTTACTTCTGGAGCCACACATGGTGGTACTCAGAGGTTACTCCTAGTTCTGTGCTTGGGGGCCACTCCCAAGGGTGCTGAGGGAACAGGTAATGCCAGAGATTGAACTGGGGTCTCCTGCATGCAAGCATGTGCTCAGCTATTCTGCTACCTCTCGGGCCCTATACACATTTTTTCTGATACCACTTTTGACAGATACTTAAGGCAATAAATTTTTCTACTTTTTCCAAGAAGGAGCTCATTGGAGAAAAGTACTAAATATTAGTATAAGCTTTTACCCTCATTATTACTGTAGCTTAGAAATAAAAGGGAAAAATTAATTAGATTTAAATGAGTTCAGGATAGAAAGGATTCCACTCTGAGGGAGATAATAGGGTATGAATAAACATAAGAAAATTCAGGATTTTCATTATTCTACTTATTTGTTGAAATTATTCTAGAAATATTTTGTCACTTTTGCTTCTAGAAACATTGTGGTTAAGGTTAACTTAGTAAATAAAATATTTAGGATTCACCTCTATTCCCTTGATTTCCTTAAGGTAGGGGAAAAATTGTATATTTGTATAGAAGAGAACGTAGATGTTCTATTCTATTTTGAATCACCCACAAATACTTTTATAAAGTGCTTCCATCACTTCTAGATACTACTACTTTTGCCATTCAGTATTGACCGAGACTGATAATTGCCCCTCAAAGACCGTTCTCCCTTCTGTTGTAGCAATGTGATCTCCAAGTTTTCTTGTATACACATTCACAACTCATAAATACCATATCTTCTGCTTTCCTTTGTGAAAAAATATGAATAAGAAACTAAATTCTGGCCAATAAAACTGAAGTAGAGGTGAAAATCCTGAGTCACATCCTCAGAGAGCAGGGCTATGCCCTCTGCCCTTTGTTTCCCCTTTCTCCATTCTTGCTAGACTAGTGACATGCTTCTGATTCATCCAGAACCAGAGTGATGGAAGCAGTTCTCTAAGACTGCAGAGTCAAAAGACAGAGTGGCCCTGACATAGAGCTCAGTCTTTTACTTGAGTAAAACGTGAACATCTGTCTTCTGAAACAATGATCTTTCTCTATTTTCCAATAGCTGACTTAGTTTCCTAACTAGTGAATAGGGCTAGAAATGGAATATCTGGACAATATCAGATTTCCTCTCCTACTGCTGCTCATATGTGAATTATGTTGATGAGACACTTTTGTTTTCTCTTGCTAATCTCAGGCATTTATTTCATTTTATTTATTTATTATGTTGTTCTTGTTATTACACACAGTGGTGCTCAGGGTTTATTTCTGGTTGTGTACTCAAGGATTACGCTTGGCAGGCTTGGGGGACCATATGGGATACCAGGGATCGAACCTGGGGTGGCCTCCTTCAAGTCAAGCTCCTTACCCACTGTACTATCTCTCTGGTCCCTCAAGTAATTAGTACATGGTGAGAACCTTCAAAGTCCTAGACATTATTCTTGGAAATCCTTTTTTATTTTTCTCCCATTTATCCCAGTGCTTTGCTAAGAAGTCAGCAAATGCTGAACCTCAACCACATCACTAGTTTAGCAGTGCCTGCTTTCAAGGAACATTCATTCTCATCAAAGAACACATGTAATAAATGTGCAAAATGGTTAACTTCAAGGACTGATGACAGTATTCAGCAATAATGGTGATAAGAGAAGGTTGACAGGGGAGACTTTGAGCATAAAGTTAGATGGTACAAGTACACACACACGCACACACACACACATGTATGACGTTTTTGTTTTTCAGGTCACACCTAGCAATGCTCAAGGCTTTGCACTCAGGGATCACTCCTAGTGGGACTCAGAGGACCATATGGGATTCTGGCGATCCTGTATCAGTTGCTTATGAGGCAAGCACCCTCCTTACTGTACTATCACTGTGGCCCCGATTGTGCATATATTTTATACCAGGGGTATAATGAATACCTTGGGATAAATGATTTCATAACTTAACTAATGAACAGTGTCTGAAATGTTGCCAAGTACTGCACTACTAGATCTGAGACTTAAAAGCTTTGAATTTTGTTTCAACTTGACCTTTATTTCTTAGAGCCTGGACTTGGAGCTTTCATTGCCCTATTAGAAAATCAAGCAGGAGTCAGAGAAATTGTATAGTGGCTAGGGTGCTTGCCTTGTATATGGATGACCCGGGTTCAATCTCTGGCACCATATATGGTTCCCTGATTCTTGCCAGGAGTGATCCCTGAGTCAGAGGAAGGAGTTAGCCCTGCATACTGCTGGGTGTGGTCCCCAAACCAAAAAATGAAAAAAGAAAGCCAAGTAGTATTTCTGACTTATGTCTGCAACAGCTTGAGAAGCACATATTTTTTAGGTGTCTCAGCTGCTGGATCATTACATTTGTCGAGTTAGAAATGACAATCTGTGAAGAGAAATACATTTTTGAATTGCATGCCAACATGAAATCCAAAGGGAACTTGGTTATGCTCCAGAAGTTATGAGAGCTTCTACCTTTGGAGAATAAAAAATAGATACTAAAACTCTTAGGGTTGGAAGAAATTTGGAAGTATAATATATTAGTGTTAGGTCGGTCATCACTGATATTACCATCATTGTCATCATCCACACATCAAACATCACCAAGTTACAAAAGAGGAAATGGGATTTAAACAAATTTCCCGAATCCCCTGACTCCTGTCCCAGTAGAAAAGGTGCCCAGTTCTTCTAATCCCACCGTATATCTAGGCCAGCTCTAAGGCAAAGTCCTCCTTATTATTACAGTTGAACTTGCCCTCATACTTTTCCTTAACTTGTGCATAACTTTCTACCATTTTAAAAACAGGCCAGCACATCTCATGGTATTCAGAAAGCGGTTGCTGTAGGAAAAGAGCAGATAGTCAAAGTGTGTGACCACCCCAGATAGATACCGATGTAAAAGGGAAAGGCCTTTGTCTGAATGCAAAGCTATCGTTTTATTTAACTATTTGGATTATTGCTTTGTCACATATAATTACTTTTTAAATTATAAATAATAACAAGGAAAATGTAAATTTGCAGTTTTTATTATTTTGTTTGGGAGAGCGTTCATACCCTGCAGTGCTCAGGGAGTCTTCCTGGCTCTGTGCTCAGAATGAACCCCGTCAGTGCTCAGGGATCCTGTTTGGTATAGATGGGTTTGAATGAGGGACTTGTGCCAGCAAGTGTCTCACTTGCAATATTAGCTCTCTGGGCCCTAAAATTGTTACTTTTGCAGATGGAAGTGATAGGTAGGTGATTTACAGGAGGAGAAATACAGGCCCAGCCCAGTTTCTCAAGAAGCTGCTCCGGCCCGGGCTTCCCCGCCTCCCACACCACCAGAGACAGGCAACCTCGCACCCCACAGAGCTTCAAACACTGGGAAGGGGGACCCTATCAAGTGGCTGTCCAGAAATGAGTGAGTGTGCCTGAATCTTGCAGTTGGACAACTCTTAAGAATCAATATAATATTTTTCAGCTGCTGACTATACCAACTCCTTTTACTTTCAAGTACTGGGAGATCCATTAGCCTCCTCCCCCCTGCTGAATGACTAAGCTCAGGCCTGGCATCTCTGCTGTCACCAACTCCTCTGTACCATATTGAGCATGGCCTTGGGTAACTCTTCAGTGAGCTGTAATCCTTGACCTCCACTATCCAGAAATTCAGTGCCTTCTTATCCACAGCCTTCTAACTGAGTTTTTCTATTTGTCTTCCAAGGCTGTGAGTTTGAAAATTTAACCAGCCTAATTTGAATTTGGACTCTGCTTTTTACCTTTCAGACAACCGGGTCTGATATGTACCTCAGATTTCTCCCACATGGCATGGGATTCAGTGGAATCCCTGTGCACAATTCTCTGGAAGGAGAAAGAATGGGGGGCTGGGGAGGATCCGCTTGATGGGCAACACTGAGCATGTGTCTCTTTCCTGTCTGCATCTCCCTGCAATGGTTGTATCCCACCGACAACCAGTTTTCCAGCAAAAGTACAGCAGTTTCTCAAGAAGCTGCTCCGGCCCGGGCTTCCCCGCCTCCCACACCACCAGAGACAGGCAACCTCGCACCCCACAGAGCTTCAAACACTGGGAAGGGGGACCCTATCAAGTGGTTGTCCAGAAATGAGTGAGTGTGCCTGAATCTTGCAGTTGGACAACTCTTAAGAATCAATATAATATTTTTCAGCTGCTGACTACACCAACTCCTTTTACTTTCAAGTACTGGGAGATCCATTAGCTCATTTTATCTCCCCTACACACCAGGGGAAGCTGCTGCTGAGAGATTACTGCTGCAACTGGCTTAAGGTTCCACAGGCAGAACAAGCAGGGCTGGAGTGCAAGCCTGGCAGTCCGTCCTGGCTGGAGTCCGTTCTCCCGAGGATTCTCCCTCGGAGACTCTCTCCTGCTGGGCACTTGTATCCCGGGAGCCCTGCCTCCTGCCCTCTCTCCATCCTTTCCAGCCTTCCCTGCCCACCTCCACTTTCAAGGACCGAATCTGAACTTAGCCTGCAGGCCCACTACTCATAATTGCAGTTTCCCAGGTAGAGGGGAAGGAACTGTACACAACAATCCTCTTGCATCTTCCCATGGTTCTCACCCAGTAATGGTGTGTTATAAATAGATTCTTTTGACTTTATTTTTTTTCGTGGTGTGGGGTTAGGCATTTAATGATGCTAATGGGGTTATTCCTGGTTCTGAGCTTGTGGGTTGTTTCTTGTGGTGCTTGGGGGACCATGTGGATCAAACCTGGACCTCCCACATGCAAAGCAGGTGCCCCATTGAGCCATCTCTCTGGCCTCAGAACAGATTCTTAATCTGATAATCATCCAACTCATTTGAAGAATATGATGATGATGCCCATAGTGAACCTTGAGTGTTTACTAAAGTCACACCTTGTATAGTATAGTGTAGTCTAGTACAGAATAGTCTAGTACAGAATAGTATTACTGTATCACTGTCATCCTGTTGTTCATTGATTTCCTCGAGCAGGCACCAGTAACATCTCCATTCATCCTAGCCCTGAGATTTTAGCAAGTGCCACATTGGAGGCTCCTTCAGGGCTAGGGGAATGAGACCCATCATTGTTACTGGGTTTTGGCATATTGAATACGCCACAGGGAGCTTGCCAGACTGTCGTGCGGGCAGGATAATCTCAGTAGCCTGTCAGGTTCTTCAAGAGTGAGAACTAGACAATAAGAGTATACAAGTATAGTATAGCATGCTTCATGTATAGTATTCATGGATAGTATTTCTTTTTTAGCAATGATCACATGAAATGGATATTCACAGGGAGGATGGAGGACATGTGCTAGTTACAGGGTGAGATATTTCAGAAAGTGCAACCCTGTAGGTGACCCTCTGTGGCTCCTAGACAGAGGCAAATAAACTCTCACACCCTTAAATGAGCAGCAATAAGACATTTTCACAAGGTAGCAAAAGTGCTGTTTTTTGCTTGTTTTGGTCTTTAAGGAAGCAGTTATTTACCTGCCAGTGTTAATTTTCCCTCATAGAGAAGGTGTCTGTTGGTTGGTGACAAGATGTTTTCGGCCATGTATTCTTTAAAAACGTGTTTCAAGCACTTTTGAGACAGGAAAGAGAGTCAAGGACATGCAGTTAGTGAGGGCAGTAGAACATGTTCCCAGAACTGGGCAGTGCACTCTGTCTAGAAACCTTTTTGTCCCTGGAAAAGCTAGTAGTGGACATGGGGGTGGGACAAGATGGGAGAAATTCACCCAAGGACCAACCCAAGAAGGTATAAAGACATCAGCCCCTCCAGCAGAATACTAGGGAACAAGGCTTTACTTTTTGCTTTTAAAACAAGACATAATGTCCCATGGGCTGGAGAGAGAGTACAGCTCTCTAGGGTGCTTGTACAAGGCTCACCCAGATTCCATCCCTGGCATCCCTTAGAGTCCCCTGTCCACTTCCAGGAGTATTTCCTGAGTGCAGAACCAGGAGTAACCTCTGTGCCTAGCCAGTCTCCCCCCTCCCCCCCGCCCCCCGCGTCCCACCTTAAACAAAAACAAAATAAAACTAGACATAATTTTCAAGAGGACAACTGGAGACTTTGTAAGATGCTCTGTGTTTCCACTGGAATGCCCAGTGTCCAGAAAGCAACATTGTCCTAATTGATCCTTTTGTACCTCTGGAATGAAAAACCTTTTATCTCTCTCCCAGAGAGGAGGCCACACTATAATCTCCTGCAGGTGTCTACATTTTTGGTAATTGTCAAGCCACTTCACTTTTCCTTCAAGATCTCCTGAAAGACAAGACATTTAACATATTGTTAAGTGCATATGAGATTGTTGCATACATTTCACCTTGATGGTAGCAATCGTGTAGGGACATTGATTGCTCTGGGAGACAAACCATGTCTATGTGCTTTTCTGTAAATGACTTCAAAACACTGATTTCAACTTGGCTCCTTTCAGACAAAAGCAAAACTTAACTAATTTAATCTAGGAAATTGGGAATGTATTATGTGCTTTTATTTCCATAATGTTAATGAAATCCTTGGTGTTTTTCTCATCTTCCAAAGATCACTTAGATGAAGAGAAAATAGCAATGAATAAGGACAAATGTATCTCTTAGTCTTAATTGTCTTTTTTGATAGGATTTTGTTTTCCATTATTTTCTAATAACATACTGCTTTTGAGATTTTAAAATGATTTTTAGAAACAAGGGAGGAAACTCAGAGACCCAACAAATTAAATGGTTGGCAGAATCCTTGAGATTCATCATCTATAGGTCCACCAACCTAATAAAAGGCAACACCTTCCTACAAATACATAATTTATTGAGTAATCTGCAGGAAGAATTCTCTCTTCTTCACCAGCCTATCAAGATGAGCAATGACCTTTTGATCATTACTCAAAGTAACAACCTCTTTTTAGAAGAAAAAACTCAAAAAGAAAAAAGAAATTCCAAGTTGGAGTGGTTATTTTATTCTTAGAACTTAACACATACAGCACCCCTCCCCCACCAAAAAAAAAAAAACCACCTCGAACAAGGTATCATTTCTATGTAGTTGATTACATATTTAAATGATTATCTTTGGAGTTTCTCAAGAAGTCTTGCCTCCTGGGCAAATGCCATAAATTTCTTCATTTGAATTGAATTATACAGAGCTTCACATGTAAACCTAAGTCATCACTGAGTTTACTTTATTCCCATCCCACAGTCTCATTTCTAAAGATCGTACTTGCCACTATTCTTAGATTGGCCCTGGATTTTAGCTACCTAAAAAAAATAAAAATAAAAAAAGATGAATGGCCATTTATCCCCCGGAAAGGCTCCCCGTGTTGTTTACTCCCATTTGCTTTGGGTGTGGGTTGAGTATGGATGTTAAAAACAAAGTCCCTTCAATCATGTGGAAATAGAACTCTTCCTGCCTGAACTCAACTTCTAAAAGCCTCAGGACAGAGCCACGTCCTGAGTAAACCTGGTGTTGAAGTTCTCAAGGGTTCACCAGGATGTGACTGGAGCCCATTGTTTTGTGTGTGTTGATTTACAATGCACTCAAACTCAAATCCACATTTCCGAGAGCCGTGACCTCAAGTCAATGGAATTACCTTCTAGGATGGAAGCCCATAGGGTTACCAGAGCTGCAGAGCACCCTAGCTCTTGGACAAAAGCTACAGTGAAGCTCCGGGGAACGTTTTCAAGGACTTACGGATTGACTTTTCCACCTTCTCTTTGATGGAGTAGACCATAACTTTCTCTGTAGAGTCTGTGCTCCTTTTCCAGATATTCTTCAGTAGTAAGGGGTACCGAGTTAGTCGGTGGAGTGGGGCCACTAGGAGCTCTGGAAGGTGAAGCCGCCTACACTGTTCGTTTTGCTCACACCACTGTGGAAAACAGAAGTAGACTGTCAGAATATCTTTTTTCTGAATATGGGACTGAGAATCTAGAACTTCAGAAATATTTCCAGATCCTACTCTGGCATGATAGGACACACTGTGAACTTGCTGGAACAATGTAGGAGCTAGAGATTAGACTGCTGTGTATGAAAATTCCATATTAACACGTTGACTGCAATTCATGTAAATTTAATCTACATTCAAGTGTGAGTCACCAGTGGTACACACTAGTGTCAATTTTTTAACCGCTTTTAGCAAACGTTTCTTTTTCTTTGCTTTGCTTTTTGGGGTCACACCTGGTGATGCACAGGGCTTACTCCTGGCTTTGCACTCAGGAATCACTCCTGGTGGTGCTCGGGGGACCATATGTGATGCTGGGAATCAAACCTGGGTTGCCCGCGTGCAAGTCCAACACCATACCCACTGTGCTATTGCTCCAGCTCCTGCCCGTTTTTTTTGGTGGTGTTTTGTTTGAATCCTTAGGGCCCTGGCTTTTGTGTCTGTGACACAGGACACTGGAGTCAGAACTCTGCTTACTCTGCAAGTTGTTGCGTCAAGGAGCCAAGGATGAGGCCTTGCATGTGTGAGCCCTTGGTATGATTCCCAGCACCATGACCCCACCCCTTTCCCCAGAAGCGCTGCAGAAGTGACCTGGAAATAAAATAAAAATGAAAGGAAATTGTTATTTGAGGGTGGGATCTCTTACTCCTTCATTCTCCCAACTCCCACACTAGTGGATCTGGAGCTTGACAAGGGGCCTGCCCACATATGAAATAGTCTGCTGATGTCTGTTTTTTTCTCTTTTCGGAGCTCAGATCCAGAGGAACTGCTTCTGGGGGGACCCAGACCCTTCAGTAACTCCTTAGGTGGGGCAAGTTACATGGGCGGCCAGCTCCCTCTGCTCCGCAGCAAATACCTTCTAGTCATTTGTCTTGCATTTTGAAGATCTAGGTACAGTTGGCACAAACTCACACCACTATAACAATGCATGAGAGTTCAAAGCTATCCCCTAGATATTCTCAACTCACAGAGACTGAGTTTTGAACGGCTTATCGGACTGCCACTTCTACACATACTGTTGCTTCACTGGACAGCTGCTACCTCAAGGCCAAACTTGGCTAGTTTTGGATACTGCTTTCCACAGTAAGCCTACTCATGCCAAAGAGCTTGTCTCTATTTTACTAATCATTTTGGAGTTTGTGGAGGGTCATGCACACAGTCCATAGCCCTCCCCCTCTACTATTTCTGTTGACTTTCCTTGTAAAGAGGATTTGTTCTCAAGATCTTTGCTCCTTCCGACTCTTTCCCCTTTTCTCTCATGGCCTTATGCGTAGCAATTTACACCCTTCCATAGCTTGACCACTTGCAGGAATCGCTTCCTATTTGCAACTTTATCAAAATATTCCTTTACAAGTGTTCTGGGATCTTTTCTCATGGCAATTTCACAGGATGGCAGGTTCTGGAAGTGAGCACTTGGGTACAAGGCACATTAGAGTCCTAGGACCCAGGTTTAAGTGCTTGCTTAGGAACTACCTTTCCTTCTCTTTCTGTAAATTGGTATTATAAGAAGGGACTCGATGGAACTCCAAGTTCTCATTTACTTTTAGACTGTCTGGGATTCTCATTGGATGGGAAGGCAGGAAGGAGGAAGCAGAAGTTTAAGATGTGGTTAAGGTCGTAGTGGAAAAAACTGGTAAGATGTGATATGGAAGACTGTAGTCTGCAGCCTTTGTTCCTGGTTTCCTTGCTGAGTCACTGGTAATGGCTTCACTGAAGAGACTGGAAGCTGATCTACCTGGGATTCTCTACAACATACAGCCCTAGACCACGACCCCAAATTTTTATGCCAGTGGCTGGTAGCATCCATTAGTATTCAAGGGTTATTGTGATGGCAATCAGGCAAGATGCATTTGTGCTAAGCAATTTAGATGAAGATTCACTCAGGATGTTGGAAGCTTTTAGCGTTTCACAAGACTTCAGCAGACAAGGGAAAAATAGATATTTTGATCATTGTGAAAGGAGCCCTATTTTTCTTTTATCTCTCTATTGGCTTCATTTTCAGGTTTATCAGGGAAGAAAAGAGCATCCATTTCAAGATAAATTGAACATAAAAGGCCTTTGTCTGGATGGGTCTAGATCAGTGGGGGCTTCTTTGATTTTATAATAAATTCTGAGTAAGACAGAGGAATAAAGACATTATTATCTATGTCATCTTGGTGAGATGATACAATCTTGGGCTGATAAAATCAATATTCTTGGTCTCTTGAGAGTTCTCGAAATCTCCTCTGCGAGCAGCAAATGATCAGTGTGACTACCACCCATTAGGTTGCTGAGAGGTTTCAATGAGATCATCTACACATTAGGCACTGTTTTTTAGAACCAACCCTGGCCTGTCTGCCCAGTCACTTCCCAGGTGGCTGGGGGGGTGGGGTCTGGGGGGCTGGGGTGGGTCAGAATTCTTGGCATTTATCAGTTAGGTGATGCTAAGAAGCCAGGTACAAGTCACTCCATTTCTTTTTTTCTGCAACATTTTATGTTTCTAAAAGAATGGGCAGAGCCTCCTGTCACTGTTCACAGGAATGATATAGACACACAGGTAAGGCTCAGCCCCACAGAGCAGGGAGGGGAAGTGTTCCCCCTTGGAGTCAGCCCATTATTCCAGACAGCCCGTGAAATGCCACAGACTTAAGACCCCCCAAGAAATTTGTTTGTTTCAGAGCACGGCAGAATGAACATCCCTTTTTAGGCTGCCTCTTCCCCTGAACAGCTCTTTCCACAAATTGCCTAATTTGTGTAGGTGCCTGAAGGCTGGGGATAATATTAGATGCTCAAGGACAGAGTGCAAACAAAAAAATATCACTGATGACCAGCATGAGTTAGATACAGCGTCTGGTTAGTTCAAGAAACTTGCCTCCTTTATTAGGTGCGATAATACGTTTGCTCTGTGCTATGAGGCTGTGAAAGGCACAATCTTCTTCAATTTCTCCCAAGCCTCTCCCTGACCTCTCCTTTATTTGGGATGCTAATAGTTACCCAGCTATGGGAGACAGTCCCAGGGTCTGTTGCCCCACCCCACTCCCGCCCCCATTCCCCCCTCCCCAAAAACATTTTGCCCAATCTCTTCCTTTGTTACCTGTTTACTATTTGACCTTGCAACAAGTCAGAGTTTGCTACAAGGGATGGAGGGGGAGGGCAGTTAGGATTGAGATATCACCTGACAGTGATTGCTGGAAATGATCATTCAAGAACTGAGTATTGAAAGTAGGTAAAGGTATAAAAGGATAAACACAGTAACTTTCATGTACTTGTATTGCGAAGCAGAATGTCCAAAAGAGAGAGAGAGAGAGAGACAGAGAGACAGAGAGACAGAGAGACAGAGAGACAGAGAGAGGAGGGAGATGGAGCGAGAGGAAGACAGGAGAGAGAGATGCAGAGAGGGGGAGAGAGAGAGAGAGAGAGAGAGAGAGAGAGAGAGAAGTGCCTGCCACAGAGGCAGGTTGGGGTGGGGATGGCAGGAGGAAAACTAGGGTCATTGGTGGTGTGAAATGTACATTGGTGAAGGATACGTGTTGGAACCGTTGTATGACTAAAACCCAACCAGGAACAACTTTTTAACTATATCTCACTGTAATTTTTTTTTAAAAAGTTACATAAACTTTCTGAAACTCATGACCACATGGGTTGAATATAATCTATCTAATAGTTTTCACTAAGGATAGTCTCACATTATTTTTGCACACAAACCTAAACTATATGTGTGTATACATGTGCATATATATACATGTATATTCACATACAAGTGTAAAGCACCCTTTGATGTCACAACTGATACAGCACTTTCCAGTTATTTGTAAATGTTGGCTATCCTTGCTAAAGTCATCTCGTGCTGGCTTGGAAGGGAGAGAAATAGATTTGCATTGTCTCCAATTTGCCGTCTTGACTAGAAGTCCAATCCATGTTTTCAGTGGAAATCTTGCAATGGGATTACGCATTTGAAAATCCAACGAGCTCTCAGTTTTTAGTTTGTGTAAAGGAAAACATCAAAAGATGGAGCCACAAAAACAGGGCTCTTTCCCCAAAGATGCCTGCCCCTTTCTTATCCACACCACACCTGGGGTTCTGCACATCACACCCAGGCACAGGTGTGCTGATCCACAGCTGAGTCAGTGCGAACCATGGCAGCCTCTTCTCCCACCCGCTGCAAGGCACTCCTTGCAGCTGCAGAAAGGGCATGTTTTCTGGACAGGCTTAGACTGTTTTCTCAAATTATATAAAAGAGCTCCAGCACGAGAGCTCCAACCTGGAAAGCTGGAACCCAGACTAAGGAAATATCGAAGGAGCGCCTAAGGGATGAGGGAATTCAAAGAAAATTATTTCCAGGTTTTCTTATTAGCAAATCCCTAGCAGAAATCCTTTATTATCAGGTAATTTCTCTTGAACCCATGGTGGCCATGTGGGTCAACTGTCAAGGCAACACCTACCGTGTGTGCTACAATGTCCTCTAGGGGGCACCATTCATACAGACTCCAACATAAATGATGCAGTGGGAGCTTTTTTCTGCAATGGGAAGGAGCTGGAAGCAAATTCTGCTAGAGCCAAACTTCAAGTCACAAAGGCTTGATTCTTAATCTAGTTCTCTCCTTATAATGTACCAATATCCTACACACACAAACACACACACACACACACACACACACACACCAAATAAAATGCTTTAAATCCCTCATAAAAATTTCAGGTGGGATCGAAATGAGAGGATGTGATAGTTTAAAAAATGCAACATTTAGAATTTCTCAGTATGTGGTAGATGATAAGTTTGTGTGGAACAATTTGTAATGATACATATTGTCAGTCATTTTTATTACTCCTTTCCCACTTAATTTGGGGGCATGATAATTCTAACTACAGATTTCCCCAGGCTATCCTTAAATTAGTTCATTTCTATAAAACCTCTCCTAAACTGAAATGACACAAAGCAAAGAAACAATTACCATGAGCATGTATGCACAACATTGTGAAAACTCCCAGACCACCCAAATAACCTAACACATCATACCCAATCATACCTAACACATAAAATGAAGCACCAGAGATGAAAATGGTGCAGCAATTCCACATCTCATCCGTAGGCATTCCCAGGAAGGAGCTGGGTGGGAAGAGCCTCTCACAGCCCTGGAAGGGCTGCCTGCCTCTGTAACAGCTCCTGCAAAACCAGCTACAGACTCAATTGTGCTGCCTGACTTTTCTCTTTGAAAGCAGAATTTTGCTTCAAGGTTTCTTTTAGTGAAAACGGGCATTTTCCCCTTATTTATTTTTATTGAATGACAGTGAAATACAGTTATAAAGTTGTTCATGATTGAGTTTCAGTCACACAATGTTCTAACACCTGTCCCTTCACCAGTGTTTATCTCCCCACCAATGTCCCCATTTTCCCTCCCGCCATCCCTCTTCCTCAGCCTGCTTCTATGGCAGGCACTTTTCCCCTCTCTCTCTCTCTCTCTCTCTCTCTGTGTGTCTCTCCCCTCCCCCCGCTTTGTGGTTTTCAATACAGGTACTGAAAGGTTATCATGTATATCCTCTACCTACTTTCAGCACTCAGTTCTTGTCCTGAGTGACCATTTCCAACCCTCATTGTCATCGCGGTCTCCTCTCTATCCCAGCTGCTCTCGCCCCCAGCAATTGAAGCCAAGTTTCCAACCATGGGTCATTCCTCTTGGCCCACGTTTCTTCTGCCCTTGGATATTAGTCTCATACTATGTTTTTATATTCCACAGATGAGTTCAGTCATTCTGTCTGTCCCTCTCCTCTGACTCATTTCACTTTGCTTGCTATCTTCCATGTCCATCCAAAAATGGATATTTAATGTCAATTTTTTGACAACAGTGCCATTGTTGATGAGGACTTTTGGAAAAAATCTGTGTGTGTGTGTGTGTGTGTAACATATATCCGTTTTGTCCACGGCAGAGCCTGGCAAGCTACCTGTGGCGTATTTAATATGCCAAAAACAGTAACAATAACGGGTCTCATTCTCCTGACCCTGAAAGAGCCTCCAATACGGCAGCCATTGGGAAAGACGAGTAAGGAGAGGCTGCTAAAATCTCAGGGCTGGGACGAATGGAGCTGTTACTGGTACCCACTCGAGTAAATCGATGAACAACAGGATGACAGTGATGCAGTGTTACAGTGATCCATTTTGCTAAATAATCTTTGAAAAACCTAAGAGATAAGAAAATGGTACTTTACTTTTAAATAAATTCTGAAGTCCTCTCTCTGCCTCAGGCTTTCCAGGTAAAAGACGGCAGCCGAGTAATTCAGGCAGTAGGTCTGGTGGCTCTGACACAGGCTTCCTTGGAAATACTGCGGGGGGACAGAGGAGAGGACAGTCACAGAAGCAGGGCCTCCCCCACGCCAGCAGCCTTGCTCTTTCTCTTCACTTAGTTCTCACTCCTTTTTATATTATCTCCCCTTCCTTCTCTTTGTGCCCTGTTTCTGCAATGGACATAGGCCCCACACCTTAGCTGTCTTGGTCACGTGCTCAGAGGTCACACATTTAGTTATGGTGCAGCAGATGCCCATAGGAGAGCTCGGATCTTTCTCAGGATGTGGGGCAGAGCTGGGATGGAAGTGCCAGTGTCACAGCTGCCAAGGTTGTGTCTCTTCCTCACACACACACCACACCATGGTCCTCCCTCACACATCCCATACCCCACACACCACACACTGCATGTACACACACCACACACATGCACACACCCACATACTACACATGCAAACACACACTACACACATACACACACTCCACACACTCCACACATGCACACACCCCACACACTACACACACAAACGCACAACACACTCCCCTACACTACTCCATACCCACACATCACCTATTCCACTCACACCATACACAAACACGTTATCCCACACCCCACACAATATACACAAGACCACACTCTCTCACCACTCTGTACCCCACACACCACGCATTTCACACACAGGCACACGCGCACACACACACACACACACACACACACACACACACACACAACCACCACCACCACCACCACCACCACTACCCCATCCCCCCGACATCACACATCACACCACACACGTTCCTCCTATGAAAGCACCATGAAGGAACATACAGGAAGAGGGCAGCTACGGGCTGGACCTAGGAGCAGTGCGTTTCTATTGTTCAAAGGCCACCCTGGATCTGGGGGTTTTCTTATAGCAAGCTGAGCTCGGGAAGACAAGTTTTCCATGACACGTTGTTTAGTAATCCAGACAACTTGGTCAAAGCTAAAGGCAAAAAATTGTACCACCTCTGAAGGAGCTGAACAGTGTTGAGAGTTTAGCTGATGATCCATACTTTCTATTCCCCCCCGCCCCTCCCCCCTCCGAGGTTCAAAGCTTTCCTTCTTCACATCTGTTTTTGAAGTCCCTGGGTGCTCTCCTTTCCCCCTATTTCCCTGCTCATTCACCTGGGTTAACCTTCCTCTTTCTGTCTCACCTCAAACATCATTTCCCCCGGAAGAGCTTCCTCTTTTTAACTGCCTCACCATCCCTTTAAGCCAGGAGAGTTCTTCCAAAATATCTGTTCTTATTATCTCAGCTTGATTGTATAATCATCAGTGGCATTACTGGATTAATTTCCCCCCATGAGACAGAAAGCTCTTCCAGAGCAGGGAAGTATCTAATTTTGCACACACTGTATGCATTGTCAGATCAATAAAACTAATGTGTTTTGTAGTGTAAGAATTTACATCCTGTTAAATGAGAAAAGATGGGCTGAATTAAAATGTTCAAAATTTTTAAAAAGGGAAGAGGGAATGCAAGTATTTTGAAGAAATAAATAGCAATTATCAAGCTCGGGCTAGAATTTTTCCTCCTTTCTTCTCCTTTCCTACACAGAAGACTTATTAGGGGTGTTGATGGATTTGAAGGTTTATTTTGTTTCTTTCTGAGAGACTGACACATTTGTTAGAAGAACAACTGAACCATGTAATTAGCCTACACAGACTATTGCCATGAATATTGCTTTAAATTGAAGTAATTTACAAAACAGACTTGGAAATGGCTTTTCCATGTGTGCAGATTTCTATATTAATGAAACCCACACAGGAGATGGGGTGACAATGGGAAAACAGAATCTCCAAGCTATTTTGGGAAATGTGTATTGGGGGAGAAAGGGATGGTTCCTTTGAGGGTGGGTGCTGATGGAACTTCCAGAGGAACAATGAAAAAGAAATCAAGTAGCTATGAACGGCTCTTTAGGGAGGTGTTGAGTTTAGTGCAGAAGCTGAGACTCGCAGGAAAGAATTTTACCTTTGTGAGCACCGAAGTGAAATCCACCAATGGTGAAGTCTCAGAAGTGTCGAAATAGTCCTTGATGATGCCAAAAAGACTTGTCACAAAACCGAAGCTAGTCTAGGGCCAGAAAGAAAGAAAAAAGATTAGGTAAAACATACCCCTTCTTCTCCTTTGTCTTCTTTTTTTATATTGCCAGAAATCAAATTCAAGGCCTGGCACATGCAAAACAGGAAACCACGTATTCGGCCCTCAAATACCATTCTTACAAATGCTTTCTATTTCAAATTTCTCTCCTAGAAAGATTTGAGGATTCATTTCATCTACTGTTCTATGAAGAAAATCTGTTTAAAAGCATATATTTTAAAAATAGTTTTTTTCATGAATAAATTGAAATTTTTTTCTTTTAAATTTCTCCACTACCCAACCACCACCATGCTCCAGGCTGCTTTCCATATGGCTTGGGCTGAGCCTCACACATGAGTGAACATATTCCTGGACCTCGCAGCCCCGAAAGCCATCATAAGATACTTCCTACCCATTTTTCATAATTACCACACCATATTTGATGGAGTTCAGACAGTAGGCAAGAAGTCATAGAGGGAGAATGGGGACATTACTGTCGCCCGCTCAAGTTAATCGATGAACAACGGAATGACAGTGATGCAGTGATACAGTAAAAGTTCAGGGGATTTAGGAAATGTGCCACTTGAGGGGGCTGGGAGATATGACAGGGAGGGGTCAATGTTTAAGGTAGACGAAAGCATTCAACTAGAAGGAGGAGGTGGTGCTGAAGGAGTGTTAGGTATGAAACACGTATCAGCATGAGTACTGCAAACCAACCACAAGGCAAAAACGTGTACACACACATACACACACACACACATACACACACATTCTGAAGCACCTCTTATAGAAGCAGATTGGTGGGTGAGAAGCAACTTTGGTGAGGGGTATTGATAGAGGAAGTTAACACTGGTGAAGAGATTAGTATTAAAACATTGTATGTCTGAAATCCAATCATGAATAACTTTGTAAATTTCGTGGTGAATAATTTTAAAGAAAAACCTGAAAAACAAACAAAAAATTTTGGGGGATCAGTTGTGACATCTTTGCGTTCACTTCATTTTTCTGCTGAGGACAAGGGAGTAAATTCTCTTCAGCAGTAGTTAGGAAGTGGGGGTCACTTCCTGCAATATTCACCCCCAAATGTATCAGTGCTCAGACTTTGCAAGACTGGGGACTACCAGCAGTCTTTGAGGGATCATGAGATAATCAGGATCAACTTGGCCTCTGTGTTCCAGGCATAGGCTTTAGCTCTTTAAGTTATCTCCCTGGCTCTTGAATAATTCTTTGCTAGCATTTTCCCTGTCTTCTTTTTTTTCAGAGGAAAAAATATTGTTTATTCATAATACATATAAGAAAAGAATATTTATTTAAGAAGAAAGAGGAACATTCTGGAGATCTCAGGGATATGCTTACCTTGGGTGATAGTTTTGGAAAAATTAAAATGTTACTGAAGGTTAGCTGATATGTCTGTTGGAAGGGCATTAATGAATATTTAGATTTCCTTCCTATATGCCCAAACTTCTGACCATTTGATTATATGAGGTTGGAGTAAATCACATACCAAAGTAGAGCACAAGCCACGAGCTAGATAGGCATGAATTTTCATGATCTTAAAGTGAATTTTAAATTATGGCTCTCAGCATCAACCTGTTTTAGCTTACCTGACTTAACTCTTCCAGATTTGCAAAAAGTCTCCATAAATCCACATCCAGAAGATAGTCACGAGTGTGCAAATACTTTAGTGTATTCATGAAGATCTTTGAAAAAAATCAAAGCACATTGCATTTTGTTTTTGATTTTGAAACTTGCAATAACATTGAACATAACCCTTCTGAGTACAAGTTCATAGAAGAATATAGAAATCAGTATTTTCCAGGTTTAGGATTTTTTTCTAAATATAAATGATGGCATTTAAGCTCCATAGAACATAGAGAAAATGTGCCTTTGTGTCAAATCACTGCTTATGTAACCTCTAAGAACCTCCCTATTGACCATTATTCTGTCAAATGGGTTTTCTCTGCCTTATGGTGCCAAAGAATTCACAAAGGTTCTTCCTGGCAACAGCACTAATATCAGACAAAAACAACATTCATGCTGAGGTCTCATTTATTCCTTCATTCTGCAAAAGATTCAAATATCCCCTATTCTTAGGGGATTATAGAATTATTGAGTTAATATCTGGTAATATGCTTAGATTTGGATAAATACATTAAATATTAATAAAGCAGAGAAGCTTTGTCTTATTACTTGACTGCATGCTTTTATAAGAGAAGTGTTTTTCTACAGAGCTATGACCCTCTTAGATAACCTGCTGCTGATTCCATAGATATCAATTCATTGAAGTAGGAATACTTTGTATAAGCATAATGAAGTGTTAAAAGGGACCAATTGTTTAATAATTTTAGCTGTGAAAAGAAGGATGTGAACCAGTCAACTTTCTCTGATATTTTTCTAGATTCATTAATGCAGTAAATTGTTCTTGAACGTGCATCAGAATTCCTTGCTATACCAGAGGTCTCTGAACCCCACCCCCCAGAGTTCTGATTCAGAAGATCTCTGAAGGGTTGAAAAATATACATTTTCTGACAAGTTACTACTAAGTGATTCTGATGTTGTTGGTCCAAGGAACTTTGAGAATTACTGACTTTGAGTGTCCCCAAATCCATAAAGTATTGGTTATTTAGATATAACAAAATATTTAAAACTTAAAACATGATTTCCATAAATATAAGGTATTACAATACATTGGCAGAGCCTGGCAAAGCTACCCGTGACGTATTCCATATGCCAAACACAGTAACAAGAAGTCTCAAGATGGAGACGTTACTGGGCCCGCTCGAGCAAATTGATAAACAACGGGAGGACTGTGACTGTGACTGACTGTGACAATACATACATTGAGAAAATTTTATGCTTTTGTGCTTCAGTTCCATGCTCTACAAAGTTTTGGACATTAAAAATTTTCCATTTTCTTCAATTTAGTATTTAAATAAAAAGAAGAAACTTTGGGAAACTCATTAATTGTTTAGAGGGAGATGCATATATATATGTATATATATATACACACACACACACTGGTTATACTGGACACTTGAAAATAATTTCAGATAGAATGTTTTCTTAAAACACATCATATTAGTTTAAAAATATGCGGCAGTTTAAGGTGGGATAGAAAGCTTTTATTTATTAAGGAAATAAAGGCCATGTAATTTCAAGATTTTTTACTCTGAAGTAAAAATATAATGTTCATCAGTAAGTTTTAATGCTCTCCTCTTCAACATCTTAGTGTTCACCTCAGTAGCTTAATGTACTATGTAGCAAGTTATCATTAGTCCTTAGAGTATTCTTGATTGTTTTTAAGTTATTCCGCATATTTCTTTGTTTAGGAGTGGACATATTACTTAAGCCAGTTTAATCAAAATGAGATTCAAGGCTTTTGCTATGAGCTCAGTTCTCTCTCTCTCTCCCTCTCTCTCTCTCTCCCTCTCTTTCTCTTCCTCTCTTTTCCTCACTTCCTCCCTCTTTTCATGCCGTCACCCAACTCACTCTGGGCTCAATGACACCAGTGATTTTGTGGTACAAAATAAATCAGACATATGATGAAACTCATGCTAAAAACTGGGAACACTGGTAGTGGGAAAAGTACTCTGGCGAAGGACTGGGTGTTGGAACATTGTATGATTGAAACCCAATCATGAAAAATTTTGTAACTGTGTATCTTATGGTAATTCATTTAAAAAAAAGAATGAAACTGATGCGAAGGAAGATAGGATTGAGAGCTAGAAAGACATTTTGCCCTTGTTTCGAACCCCTTGATCTAACTAATCTTGAATTCTCTCTTATCTCTGAACATTAAGAGTCACCCAGGCAAATAAAATTCTGCATTACTTAAGCTGGTTCTCTGCACTTTAACTGACCATTTTCTAAGTTTCCACTTTTGAGTGTCTTTATGATTTAATTTTGTTGACATAGTTCTTAACTATGGGATCACTGTCACTGTCCTCCCGTTGTTCATCGATTTTCTTCAGTGGGCCCAGTAATGTCTCCAGTGTGAGACTTTAGTTATTACTGTGTTTGACATATTGTATACATCACGGGTAGCTTGCCAGGCTTTGCTGTGCGGGCGAGATACTCTCAGTAGGTTGCCCGGCTCTCCGAGAGGGGCGGAGGAATCGAACTCTGTCGGCCATGTTGGCTGCGTGCAAGGCAAATGCCCTACCCCTGTGCTATCACTCCAGCCCAAGTATGGGATAGTTACTGAAAATAAATGTTATTGAGAGAAAATAATGTGTCATTTGTATTGCACTTGATAGGTTTCAAAGTAAACTGATCTGCTCATCAGGATGATCAGATTTTTATGAGGTATCCAGAGATGTATAATTATTCTTTTATAGCTGAGGGTAGGAATTGCCAAATGACAGCTTGCGAGATAAATTAAGCTCACTACCCACTTTATAAATTTTATGTATGAAAACATAGCTGGGAATAATATTTCACCAATTAGTTACAACTTCTTTTGTTCTACAATGCAATAGTTGAGTGTTTGCAAAAAGGATCCTGTGGACTGTAAACTCCAAAGTAGTTGCTCTCTGGACCTTTGCAGGAACATTGCCCAGCACTGATTTAGAAAATAAAGGATCAAAATTTCCTAAGATCATGTGGTAAGTCAGAAGCAGATCCAGGATATGAACTTGAGTTAGAAGTGATTAAGCAGGGTGAAAAAGTCCTTATGGGCAGTGGCAGTCTGGAAGCAGGTGGCCCATCACCCCTATGGTCTTGAAAGGAGGTGATTGCATCCCAGTACTTCTTTTTGATTCTTCCAAGAGGAATTCTCTGCTCAGAGACTCCCCGGAGCATGGCTTCAGTTCTGCTCAAGCTCAGAAGCACCATTAACCTGGCTGAGATCAAGCACACACAGTGTAATCTACCCCCACATGTTGAATATAAGTGATTACCACAGAAATTGGTGGCTCTAGCCCTGTAGCTGGTACAAAGCATTGTCTTGCTATTATCCGTGCAGAAGCAAGAGCTCTGAAGGACTGATTAAAGAGGAAAAGGCTGCTTTGAGGATGGTTGTGTGTTCTTTGACTTAAGAAGTATGAAAACAAGGGTAAGGATAAGGTAGAAGGGAGGCAGACATCAGAGGGTAGCAGGGCTTGTTTACTGGGATCTTATTCAAACCCAAAAGGCTATGTTCTCTTTGTTTTTATCCACTTTTTAATATTAATTTTTTTATTGAATCATGGTGAGGCAGAGCATTCAAAGCTGTTTATGATTAGGTTTCAGTCATACAGTATTCCAACACCCATCCTTCCACCAGTGTCATTTCCCAGCACCAACGTCTCCATTTTCCCTTCCACCCTCCAAAAAACCACCCCCACCTCAGCCTGTCTCTATAGCAATCTAAGAAAAAACTCTTAAGAAACAATCACTTGGTTGTTTATAAAAGTGAGAAAACAATCAGCACATTTTTCTTATGGTATCCTAAAAGAGGAGAGTCTTATAATTGCTAACACAGAAGAGAAAAATAAGTGTCCAAGGACCGAAGTACTATTTTTCATCTGCCACTAAAGTAAAAAAAAACATTACCATCTTCATAACTAATAAATGGTCCAAGAAATAAGTGCATTCACTGGTGAAAAGTTCCCACATGGCCTCTTGCTGCTTTCTCAAATCTAGTTGATCAGTAGGAAATTTTCCATGGGTTTCCATGACTTCATTCCAGGACTTATCCTGTATATGGGATAAAAGAGAGAACAAACAGGAACAGATAATCCCCCTAAATCATCCCTTACTACTTCAGGACTCCAGCAGCCTGGTATCATCTCCTCGAACTGCCCAAACCATAGCACCACTCCACCTGGCTTTGGTCAGGTTTATTTTGTTTTGTTTCATTTTGTTTTGCCTTTACCACTGAGTCACAACCCTGGTCCTCTGCATAGCATTGGGATACCAATTCTTCCCAGTGTGATGCTTGGAATACCAATTATATGTCATTTTTAATTTAAATAAAAAGAAATTAAAATTTTACCTTGTTTTGTATGATGCTTAAGATTATTATTCTTAAGTTCTTTTCTTCTTATTACAAAAACAAACAAAAACAAAGTGAAATCTCAGAAAATCCCATATTAAGAACTGAGAACTTTGATTTTATTTCCAAGAGCAAAATTTACTGAAATGGACAACTAAGGAATCATAAAATAATACTTTTGTCTTTAAAGAGAAATTGAATGTCATCTTATCAGAACAACTTAATTTTTAAAGACAAAACTGATGTCCAAAGAGAGGAATAGTAGTTTCAACCATTAATATTAATAGAGGACTTCATCATCTACAAAGTGCTCATTCGCCCTTTAGTTTTATATGTTTTGACTTTCCCAGGTTTCATTCAGAATGCTCAGAGAGTACAGCTCATTCCACCCTAGCTCCATCTTATATACTTTTTGTTACCAGGAATGAGGCACTAATTGTACAACTAAAACTGATGAGAACAAAGTCTAGCCTAGACCAAAGTCCTCAAAACAAAGTCCTCAAAACTGGGTCATAACAAATAAATATATGAGATACCTTCAGTCCAAGGAATTCAAAGCTCCTGAAGTCTGTAATCTTCAATGAGGAGAGGCAGTTTTCCAGATCTGCTAAGTGCTTGTGCTTGTCTTTCCCATGCTTCAATATGGTAAGAAACAGATTTACAAAACATGAGTTCTTTAAAGATATGACTTCCTCAACGTCTTTTGTTTGTTCAAATATGAGATCAGACTACTGTTGAAAATAATAGTTGAAAGTCATTTTTGAGCCAAAGTCTGACCCATGGGCTTACAGAAATAGCAGACCTAAGAGAGAGATGCTGGTGAGAATGTCACGTCCAAAGCTCTCCCTTAACTAATTAAATGTATATATATATAATACAAACACACACATTATATATATATATATTCTGAATATATATATATATATATATACATATATATACCCAAGCATGGAATGATCATGTATGAACTCCTAGTCAGATGTAAACAACCTCTAGAACATTCTTCATTCCTCTGACTTTTTCCTAATACTAGAACTGTATTTTTTGTTTTGTTTTGTTTTGCTTTTAGCACCAGAAGGTGTGATCCATATATAAGTTCAAACTTTTATTTCACAAATGACTAAAGAAATCCCAGTATAAAGAAACTGTTGAACACAATAAATCTCTGCTAAAGGGCACCAGGAACCAGATTTGGGCTGAGTGACGGTTCAAAAGGCTAGTGCATAAGCTTCTAATGTGGAAGATCTGCGATGCAAACATCTCCTTCAAAATACAAAACAAAAGGGCAAAACCACACACAGAATATGCTAAAGAATCAAGACTTCTTAGAAAGTAAGGTGCTAGAAGTACCTACTTATTTTTGTAATAATTTTCTTACAGAAATAATTTTATTTTGAAATAATTTTATTTTCAGTAATATTAGTTTTAAAAATTAGATAATAGGGCTAGAGATATAGGATAGGAGTTAAGGTGCTTAACATGAATGCAGCAAACCTGGTTCAATTTTTGTCACTGCATATGTTTCTCTGATTACTGCTAGGAGTGATCCTGAGCACAGACTCAGTAGCAGTTCCTGAGCACACTACTCCCCCCAAAACTGCTGATGACAAAGATAATATATAGCTATTGTAAAAAGTTTCAAAAAGAAAAAAACAACACAAAGAAAATCCATTAATGATTATATCCATATTTCAGATAACCACTGACATTTTCTGATTTTATTTATAATTAATGTTTCTTTTAAAAAATCAAAGCTTCTTCTAGAGTTTTGGACATTCAGTCTTTTAACTTCAAATATATCACTATCCAGGTCACTAATTTTTAATGATGTCATATTTACATGTCCTTTTGTAATTTTCTTTTTAAGTTTCAAAATATGTAACCTTTCTCTTTTTAGTTTTTACTCATTCAATGTTCTATTGCAACAGCATGAATTACTCACTTAAAGAGTTCATTTGACGCAGTAAATCAGGAAGAAGCTATTAAACAATAATGTGTTAGGCTTTCTAAAGTCAACCTGACCACATTTCAAATCAATGTTAATTATATAATTTTTTCATTTAATGCCTCTGATGCTGGGCACAGATTACAGATTTGGGTAGAAGTTAGTACATTTCCTGTTAGAAGCAAGAGCAAGCAGGGGTGGGCTGCAACTGCAGGTGGACAGTCCCTGCGTGTGTGAGGGAAGTTCAACCCCGGAAGAGTCGAGACTCTTCAGCTTCCTCAGTAGCAAAGGGATCTTGGATCTCTGACAGCAACTGGGGCACATGCCTTTTGTAGGAGTCTGAAACTATAGCAACTTCATGTTTACAAAAACCAGCAGCCAGTGGAGGAATAAAGATGCTGACAGCATGGAGCACTGTCATGGGAAAGGGGGCACCTGTCTTTAGTGTGTTTGTTTCCTCTCGATGCCGGAGATTTGAGCCCTGCTCTGTCTCTGAGCCACCTGCCATCTCGGAGCCACCAGACTGTCTTGAAAGGCCCCCACGGTGCTTTCTGGGGATCTGGCTAACCTGAGGGAGGGGCTGTCCTCTCAGAGGTCACATAAACTGTTTCCAGTAACTGACGCATTCAGCGTCCAGGTGCTTCCAACCTGGTCAGTGACTCAGAGAGGCAACAAGAAGCACCAGAAGGATGTTTGAGAGAATAGGGAGGAGGAAGAAAAGAAAAAAATCAAGCTTCATTTTAAGGGCGCAAATTTCATAACCACGGTATGGGTAGGATGGAAAATTGCAGAAGCGCTGGTGACCAGTGTGAAGGTCCAGACGTGACTGCGAATAGATCCACTTTGGAGTGTCTAGCAAAGAGAGGGCATTGAGCCTGTGAGGATCGGCACAGTCCTCAAGAGTCTGAGGAAAAGGGGAAGGAGGCTCCAGGTTCAGTTCTGGATTCCTGTAGCTGGTGGAGCAGCACAAAGTTGGGGCTCACACAGCCACAGAGCTAGCCTTCCTGGAGTTTCTGGAGGTACACTTGCACTCTGTCACTTAGCAGCTGTGTCGCCTGTGACCGACTTCACCTCGCTAAAATTCATTTTCCCCATTTGCAAAATGGAAATGGTGATGTTGCTTCCTTTGTTGAGTAAGGTAAAGGTAAAGGTAAAGGCCCTCCCGTTGATCGTCGATTTGCTCGAGCGGGCCCAGTAACGTCTCCATTGGAGACTTTGTTGTTACTGTGTCTGGCATATCGAATACTCTCGGTAGCTTGCCGGGCTCTCCGAGAGGGGCGGAGGAATCGAACTCGGGTCGGCCATGTTGGCCGCTTGTAAGGCGAACGCCCTACCCGCTGTGCTATAAGAACTTCATATATGTAGACTGATATTGACAGACAAGAATACACACATGTAAGCAGAAACCATGCTTAGTGCATGGTAAACAGTGTGTATTTGCTTCTTTCTGGTTTGGGCCTATATTAGGTTGTGCCCATTTTGCCTATTTCTGGCTCTGTGCTCAGGAGTGACCCCTGACGCTGCTCAGGGGACCATGTGTGGTACCAGAATTGAACCAAGATCAACTGCATGCAAAGCAGACTATTACCTTCTCTACTCCTCTCTCCAGTACAACTACTTGCTTTGATTTCTGACATTGTCACTTGTACTTGGGAAGAAAAGTGAGAAGAAAGAAAGGTTTAAAAGGGGGGAAGAACTATTACTGATTGGGAAAATATAATGTATGTTTTATTTATATGAACTATCACTTACATATATAAGAACTACATGATAAGTAAAGGCAAAAGGAAGCAAGTAGATACACTGATTTCAGGGGGACAGAGATATTCTTGCATAAGTGGAACTTTAATAACAGATTTTTTTTCTGAGTTACTGAGAACATTTGGTCACTCCATGAATTATTCTGTCTTTGAATTTATCTCTACCACTGATGACCCACCTCCAACATTCGGCAAGCCATTTACAGCATTTTAATTGTCCAATTTCCATGTGAATGGGAACTTCATGATAGTGAGCTGGGTTTCTTGGGTTTCTTGACATATGACAGCACCCTACGCACAAGTTGCGTCTCACAAGCAGGGAACAAACATGACTCACAAGTAGGAGTAGCCCTTTCTTAGCAAGTCCCTGCTTTCTGACTGTTCATCTCCCTGGTGCTTTGTAGATTTTCCTTGCTTGGAAATATCCTCAGGGGAATTGGTAGGAGCAGCCCCTTCTCTTGAGACCCCAGACCTGACTGGAATTGGGTTCTGCTTCCATTTAAATGGAGTGAGCTCAGGAAACTCTGCCCCATCAATATTCTCAGATCTGCCAAGAAAACCTTCCATGAAAGAAAGCAGAAATGGGATTTCTGGGAGTGGGCAGTGGAGATTAGATGAGGTGTGGTGGGGTTAGTGCCTTTATAAGAAGAGGAAGATGGGTCAGAGCACCACTATGGAAAGACACAACAGGTGCCTGTATCAGTACCCTGCCATGCTGGCCCCCATGCAAGGCTCCAAGACTCTGAGAAATAACTTTAAAATTTAAGCACCAAATTTGTGTTATTTTGCTTTAGACACCTAAGGGACAAAGACACATTTTTTATGCTTGAAAAGATAATATAAAAGTCACTCATGTAGTTGGTCACAAAAATAAATCATTTGTCTGAACCCAAATTAAAACTGCCACCAATATGAGCACCTTATTGATTGAACACTAGTAACATTCTCAGCTCTGGGATGAACCCTACATATCTATTGATTTAGTTGTCACATCTATGAAGTCCACTCAGCCCTTTTACAGAGAAGAACCTGAGGCTGAGGTGGTGATTGATTTGACCAAATACTGAAGCAGCAAGAAGAGCAGCTGTGATTGGGGCCTGGTGACTTTTACTTTAGGTACAAGATTGGAAAAAGATCCAAGAAGCACCAGAAAGGGTCAGAGAAACTGCTGACAAAAATGGAGACACCAGGTGGGCTGATTTTTAATGGAAGGGAACACAGTGAAACTCCATAAGGCACTACAGTTACTGCAGGCTGTGCTTGTAGATATCTTGACTGGCAATGCAAGAGACAGAGAGCAGTTCCCTACCTTATCCCCCACCCCCTTTCCTCCAGAAAATGCAAATATATAGTAGTCAGTCAACCTGAGGTCAAGAACACTTCTTCCCAAGAAGGGAAAGGAGAGGAATGGGCGAACAGGGGTGGGGCGTCGGTTAAGCTCGGGATGTGGGAGTGTGATGTAGCTTTGTAGCCAACACAGACTCGCAACACTGAAAGCATGAGATCTAAAGTGCAGTCACTGGAACTTTGTAAAGTGCCTGTCATGGTGACAGGTACGGGGGTGGGAGTGGATGTGGGGATGGAGGATGGGGCACTGGTAGAAGGAAGTTGATGCTGGTGGTGGACCAGTGTTGAAATATTATATGCGTAAAACTCAACTATCAATAATTTTGTAAACCTCGGTTCTTTCGTTAAATAAAAATTTATTTTAAAAAAAAAGCCCACTTCTTACCTCTACCCAGAAAGGCTGGACTATGCTTAACCCTGGTGTAGAGAGAAAAGAATCATGAACCACTGATTTCAGTTTATAGCTCTTCAATAATTGCCAGAATGAAGAGTGAGCTTAGAAAAAAAAACACTAGCAGTAAACCATTGGTCATTGCTGGAAATACAAGTGCATTTGTAGAATGTGTTTCTGTAATATGTCATTTTTTTAATGATCCATATATGCCTGGCACCAGTTGTGAACAGAGGCCAAGGTTGGTGCAAGTTTATTTCAAGTGAGTTTTTTCCTAACCCGGATCAAATTATAAATTTGGAGTTAGATGTAAAGCATCATAATATTAGGATTGCTGCTATTATTATTTGCAGAGCTTATTAACCACCAGCAATCAGCACAGATTTGGGGCATAAAATGGGGTCATTTGGCATGTTCCGTGGCTACGACAACACATGTGCCGATATCATTTAAAGTCCAAGTACAATCTGCTTTTGTGAAAAGATTAAGTAGAGAGTCACCAAAGATGGAGAGGCTCACTATCCATTTCTCCCTTAGCTACAGGAGGATTAATTAAAACAAAAATGACAGTGTGCAGCACTTACCACATCTTTCCTGGAGAAAGGCCATCTTGGCTTCTTGGATTCTGGTGGGTGTAATGAAAGAAAATATATGTTAGTGCTTTGAGTAACCAGTGGCAGTTCATTGCAGCACTTTACAAAACCTTCAGATGAACGAAGCAGAACTTGTTCCACTTAATTCTCCTTCTCCTGAGAAAGTACAGGATGAATATTCATATCTATGCAAATGAAACATGCTGTAAGCAAAGCATGTTGCTAGCATAGAGAGACTGGCATAGACTGGCACAGCAACATGATCTGGTAATACCTGCCATAAATAGACACAGTCTGGAACAATTTTGCACTACCTGGCACAGGTTGGCACAGACATGCACTGCATGAAGCAGGTTGGAATGACTGACATAAACTGACATAAGATGGTACAGGTTGGCACTGCATGGCATTGACTGGAATTTCCTGGTAAGGCTGGAAAAAACTGGCAAAGTTGGCAGAGACTGACAAAACCTGCAAACATAGACATGGACAAGAGACAATGGACTAGCACAGGTTGACATTATCTGGCACACAATGGCATGGATTGGCATTAGCTGGCACAGACTGACATAGTCTTACACAAGCTGGCACAGCCTGGCACATACTGACATGTACTGGCATAGGCAGGCACATATTGGCACATCTTGACAAAATAGGCAACACCTAACAAACATTGGTATGGACTGACATCACCTGGATTAGGCTGGCATGAACTGGTATATGCCAGTACCACATCATAAAGGCTGGCACCACATGTCAAAGCTGAAAGATGTTGACACGGAATAGTAAAAGCTGGCACAGATGGAATAAGTTGAGTCTGCATGAACTGGAACAAACTGGCACAGATTGGTATGGACTGACACTGATTTATGTCACCTGGCACACATAGGAAGATGATGGCACTAGCTGTCAGAAGCTAACAAACTGGCATGGCACAGTTTGGCAACACCTGGTAGAAGTTGGCAATAATGGTACAAGATCGCATGTTATGGTGCAAGCCTGCACAGACTGGTACAGTATAGCACAAGTTGGAATGAACTGGCACTTTTTAGCATGGTGTAACTAAGCCTTGCACTACATGACTCAGTTGGCATATATAGAGTAACATGTACTGGCATAATCTGGCACATATTGGCTTGGACTAGCAAGGCTAGAACAGCCTGGCAAACAATGGCAGTACTGGCACAAGTTGGCATGTAATGGCATGGAATGGAACAGGTTGGCATGGACTAGCACTGCTGAGCACATGGTGGTATAACATGACACATTCTGGCAACATATGGCACAAGTTGGAATGTACAGACTGACATATACTGGCATGAACTGGCATAGTTGGTACAAATTGGCAAGCTTAAAATTAACAGAGATGGCACAGTTTTATAGTTGTTTTTGGTGCTACACATCACAAGTTGCCATGGACTATTACAGGAAGGTATCACCAGATACTGACAGATACTGGCACAAGTTGGCACTGACTGGCACAATTTTCATGAATGGGCATAGATGGATACAGACTTACACAAGCTAGAAATTACTGGCATTGATGCAAGTTGGCAAAGACTAGAAATGCTTGCACTACATGGCACAATTTGTCACTGACTGGGAAGATGGACATGGGCTGGTATATACTGGCAGACTGGCATAAGGTGTCATTGACTGGTACTTTGTGGCACAGGTTGTCATTATCAGGCACACAATGGTCAGATATTTGGTTGGTTTTTTCAGGGCTAGATTGGACAAGTGTGGAAGATAGCATCACCAGGCACATGTTGGAAGCAAGGGCACTTATTATCACAAGCTGGCACACTTGGCCATGTGGACCTTGGGATGGGCCCATCCTCACTCTCTCCTTCTGGACTCCAGGAGCTGGGGCATATTACCGTCCAGCTGATGACCTTCAATTGCACACGCCTGTTCTCTAAGACCTGGCCCAGGAGCAAAACATTGGCAGGATTGTGCTACTTCTGGGGATTCCATGGTAGAGCCCATTCCCTGGCCTTTCCCTGTTCATTGAAAGCAGTCTGCATATCTTGGCTTGTGGCCTCACCACCTTTCTCCCTTCTCAAGGCCAGCAGGGCAATCTTGCCCAGTCTGGTCCTTTTATCTCCCTCTCCCAATTCCCTATGATGTCCTTGTGCTCTCCCAGACAACAAGATTTCCCTCCTACTCTTGAAACTTTTTTTTCCTCCAGGGAAAACACTATATTCACATGCTCTTTGATTAGGAAAAGAAACATATCATCAACTGGCATAGGCTGGTACTGTCTTTCGTGGGTTCACATGGGCTGATTACTCTGACTGGCATAAACTCACACAGGTTGGCATGGGCTCTCAAGCCAGAACTACCTGGCATAGGTTGCCACAGGTTTTCACCACCTGGCTCAGAATAGCACAGATGGACACAGCCTGGCTTAGTTTGACACAGCCAGACAAGCTGGCATAGATGGGCACAAGTAATTATGTACTAGTACTATCTGGCACCGGTTAACATGGACTGCCGCATCTTGAAATACATTGGTACATAGTTACACTGTTTGTCACAGATTAATATCTTCTAGTAGAGGTTCCCTCAGACTGACAGAAGCTGGCACTTATTAGTACTGGTTGGTAAGACATCATTAACTGACAACACTGGCACAGTTTTGCACAGATTATCCCTACCTTGCACATGTTGGCACAGAGTGGCACAAGCTATCACTAACTGACACCACATGACACAGACTGGTATGGACCTGTGTCATCTGACATAGTTTGGTACATATCACCACAGACTGGCACCATCGATACAGATTGGCAAGTCCACCAACTGTCAGAGTTTGGCACCACCTGGTTCAGGTTAGGAAGGCTGGGACAAGTTGGCAGATTATAGGCATCAGTTGGTAAGGCTTTCACAAACTGGCATAGGTTGGCACAGAATAGTATGGGACTAGTGGGGACCTGTTCCAAGTGGTCTTGATTGGTTGAAGCTTATCTTGGTTGGCTCAAACTGGCTGAAACCGGTTTTGGCTGGTTTGATCCAATTCAGATGAGCTCAATCAGATTCTGACTGGTTCTGACAGGCTTTAATAGGTTCCGGCCAAGTTTGCAACTGGTTTTGCCTGGTGGTGGCTTGTTCTGGTGTCTGAACAGCCGTAACTTTCTGTGACTGGTTATGACAATTTGTAACTGGTTGTGAGCTGCACTGCTTTTTCCCTTCCATCAGGTATTATGTAACTTCCTTTTTTCTTTTACTTGCAGAAGAATCTATTAAAATTTATAAAAGGAACTGGATAATTCTTTTAAGACAGCACATCATTGGGCTTGGGCACTGAAAGAACTTTATTTTTATACCAACACTAGAAACCTTTCCGGCAGATGCAATTTTAATATCCTGATGAACACTGAGATTTGGAGTTGCATTAACCCAATAGACTGTGGCTGTATCTCAAAGGACTAGAGAGCATATTTTACATGCATTAGACCCTAGGTTCCGTCCTGCTCAATGAGCTCTATTTGCTATAGCTCTGTTGGCTCTCAAGCACTCCTGGGGTGGGGGTGGGGGTGAAGTACCAATATTTTTATTTGAAAATAAAACAAAACAAAACAACACAGACTCCTGAAAAAGGAGAACATTAACATGTCACTAATTTTTTATGTTGACGGTTTATTATTGTTATTGGTCAGTTTCCAAGTAGTCCTTAAGGTTGCTGTGATCTTGAAGAGGAAATGATTATTCAATAACATATACTTTTGATCATCAGAAAGTAAAGAGATTAGATCTTGGATCTTGACATTTGGGCTGGGGCAATAGCACAGCGAGTAGGGCGTTGACCCAGGTTCAATTCCTCTGCCCCTCTCAGAGATCCCAGCAAGCTACCAAGAGTATTCTGCCTGCACAGCAAAGCCTGGCAAGCTACCCGTGATGTATTTGGTATGCCAAACACAGTAACAACAAGTTTCACAATGGAGACATTACTGGGCCCACTTGAGCAAATCGATGAACAATGGGAGGACAGTGCTGTCATCTTTTATTATTAATATAAATATCAGGTTTTGCTGAATCAAAGTCTCTAGCAACAATATTTTTAAGTGATTTACAAGCACAAAGAAGTTTAAGCCCTTGGTCTGGGTGTATGAGAAAACTGTCCAAAGCTCCTTGAGAAGAGGGTGGAGAGGGATATTGTGGAGTGCACTATATCTATTCCCTCTGTTATATCTGCCTTATGCCAGACATGTAATTTCTCACAGAACAGCTATTCTGATCTAGGACAGTGTTCTTCAACATTTTTATACCTGCCTACAAGCATCTGTCCTGCAGACTGGTGCAGTAACTGGCAGCTGTAACTATGCTGTAGACAAGTGGTTTTCAATCTTTCTGCAACCGTGGATCTGTAGACCAGGTTGAAGTAAGCAGAAATGATCACATTGTTCCTTAGCATAGTGGACCTCAAACTTTAGCTGGCTTCAGAGTCACCTGAAGAACTTGTTATAAAAACGTAGTTCTGGACCCTTCCCTCTGCTTCTGATTCAGAAGGGAACCCAACATTCGTATTTCTGATAATTTCAGAGGAGATGGCAAAGCCACTCATCGAGGCCTTGCCTTTGGAAAACCTTTCTGTGTTTGGAAAACCAGTTCAGAACTTTTGTAAAGTATCATAAAGCATGTATTCAATTCTGTTAAGGCTAGGCTGTATTTGGCACCAGCTCTAGTTCTTAGAAATCTGTATTTGAGCAGACAATACAGACAACCCCCTTTGGTTTACCATTTGGTTACCATTTGGTTTCCTTGAGTTATTGTATCATATGAAATAAAATAATCATTTGGGTTGCTGTATCACTTAAAGTAGTTGATGTGAAAGGAATCTTTGGAATGAAGAGTAATAGACTTGTTAGCTACACTTTGTTCACCCCTAACTCTGCATTCCACATATAGTGGGTGGCTGGTAAAAGCTGCAAGAAGGCAGAGTGAGGTCCTGAATTCCTGACACCAGCCTACTGACTCCTTGGTCAGCTCACCCTTCGCTCCTGCACCTCACTCTGCACACAGATGAGTGAGCAATGAACTTGGTAGCCCTCCCTAATGGATGCCAGAAGTCTTGGGTTCCCGGTGGTAGTTGGAGGTGAGTATTTGAGACTGACTCTATTTTCAAATTTGGTAAATTTGTATGAATCTGTCTTATATATTAGATTTCCAAGTGAGGATTCCTTGGGTGATGGAAAGGTCTTAAGTTGTACCCAGGAAAGAAAATCCCCAGCATGGGACCAGTAGTTGAATGTAAGGTCCAAGGATATGGTGCTACTTGGACCCCGAGCTACTGGAGCCCACCAGGGTCATGCTCAGGAACCTACAGGTATATACCTGGTAGTGCTTGGCCTCCTGCAGTGCCAAGGATCCAATTCAGGGTCTTGTTCTTACAAAGGATATTTCCTGACTCCTGAGTTTCCTCTCCTTTCACCCCAAGTAAGAATTCTTTTGCAATCTTCAGGCAACTTACACTTAATTTATTGATTATAATGTTTAAGCTTATATCTGTAATCTACCATTTTTCTAATTTTTCTATTTATACTTTCCTTTCCCCCTTTAAGATTTTTCTCTTATTTTGAATTAAGCATTTTTAAATTAAATTTTATTCCATTTTTGCCTAGTAGTTAAAACTATTTCCTTATTTCAATATTTTTTCTCCATTATTATTAAGACAGAATTAATGTTTAATCTTGTGCTTCATAATTAAAATTTTGATATAGTCTATAGTACTCACTAAATCTACACTTTTAATAAAATATTATCTTTAAGCTGTACTAAGGAAACAAATCCCTTTTGAAGTTTGAATCATTGTTCCCTGGTTATTTTTGGATGCTGAAAATTTTCTTTTCATAAAAACATTTTCATTGTTCAAAATAAGTGCATTTATAAGATGTACCAAATGTTCTATTTCTTCTGATCACAAAGGACTTTAAAACATTATTATTGTGGTCTATTAAAACAATGTATTCACACACATATGAAGATATACACATATGAAGTCTAAATAAATAACTTTATAAAAAATAACTCATTTGTAAAGAAAAAGACTCTGTTAAGAACAAAACCAGTTTACAAATTCCCAAGATGGGTAAACCTTAAGTCCTACTTTAGCTCTCATAAGCTCTGATCAACCTGCCCTGAGAATTGTGGGGATCGGGCCACAATCCCTCTTTATGCTTTTGCAACTGAGTTGGAGGGGCAGATTCACTCCTAAGTTTCCTTATCCTATCAGGCATGAGTCTGCTCTAGCCAGGGCTTAAGTCTGCTCCCTGCAACTTCTGAATGGGTATATGAATGCAGTTCTCCTCTGGGGCTGCAATAGAGGCTGTTTGACAGCATTGGTTGGGGTGCTGCCTCCAGTCCAGAGAGGTCTTTCTGCTACAACATGCTGACTGCCATTGATGTACCAGTCCCAGGCCATGGGCCTAGGGCACCTTATTTGACAAGAGGATCCTTCTCTGTCTCTGTAAGTAGGATACCCAAGGCCAAGACTGACATCCACTGGTCCCAGTCATTCATGGCTGATGCCTACCCTGCATGGGGAGATACTTGTTGTCACTGGTCAGCACATGTGTTCTCTTCACTATGACATATTTTGAGACTGCCCTCTGCTTAGTACACCTCTGTCCCAGAACAGACACATAAGGAAGGTATGCTGAACAAGCAGGACCTGAATTCAGCAGCAGCAGCGGGTGGCACAGGTAATCGGCAGCTCCGTCTGACACTAGGAGGTCCCCCGGGAACACTTCAAGTCCAGGGAGGTTGAGCACCACAGAGCTTCGTCGGTGCTCATAGAACCTGCGCTCAAGAGACAGGAAGGAGAGAGGTCACTGAGGTGCAGTGCATAGGATCTGCACTCAGACCCCTGTAATCTTGGAGGGAGGGTGACTACTAGTGCCCCCCGCCCCCAGAAGGTCTGCTATTTTAGCAAGGACTTGGAGGCTGCCCCACACTCTTGACCCTTTCTTAGCTATATTATTATTGTTGTTGTTGTTATTTTGCCACACCAAGCTATGCTCAAAGCTTACTCCTGACTCTGTGCTCAGGGATCACAAATGGCGGGGCTTGAGGGGACCATGTACAGTGCTGGGGATCCAACCTGGGTGAGCCATGTGCAAGCTAAGTGTCTGACCTGCTATCCTATTTCTTTGACCCCATCCGCACTTGTTGATTCTAGGGTTGACTAATCCAAAGAACAAGAGCTCTCCTAGAAATGTTAACACAAACATAACTTGCTTTGCTCTAACTCAAAAGGCTGCTAGCAGAAAGCTCTCAAGCACAATGAGTCTGGGAAAAATGTATACCTTACCACAGAAGTGGGCAGGAGGGCAGGGGCATTGCCACTAGTGCCCTGGCTGTTCATGGTTGGTGGTTGAACATTTTATTTCCCCAGGAAAAAATGTGAGAGCAAATGTTTAAACAGCTTAGCAAACAGACTAAGAAATCTATGGTTTCTTTTCCACGACCCCCCTTTTCACGAGTCTTTCTGTATGGAGTTCACAAAATAAAGGAGTGGCCAGGTCGACGCAGTAGGGACACAACTCCAAAGTGCTGGATGCTTTTGCCCAGTGATGGTGGAGCATCAAAACTGTTCAGGCGTCTGCTGCCAGAAACCTGCTGAAAGAAGGCAGCTATCGAGGGATTTTTATAGCTTTCCCATTAGTCTGTTCAGATATTCCTTTAGTCAAATTATGAGGCCCTGAGAGGATTTCCTCCCATTTATTTTTCAGTGTAAGAATTACATTTAAATCATCATTTGCTGGTGATGTGTGTCCTTTGTGTCTCCAATTTATTGCTATTGGTCGATTTCTATTCATTGCTCTTCGTGAATATGCCACTGATATCATCCTCCTTCTTAGAAAGTATCTGATTTTCTAAAAGTCTTGTGCAGATTCATGTCTTACCTAAAGCAAAAGCCCCTAGCTCTAATCTAAATCCTTATTGATTAGTAAGAGCTCAAAAAAATTTAGTTGAAAAAGAACAATAACTAACCCCATATACATAGCCAGAGTTCACCACTGTTAGTTCCTATCATGATCCCCCGTGGGCACTACAACCATAGCTAGTTCATTCTTCTTTAAGCATGTTCTACTTCTCACACCTTCCCTCTTGGCTCAGGTACTTTCCATCTGCCTGCCTGTCTCTACTTCGTCTGCCAAGCAAACTCATGTTTAGCACTACATTCTCGTTTTGACATCTGCTCTTCCTTTTTGATCTGCTCAGGAATAACCAAAGTCTCTCCTTCCTCTGCTTCTCTGCCCCTCCTTGTCTCTTCACTCTATAATGATTTCACTGGATCATAGTGTGTCTTATATACCATAGAATCTAAGCACCTGAATATCTTGGAATCTGTCCCAGAAACACAAGAGGCTTAATTTGAAAGGATATATGCACACCTATGTTCAATGAAATCCTATTTACAGTAATCAAAATCTGGAAACAACCCAATGACATATGAGTGAATAAAGAATTTTTGGTATATATACTCAATGAAACACTGCTCAATTATAAGAAAAGATAAAATTCTACATTTGCAACAGCTTGGGTGGAACTAGAGGGTGTCATATTAAGCAAAATGAATCACAGGGAGAAAGACAATTGACAGATGGTCTCACTAATAACTAGAATATAAAGAAACTGAGAATGAGAATAGATTCTGACAACATCACTGAAATGATCAGAAGGAAAGAAAGGGTGGGGAGGAGTAGGTGGTAACATTAATGCTATTGTAAAAAATAAATACAAAAAAGAAACAAAGCATCTGGCAGAGAACCTGACAGATACTCAAATAGATTGTTGAATGAGTAGGCATGTTGACCTAGAGAACTATATATACATAGCCTGCAGATAAAATTGTTTTTGAGTCATAAATAAATAAACACATGCACAGCATCAGAATGCAATTCAACCCCCTAACCCACTGAAGGCTGTTAATTGCCCATATCCATTTTTCCCTTGGCTGGTGTACCTTCTGACATAGACATTGATCTGAGAGCAACTAGGTCTAGACTTACAGAGAACAGAGGACAGGCAACTAGTTTGCACAGAGCTTGAGCTTGTTGCTTTGATGTTCAAAATTCTTATTTCAGAAATCTTGGCATTGAATGTTCATCAGAAGAGAATATGTGTTAATAAAAACATCAGGAAGCACAGTTGCACCCATGCAGGGAGCTTGACAATGGAAGCACAGATATCTGCACACAGAAAATGAAGAGCTATGTGCCGGTGCCAAAGATATGCTTGGTACCAACCAGGCTCGACAGCAGACTAGACTTCTGAGAATTCTGAAAATAATCCCAGGTCATTGTCAGCTGTGTTACCCCAGATTATTAGGTTAATATAGTAATGAAAGTAGTGTCATAAACTGGAGAAGTACTTTTAATTTCAGTCTCATGAGAGAAGGATATGGTGGTTCCAAATTGGTATTTTCAGTTTTGCTATTCTAAATACCTTTTGCTGATGTCCTCATACCTCTTAAAAAATGCACACAGTTCAGAATTTATTATCCACCAGAATCAATCATTGAAATACATTTAAATTTTCCCTTCTTCTTTCCCCCAAACTAAATGGAAAAGAGAGAGTTTGGCTATTCCTGAGAAAATCAAAAAGGAAAAGTTGATGTCAAAACTAGAATTTAGTGCTGAAAATGAGTTTGCTTGGCAAAGTAGAGATAGGCAGGCTGATGGGACTCTGACTCTGGCCATGGGATATTCTGTAAGAAGTGGGTGACAAAGAGAATTGTTGATTCCTTATTTTCTCCTAAGGATGTATGTGATATATGAAGGTTAGATAGTTTTTGCTCTGCTCTTCACATAATCTTTGAATTAAGAAATGCCTTATCAATGTGTATTGTTTTAGTAGTTGGAAAGTTAGAAACATAAGCAGGAGCATAAATGAGTTGCTAATCAGGTAACTGTGAGAACAGGACAAAAGATGAATTGACCACAAATCATAAGTTATGACTCAGAACAGAATAGAAGAACCCAGTCCAACCAGTTCCCTAGGAGGGAAAGAGGATGGGGGTCACCAAAACAGTCATTAAATTAATAAATATCTATATGGAACCTAAAACAGAATGTACTAGCCCAGTTCCTAGCAACTGGGGCTCATTGTTAGACTCCTCTATAGTGGTCCTCACTCAGGGTGAAGTAACCAATAGAAAAAAAATACATTCTTGCGCTTCTTCTTCTCTTTGACTCACCATTTGCTATGATTACCAGGAAGATGCCTATAAAAAGTGCTTTGAACTCTTATTACAATTTCAGGTGAATGCCTGGTGCGGTCTGTTTAGATATTAATAATAAATCTCCTTGCATTTTCACCCAGGATTGTCTTGATGTAGTGGGTTATACAAGTCACATTAAAACAAATCAAGTTAGAAAATAAAATAAAAATTAATTCTGAGTGCTCGGGGTGTGGCTGGCAAACTCCATTGCTTTGTGTAAAGGACATTGTACTGCCCTCTGGTTGGGTCAAACATGACCAACTAAAAAAACATCTTTGAGAAATAAGTCATTTAACGCTTCATATTCTTATTCTTTTCTGCAAGAGGAGAATCTGTATTCAGGAGATTGCATAACAAAATGGCACTACACAGCCCAGCCAGGCTTGCAGCTGCTCCCCCCGCACCCTGTGCAGAACCCCCCAAACATCCACATTTTCACTAACCCTGAGTTGCGTTGGCCCAGGCTTGTAAGATCTGAAGGCACTAGTCCCATGGTCGTGGAGTTGTCTTCTCTCTCTTCTGGTAATAGATTGTATCCTTAATCTGTTCTCTGCTGAAATCCGAAGGTCCATGGTGTGGGCTGGGATGGCAACAATTTAGAGAATCCAGAGAATTCTCCCACTGCAAGCAGGCTGCACTGCCATGACTCGACACTCAACAACAAGCCTGCTCTCAGTGTCAGTACCAGAAAAGTTTCTGGCTGATGGAACTGTGTCCCTCAGTGGACCTCAACTGTACATACTTTATAAGGAATAGATTTGACTTGTTATATTGACTCTTATTTGACTCTCACATACATTTGTATACCAGTTTGCACACAGATTCAAAAGTAGAAATTACTCTTCTCATATAGAGTGTAAGAAACTGTGGCTTAAAAGAAGTAGATAAGAAACTTATTTAAGTTTTCTTCATTAGTGAAGTTCAAACTTTCAAATTTACACTTTAAATATGAAAGTCCAACTCCTACCCCTCCCCCCCAAAAAACAGGCTTGTAATTTGGAAGAAGAGAGAAAAAAGTAATACAACTCATTCCAAAGCACTAAGTATTTTTTTATATAAATTATGTGATGATGGTTGATTATTATTTTAGGTTAGGGGAGAGTTGGAATAGGCTGACTGGAGCCCTCTCCTTACCTGATACCCACATTTCACTATATAATCTTTGCCATGTTTTAGTAATATATTCACAAGTATCCCATGAATCCAATGTTCTTCCAAAGAGTCTAGTAATAAATTATTGTTAAGTTATAACAGCACAATTTAAAAAAAATTCACATAATGGCTGAACCTCATTTTCTGGAAAAAATTGAAATAAAATGTGCAATGCCTATATGGCAAAATGTAGGGAATGTCTATATTCTAAACTTTGGAACCTGTGAACATAATCTTATTTGTTAAAGGGGTCTTTGTGGATGTAACTAAATAGCTGGTATAGAGATGAACTTATTCTGGATTTTCCTTAATTATCATGCTAAGACTTGAATCTAAGTCGTAATTCTGAGACTCCCAGATAAGTGATATGGGATGAGAGAAGGCCATGTGAAGATGAAGACAGAGTTGACAGGGATGTAGT